CCCCGTTGGCGCAGCGGTTGAGCGCTGGGCTGCGAAGCTGCCCGCAGCCTCTGCAGCGCCGGTTCGATCCCCAGCTGCCCACGAGGGTCCCACATGGCACGCAGACCTCTCCTGCTATGCCCGCTGCTCCCCTCAGCAGTGTATTTCGTCAGTCTGCCTGTTGTGGTCCCCGCTCTGGCTCTGGTGGATTCTCTCACCCTCCTGCTCTTCTGAATGTACCCAGTGCTTGTATAAATAAATTATCAAATCTTTTAAAAAAAAAACAAAAACAACGTATCTTTTTGAGGGCTCCAGTTCAGGCCAAAACCGTTTCATTGTGTCCATGACATGCATGGGCTAGGGTCTCTCAAAAAGCTGGACTCCTCTGGTCACTCTGTGTTCTGTCTACATAAAGTCATTATTTTGCAGTCCCAGGATACCTGAAAGCTCCCAGAACAAGCATCTCATAAACTTCTGGAAGAAACTACATGGCTTTTTCTAGCCTAGTCTCTATAGTCACATAGCACCACTGAATTTTATTCTTTTTTATTTTAAAGATTTATTTATTTATGCATACAAGAACTGGGGTACAGGCCAGAGGTATGGGGGGGGGGTGAGAGGACTCACCAGAGACGGAGTGGGGAACAGAACAGGCAGATCGACTGAAGTACACTGCTAAGGGGAACAGCAGGTTAGTCAGGAGAGGTCTACTGCACCATGTTTGGTTTGCTCCCTGGCCGGGGATTGAACTGGTACTGCAGCGGCTGTGGATTGCTTCATAGGTTGCGTCTTAACCCCTTGTGCCACCAGGGAGGCCCTGAATTCTATTCTTACTGGGAGTGTGAAAGAATTTGCTAACATGTTTTAAAACCCCCACAGCCCAGGTTCATAGAGAAAGTAGAATGCGTGGTTGTTATCAGAAACTGGAAGAAGAAAATGTGGAGTTAGTGTTTAATGTACAGATGATGAAAATGTTTTGCAGATGCACAGTGATAATGGTTACAGAGTAGTGTATCAGTGAATATGCGTAATGCCACTGAATCTCAGTGTATTCATCACCAGTAAGAAGCAATTATCACAGATACCAGAATATTCAAAAGAAAGGAAACTTAATCAGCAGCAGCAGAGTATTTGGAGAGTATGAGATCAGAGCATGGGAATTTAGGTGTCTGGTGTCAAATGGCACTAGACTATGTAGATCTGCTGCACATACCGCACACCCCTCAACAAAGATAGGCTGACCAGTTGGGCTGCAGACTCCTCACAGCTCTCTTCTGTATGAGCTGGGATAGTTCAGGCCAGTGTTAGCTTCTGACTTTGTTTTCTATACTTGGTACTTGAATAACCTCCCTTTCTCATTGAGTCTTTCTTTAGAAATGTTAATGAGATCATGTATAGCAAAAGTTTTGAAGATTTATTTTTATTTATTTATGCATACAAGAACTGGGATGTAGGCCAGAAGTGGGGGTGGGGGGTGGGGTTTGAGAGGATTTACCAGAGATAGAATGGGGAGCAGAAGAGGCAGAACTACTGAAATATATGGCTGAGGGGAGCACTAGGCAACACAGGAGAGGTCTGCTGTGCCATGTGGGTAGCTCCTTGGCCGGGGATCGAACTCATGCTGCAGTGGCTGGTGATAGCTTGATAGTTCTGAGACTTTAACCCCTGCGCCACCAGGGAGGTCATTGATTGTAAATTTAATTCATGGAGAATAATCTTTTTTTAAAAAAATTTATTTATTCATGCATATAAGAACCGGGGTATAGGCCAGATGTGCGGGAGGGTGAGAGGATTCACCAGAGACAGAGCGGGGAACAGAACAGGCAGACTGACTGAAATACACTGCTGAGGGGAGCAGGGGATGAGACAGGAGAGGTCTGCCGCGCCATGTGGGATTCTCTCCAGCCAGCTGGGATTGAACCCGCTGCCGAGGCTGCAGACAGCTTCACAGTGCTGTGCTCAACTGCCTGCACCACCAGAAGAGGCCCCTCATGGAGAATAATCTTAGTGTCACAATATTAGCAGACTTCAGAGATTTTTATTTTCAAGGAAATACTGAAAGAGAGCTGTATTTAAAATTATTCTAGACCCAAACATGAATCCTTCATTCATTGAATATTTACTGTACATTAGACACAAAATATGACTGTGAAACCTCCTGTGCTCAATTTGATTTAAGTATATGCCTGCCTGGAGTAAAACAAATCTGCAAAACAAATGTTTTCAGTGCTTTAGGGGAGTATGATCAAAGAGTCCCCATGTAACTCCTTTTGAGTAAAGACTTACTCCGTTAATCTCTTGTTAGTAGACTTCACACTTTTCTTCATGGGTTTGGGGCACTATGTAAGTACTATGCCTTTTACTGCCAAAGTAGAATAAATAAGTTGCCCCCTGGCAACTTGTAGCAACGATTTGACAGGGAAGAGCATGTCCAGTAGCACAGGGCATGGAGCTGTGTTATGCACATACCTATGTCTTGTCCTTTCTTTGCGTATTAATCCCAGGCTCTGGGATTGCATTATGTCATTAAAGTCTCTCAACCACCCTGCAAGGTGCTTATTGCTGTTGTTACCACCAGGTAAAAGATGAAGAAACTGAGGCAGACTCTCATATAGCTCCACAGTGAAGCCACAGAGCTGGGACTCCACTCTTAACTCCAAGATTCTAGGAATATCGTTCTGTTCTTCCTCTTCCTTTGGGTTTGAGAGAAGTTACTTTGTTTCTTTTTTTTTAAGATTTTATTTATTTATGCATACAAGAGCTGGGGTGTAGGCCAGAGGTGCAAGGGATGAGAGGCTTCACCAGATACAGAGGAGGGAGCAGAACAGGCAGATTGACAGAAATACACTGCTGAGGGAAGCAGCGGGCGAGACAGGAGAGGTCTGCTGCACCATGTGGGTCACCTCCCTGGCCGGGGATCCAACTTTGTGCTTCAGTGGCTGCTGATAGCTTCATAGTGCTGAGACTTACCCCCTTGCGCCACCAGGGAGGCCCCAAGAGAGGAATTACTTTGAACATAAGAGATGAACAACTACAAAAATAAATTGCTTTGCTTTTCCATGAAACCACATGGAGACCTTGTGCTCAGCTCTCACAGTTTTGACTAATCTACCCCTTCTTTCTTTGCATTAAAGTGAAATGGTGTCGGGCCTCCCCGGTGGCGCAGCGGTTGAGCGCTGGGTTGCGAAGCTGCCTGCAGCCTCTGCAGCCGGTTCAATCCCCGGCTGCTCCCCGGCCACCAGAGGAGGGTCCCACATGGTGCGCAGACCTCTCCTGCCGCCCGCTGCTCCCCTCAGCAGTGTCCTTCGGTCCTTCTGCCTGCTCTGCTCCCCGCTCTGGCTCTGGTGAATTCTCTCACCCTCCCGCGCTTCTGACTGTACCCAGTGCATGTATAAACCAAACAAACAAACAAATAATAAATAAATAAATAAGACATGCCTCTAGAAAATTTAAAAAAAAAAAAAAAAAAAAAGTGAAATGGTGTCTTTTTAACATTGAAGGTACCATATTTGATCCCCCACTTTGTGTTCCAGAGAACCCCTCTGTAGGCTTACTGGTTTTGGTTTTTTGTTTTTGTTTTTTTTTTTACATCTTAAAAGGACAGGTTTATTAGGAAAAGAGACACGGGTGTGTAGGAGAGCTGCTGCAGGCTGACCGTTGATAAGTACAGTTGATTTCTCAAATTAGCCCTCCCTGAACTTATCTGTGGGTCACACTGCACACCTGACTCTGCCCTCCCAATCCCCTTATCTCTGCTGTCCCTTCCCTGTAGAGCGCCAGTGGAACATGTGGATTCCAGGATTTGGCTCTGAAGAAATCCGACCCTACAAAAAAGCTTGCACCACAGAAGCTCATAAACAGGTGAGGAGCCATCAGAGACCCAGGGCAGCCACATGGCTCTCAGAGCTGTCTCAGAGGGAGTGCACACATCACCATCACAGTGGTTATCACTTCCCAGCTGGGGAACTTCACTTCCTGGTCAAAGGTCAGAGAAGGCCAGAGGCAGCAGGCCTGGAAGGCAATCTCATTGTTCCTTGGTGCTTTCCTGTTCATGCACAAGGTCTGGGGATTTTTTCTTTCAACTATGATGGGCACCATTTAAAGCTGTTGATTCTGACTTTTTCTAATATGGATGCATCTCATCCCCTGCACATCTCTTAGTACCATCTCCTTTCACTGCAGCTGATTAGATTTTCAGATGGTCTCATGACCAGAGGGCAGGTTATTCACAGCAGTAATCTGCTACAGTTTTGGTGGAGAAGCAGCGGCCCAGCTCTGACCTCTGGCCCTCTTCCCACTGAACTGAGGGTCCATATGAGAACCTAGCGCCCCTCTTCTGCTGTGGAGCAAGTCCTCCTGTGATTGGCCAGGGTAATGGCAGTGTTGCCCTCCCTTTGACAAAGCTTTCTTAATTTAACTGGCTACTCTGACTGAAAAGTGAGCTTTAACTGTAAGCTTGATGGGCACAGTGGGCTGTCCTGAGTGTCCCTTTCTTTTCCATAGCCTGGCATCTCTGCAGTGGGGATGTTTGCAGAGCTCACGGGGCAGCCCTGCAAGAGAGCCGCCAGAACTGAATCAAAGGGCCACATGGGGTTCCCTCCTGACAGTGAATTCACTATGGCTCTGCTCCCAAATTTCCACCATTCAACCGTATCCAAATATTTACCAATAAATGGCAATAATATTGGAACAAACTCTTGGTCAACAAGAGTGAACAAAACAAATCAGTAATTTGTCTGGTGATAGTAAAATGTGATCTGAATGTTCTCCCTGATGACTGTGGTGAAGGTTGTTAGTATCAGTTTTCCTTTATTGTAGGTGAGCAAGTGTGAGGTGTCAGCTGCTTTTAATTGTAGACACAGACATGAAACAGAGGCCCCTCTTCATCATGAGAGAGAGATTGGGGTAGGGGAGATCCTAGAAAACACATACTTTGAAGGCCTGTCCCCTGTGTCTCCGAAAGGCAAGAACTGTTACCTTCTGCTTTTAACTTTTTTGCCATCCTGCTAGCCTAGAGCAGTTTGGCCCTTTTGGTCTACAATGTGGATCCACTGGTCTATCCAGGCATCTCTGGGCAGCAGACTGTCTTCAGGTTAAAAGTAGTCTGCGGCCCTGTCCGGTAGGTTCCTGAGAACTCCACCTTGTGGTGAAGAACATGCTGCCTGCTAGCCACACATGGGTGTTCCAGAAAGCTCCTGACCTTAATCTGTGTAATCGGTTATTCCTCTCTCCTTTCAGAGAATGGCATTGATCCGGAAAACGACCAAGAAATAACACATGGAAAGGTCAGGGAATGGACAACAATGTATTTGGAGATACTTGAGCTGAAACCTCAGCCATCTCATCCTTGGAATTTTTTTTTTAATGCTTGACAGAGAAGCATATATTTTTTATTAACAGTGCAGCAATATAATGACTGAAAGGATCTGCCAAAAGAATAAAGCCTCCTACCCCAACTTCCGGTCCCTTTTCCCTGCCGTCTCAAAGAGGAGCAATGTATCTTCCAGAGAAGATTTTATTTCTGGTTTATTATATAAGTGATTGAATATGGGACAAAGCATTATGGTCTTGTTTGGTGAGACAGTATTAGCAGGATTTGTAGAGTTTTCTGTTTCGTTCTCCCTTCCCCTCTCTCCTGTACTTTGTAATGTCAGTGTTTATATGAATATGACTTTCATTTGCTTTTCCAGAATAAAAAAGTTATTAATCGAAAGTTAGAGGGTACATGGCTCACAGCCTTTGAAATGCCACAGGGAGTTAGGACAAGCAAGACTGGATGTGGCTCTGTAGTCAGCAGGTGGCAGCACCATTGTTAATTTTGTGATTGAGGAAGAAACCCAGGGATTTTCCATTATTTTACTCCAAGGAAGGCCATTCCTTCCATCAGTAGGCGTTTTGAGTCCAGTTTCTCTGCATAAAGATTGGCCAGGGTAACCTTCTAGCATGAACCCCAGACTGAAGAGGGATCCTGGTTTTGGCAAAACCTCTTTTGACCTGTTCTTCTGGAACTCTTGGAGAAAGTTGTATTCATCCTTGACCCTAAGAAAGGATGTCAGTAGCCTTGGGGAAAGGCCTGTCTGTGCAGCTGCCTGTCCTTAGTTGCTGCTGTCCCTGATGGAGGTATTTTTCACCATGGTGCAGAGGAAGCCAGGCCTCTAGAGACCTCAGGGTCATGACCTTCAGTGGCACTTAGCATCATCCTGTCCTGTGCCCAGTATGGCCCTTGTGGATCGTGAAGGGTTTGTGGGCTTCAGGGGATGTGGCTGTTCACCCAGGGGTCGCCAGCACAGGCACATCCACCTTGCCCTGCTTTGCTCCTCTGCTTCTTGAAGCTTGGCCTGAGATGGACTCTGCTTTTCACTCCCTCCCATTCTGAGTGTGGCTCCATGATCCCCCTCTTCACAGCCTCATAGATGTCTTGAATGAGCAGCTCAAAGGCTGTGCTGATGTTGCTGTCACTCTTGGCTGAGGTCTCGACATAGCGAGTACCCAGAGATGCGGCCAACTTCTCCCCTTCCTCTGCCATCACCTGTCGCTCAGCCTCCAGGTCACTCTTGTGACCTACCACCAGGAAGAAGATGTTGAAAGGTTTCACTTTCTCCAGAGCCTCCTGATGCCACCGGGTGATGCTCTCGAAGGATGCTCTGTTGGTGATATCAAACAGCAAAAGGCCTCCAGCTGAGTTCCGATAATAGGAGCGAGTCACTGACCTCGGCAGCCAGGAAGGAATCCAGAGTTAGTTGAATCCTCCATTGAGGACGCAAGGGAAGGGACAAGGGAATCAGGGCAGTTGAAAGGAAAGAACTGGTGCAGAGTTTTAAAAACCTCATTGCTTAATCAGCTGTTACAGGTAAGTGACCTCATCTGTCTGAGTCTTGTCTGCTTATTGAGGGGCTTGTTATTTCTGCTGTGCAGGGCAGTGGGCTCTGCGATGAACAGAAACAGGAACAATCCTGCGATTGGATAAATACAAAATTGCCACTGTGACAGAGATGCAAAAGAGAGGTTCACAGGGCAAGGAAGGAGGTCTGAGTAACCCAGGTGAAGGGGGTGGGGATCCTCTTCAAGTTGGGAGAGCTTATGTCTGCCAGTCCTGAGGTGAGTTGGGCCAGTCTTTGTACAGCCTTATAGGCCCCAGCAAAGAAATGGCTTTATCCAGTAGGAAAGATTGTAAGCAGGAGCAGGATGTAGTCAGATTTACATTTTGAAAAGGTCACTCTGGCAGACTGAGTTCAGCCTATCTGAACAAACCGGAGGGCAGTGGAGGGCGACCATGGACGTAGAGAGACTTGTTAGCGGGCTGCCACCTGGTAAAGTTGGGAGAAGGGTAAATGTGAAAGCTGTGTAAGTGGTGCACACACAGGCCTTCGTGACCAGAGGCGGGGGTACAGGAGAGAGCGGTGTCCCCCAGTGACCTGTCAGGGATCGTCTGACTAGCTGACCATCTTGGGTGCAACTTAGCCCCCATCCTGGGCGTGACACCCTCTACCTTCCCACTTGTATTTGGTCCCCAGAGCCTAACGTCCTGCTGAGCACAGGGCACTGGGCACCGGCTGAGGAGCCGGAGGGCAGCTGGCTGATGAACTTGTGCGCGCCAGCGGAGGTTATAGAGTGTTTCCCAGGTGCCCAGCGGTGCTCAGTCCCTTCCCTGGATAAGCTCATGGTGTGTCCCTAATAAGCCTGAAGAAGAAATACTACACCTATCATGTGTCAAGAACTTTATTTACAGTATCTCATTTAACACTGTTTTCCAGTGAGGAGACTAAGACTTAGAGTGTTTGAGTAATTTACCCAAGAGCACACAGCTACAGGAACAGTGCTGAGGTTTCAGCCAAGCCCATCTGACTCCAGAGCCTGCACACTTCACTGTGCCCCAAACTTCTCCCCAAGTCTTCTGGAGACAGATGGGAGTGACTAAGGGATAAGAACAGCATGTGCAAAGGCCCAGAGGTGTGAAGACACTAACAGGTCAGTGTAGCTAAAGCACAAGGTGCAGCATTAGGAGAGAAGGCCAGAGATGAGCAGAAAGTGAGCTTGGGGGTGGCAGCCCTCAGGCTTAGTGTGGGCCAGTGCCCGTACCTCGAGGCCGCTGCGTGTATGTTCCTGTGTGCGCCCATGTGCGTCTTACAGGGAGTGATAAGGGGTGTGACGTGGGAGCCCAGCATGCTGACTCTGGGCTTCCCAACCCTCTTCATCCTGATCAACACCTCTCTTAATGGTGGACATCTTAGGGCAGTGAGGTAAAGTTCCATCTGACAAGAGAATTCCAATGCTAAAAACCGGCACATGAAAAGTTTGAAAGCTGCTGCACAGGTAATGGGGAGCCAGTGAAGTTTTAGATGGAGGACACAGTCGATTATGGCTGCATGTTAAAAAAAAAAGTCTTCCTCAGGCTGCCAGTGTGGAGAGTGGAATTGGGAGCAGGCAGGAAGGGAACCATCCAGGAAGTTGCTGCAGTTGATTTGAATAAAGGTAAAGGAATAAGGCTTGAAAGACTTTCCTGAGAAAGAATTAACCAAAAAGCAGGTGGTTGAACAGCATAATTGGTTTGTTTGAGAGAAAAAGGACCCATTTGGGACCAGGATGCCCTCCAGGAGAGGGTCCCCTGTGCCAGCATGAGGTGACGCATGGAGGAGGCAGCCAGAGCTTGGATCAAGGTCTTACAGTGACCCGCAGTTAGAAAAGGCCCCTACCTCCCTGGTGGCGCAAGGGGTTAAGACACAACCTATGAAGCTACCCGCGGCCACTGCAGCATGAGTTTGAACCCGGGCCAGGGAGCTACCCACATGGAGCGGCAGACCTCTCCTGTCTCACCCGCTGCTCCCCTCAGCAGTGTATTTCAGTCAGTCTGCCTGTTCTGCTCCCCACTCTGTCTCTGGTGAATCCTTCTCACCTCCCCCTCCCCCTGGCCTGTACCCCAGCTCTTGTATGCATAAATAAAATCTTTAAAAGGAAAAGGCCCTTAGAGGTCCCCATTGTAACCCCTTTATAGGTAAGAGCACCCAGGCCTAGAGAGGTCACGGAGCTGTCCAAAGTCGCTGGGCAGCCAGGACGCAGAACTGTGTTCTTGGTCCGAGTCCTTCCTTCTAAACAAACCTCCAAAGCCTTTTCTCTTGCCCCTTCCCTTCCTAGTGGGTGGGCTCTCCCTCTCAGGGGCCATGATGTAGAAGGCAGGGGGCAGCGCCAAGCCCAGGGGCCTGCTGCTGCAACACTCACCGGAACCTTTCCTGGCCTGCCGTGTCCCAGAACTGGAGCTTCACCTGGACCCCAGGCTCGACCTCCATGAAGTGCACAGAGAAGTCCACACCCACTGTCTGGTTGACACCCTCCAAAAAGATGCCCTCCGTGTAGCGTCTCAGCAAGGACGATTTGCCGACAGTCGAGTCTCCCAGGAGGATGATGCGGAACTGGTAGTGCCAGAGGGTGTCCATGGAGCACGGAAGGCCGTGAGACACTGTGGGCAAGAAGAGGAGCACGGTAGAGCCAGAGCCCAAAGGTGATCAGGGGCCTCTGGGTCTCGGCTCCCAGGACACGCCCAGACGTGGGCTTAGCAAAGCCGCCGTGGCACCTCTGCAAGGACACGTCAGGTGCCATTTGAAACCACCTTGCAGAGCGGGTCCCAAGACAGAAGCAGGGCTTCCCCTCAATAGAGGGCCTGGTCCTGTATCCCCTGTGTGTGGTCCCAGGGTGGTAGCTTAAAAAATGATGGGCCACAGCCCCCACAGGCGAGGATGTCCCCTCTTCCTCGATGCTGGCCTCAGTCCCAGCCCCACGCCCATAGCTGCAGGAATGAGGGTGATGCAATGTGAAACCTGCCTTTCCCAACCACGCCTGAGCCTTCCGCAGGGGGTGTCCTGGCCAGGGGCCCTGGAAAGATCCTCCCACACCGGTCGACAGCACCCGTTCCCTGCCAGGCGAGGATCCCAAGAACAGCACCCGTAAAACCAGGGGGACAGTAAAATGGCATTGGGCCTTCCTGGTGATACTTGCTGAAGCTGCGGTACGTGGACAAGGAATTCCTTATATTATTTTATACTTTATCTCAGCTTATTTACACTTGGATGTTTGAAAATTCGATAGTAATTTTTAAAAGCCCAGTGTCCTCCTCCCCAAAAGAATCAGCCTGGGCCTCGGAAAGCTACAGTCTTCAGTGGGGTGATAAAATGCAGGCAGGAGGGTCTGAAATCTCCAAAAATGAGCCACTTGTGCTCTGAAGGCTCCGAGAAGGAATTGGTGTCTTAGGTAAGGCGGCATTTGGGTTAAACTGTGAAGGAAAAAGCAAGTGTTGACAGAATGGAGGACGGACCCTCCAGGTAAGGAACAAGACATGAAAGACAAAGGGGCCTTGTTAGCAGAAAGAAATCTGTTGGGCACTTAACGCACGTTGTTACCTTCAATCCTCCAGCAGACCTGTGCGGTAGGAGACCTTCCCCCCACCACGAAGAGACTGAGGCTCAGAGGTGGGGAACAGAGCTGGGTGCGGCCCCGTCTTCTGTCCCAGCCTGTGCACGGAGGGCAGGCTGCGTCCTCCCTCTTCATTCACTAGGTTCCCAAGGCTCCCTCCGCAGGCAGGGGCCCACCGCACTAGCAAAAGATTAGGGGTCTCTGCTTCCAGCTTGCCTCTTTGCATAGTTTTCTGTTAATTAAAAAACTTTTACAAAAGACTATACTTTCGGGAATCATTTCTATAGTTCATTACTAGAGAAGTTTAGCAGAAATTTAGAAAACCTAAATAAGGGACCAGGAAAAAACATAGTTATAATAAAGTAAAAATCAAAATCAACAAGCAAGGGCCTCCCCTGGCGGCACAGCGGTTGAGCGCTGGGCTGCAAAGCTGCCCGCAGCCTCTGCAGCGCCGGTTCCATCCCCAGCCACTGCTCCCCTCAGCAGTGTATTTTGTCCGTCTGCCTGTTCTGTTCCCCGCTCTGGCTCTGGTGAACTCTCTCACCCTCCCGTACTTCTGACTGTACCCAGTGCTTGTATAAATAAATAATCTTTAAAAAAAAATCAACAAGCAACTATAAACCAGAGACACACTACTGGCGGGGGTGGGGAGTAGGATCAAAAACAAAGGGGGTGGGAATTGTATGGGGACTAGAACCAAGATGAAAATGCATACATTGTGCGGAAATGAAAAATGATGTAAAAAATGTATAAAATAGGGCCTCCCTGGTGGCCCAACATGTTAAGCACCGCACTATGAAGCAATCCACAGCCTCTGCAGCACAAGTTCGATCCCCGGCCAGCCAGGGAGAAACCCACATGGCGCAGCAGACCTCTCCTGTCTTGCCAGCTGCTCCTGTCAGCAGTGTATTTCAATCAGTCTGCCTGTTCTGTTCCCCACTCTGTCTCTGGTGGATCCTCTTCACCCCCCGCATCTCTGGCCTGTGCCCCAGATCTTGTATGCATAAATAAATAACTTTGTTTAAAAAATGTATAAAATAAAAAATAATAAAATTAAAAGAACAAAACACTTTTACAGAAGGGCCTCCCTGGTGGCACAAGGAGCTAAGACGCAACCTATGAAGCTATCCACAGCCACTGCAGCATGAATTCACTCCCGCCTGCCAGGGAGCTACCCACAAGGCGCAGCAGACCTCTCCTGTCTCACCTGCTGCTCCCCTCAGCAGTGTATCTCAGCAGATCCGCCTGTTCTGCTTCCCACTCTGTCTCTGGTGAATCCTCTCACCTCCTGCACCTCTGGCCTACACCCTAGTTCTACACACACACACACACACACACACACACACACCCCACACACACCCCTTGAGGCAGTGTGGATGTTAAATCAGAGAAACCCTAGAGGCCGGAGACTCAAGAGGAGACAGACCAGAGAAGCTGGACTGTGATGGTGATGGCTTGCTCCCAGTGGAGAGCATCAGCTTCTGAATTGTTGTGGGAGGTGCTGTTCCAGTTTTTGGGGTCACCTGCTCCTCTGAGCCTCCTGCCCTTCTCCGCTGCTGAGCCCTGCCTTTCTCTAGCCAGCAGGCTGGGCTTTACCACAGGAAGGGGGCCTGGGAGGTTGGGGCCAGAGCCCTGAGGTGGATGAGACATTCAGCCACATCACCTTCGCTGACAATCTTGCTGCCTTCCCAAGATTTTTTTTTTTTTTAATATTTATTTATTTATTTATGCAAGCACTGGGTACAGTCAGAAGCGCGGGAGGGTGAGAGAATTCACCAGAGTCAGAGCAGGGAGCAGAGCAGGCAGGAGGACCGAAGTACACTGCTGAGGGGAGCAGCGGGCGGCAGGAGAGGTCTGCGCGCCATGTGGGACCCTCCTCCTGTGGCCGGGGAGCAGCCGGGGATCGAACTGGCGCTGCAGAGGCTGCGGGCAGCCTCGCAACCCAGTGCTCAACCGCTGCACCACCGGGGGGGCCCCCAAGATTGTTTTAAAAAGGGGCAGTGGGCCTCCCTGGTGGCGCAAGGAGTTAAGATGCAACCTATGAAGCTGTCCACAGCCACTGCAGCACCAGTTCGATCCCCAGCCAGGGAGCTGCCCACATGGCACAGCAGACCTCTCCTGTCTCGCCCACTGCTCCCCTCAGCAGGGTGTTTCAGTCAGTCTGCCTGTTCTGCTCCCCACTCTGTCTCTGGTGAATCCTCTCAGCCCCCCCACACCTCTGGCCTATACCACAATTCTTGTATGCATAAATAAAAATCTTTGGGAAAAAAAAGACACCTAGAAGGAGGAATTGTCAGTGGTCACAGATTCCTGAGGAAGAAACAAGCTGGGTTTGACCTTCAGTTTTGAGTTGGGGTGAGGACAGGGTCTTAGAACACCTTCCCCCATTAGATCAGCCTTGCTGTAGGCTGCCCCTGGGGGGTGGGCTGGTCTGGGGAGCTATGCAAACTGAGCTCGGCATCCCACAGCACTCCCGGCAACTGGTGGGGGTGGGGGGGCTGGGGGTGAGCAGAGGGACAAAGTGGAGAGCAGGCTGTGGGTTCTTCAGCCCTACAAGTGGATGTTGAGGCTTATCAGTGTCCCCTGTGTCCCCAACCAAACTGCTCCTTCGGTTCCAGCCTCCAGGGTCCAGACCCAGCCTCCAGCCTGGGGGTGGGGCACTGAGCAGTCATGCGGGTCTGAGGCCACACCTTTAATCCCATCTCTGACACCAAGTTTAAGGACCTCAGGAGGCTCCGGGTCAGGCTTCCCTTGACATTCCCTGCGCCCCTCCTCGGCTGGGCTGTGGCGTCCAGACGCTGAGCATCTCAGCATCCATACCCAGGAATAAAGCCAGAAACAGCCTCGTCCAGCCAAGAGGAGACGGTGCTGCTGACAGTTCTCAGCATTCCGCTCTCACCAGGCTGCAGAGCACAGCACACGCGCCCCCTCACCACACCCCCACCCGCCGGGAGAGCTGGGGTCTCATGGGCCCCATTGACAATAAGGACATGGGCCCAAGGACAGGAAACTGCACAGCTGTCCTCTTAGATCTTTCCAGCGGGGGAGGAGGCTGAGCTGATACCCCAGAATCCAAGAGGTGTGGCTGTGTCAGGATACTGTTTATGTTAAGCCTCTGGAGACATTCTGCCTTTTGCCCTCCAGAGAGGTGGCAACTCTCCCCGCCCCTCCAGCTCTTCAGGGGTTGCCCCTGCTTTACTCTTCCCCTCCCAGAGTCAGCACTGGCACGGGCCTGGCTGCTGCTTCCTGGGGGGTGGCCTCGGGATTTGGATGAGGCGGACACCCCCCAGTCCTCCTCCAGCTTGATGTCGCCTTGCTGCAGGGCCAGCTGGATGGCCTCCGCCAGCGTGTCGAAAGCCAGGTCCACATTGCGCTTGTTTTGGGCTGAGGTCTCCACGAAGGCCATGCCCAGGGAAGCAGCCAGCTCCTCCGCCTCCTGGACCGAGACACAGCGGGTGCTCTGCAGGTCACTCTTGTGGCCGACCAGCAGGAAGATCGCCTTGTTCGGGCCCTGAGTGGCCGTCACCTCCCGGTGCCAGTCTCGGATGTGTTCAAAGGACTTCCTATTTGTCACATCAAAGACCAGCAGGACACCCACCAAGTTCCGGTAAAAAGACCTGGTGATGCACCTGATGGGGTGGGAAGCAAGTTGGGAGACGTTGATTACGCCTTTGAGTTATGCCGCTGACTGCCTCTCAGCCCAGCCTGGCTTTATTTCTCCCTGGGCGCCTCCGTCCCCCATCCGCGTCTCTCCCAAGAGAGTGCGCGCTCCAGGGCGGGGACTCTTGGTTCTGTTAGCTCGCTGACTGCAGATCCTTGCTCCCCATTCTCTGGGGGTCTCCTTCGCATCCCTCAGGGCCAACACCAAATCTCTCTTCCTCGACGCCTCTCCCTCTGCTGCGGGGGACTCTCAGCAGCCAGGCCGCTCCTCCCCCAGCTTTCACCGTTGGGGGCTGTGGGAAAACCAAAGTGATTCCATCCTGCGCGGACCCCATCTCAGGTCGGTGACCGGAGCTGCCCCACCCCGGGGAGACAGCCGGTTTCCTCATGGTTTCTCCCAGCTCTGTGAACCGCACCGCTCAGGGTGACCCAGAGGCCTGCTACTCTCCTTAGCAAACAAAGGTGCGCGTGACATGGCCCCTGACGTCCGGGGTCCCTGGTCTCACCCAAGAAGACCCGTGAACTAAACGGTATGAAAGAGCTTAGTGAGGCGCATGGCGCAGAGGCCTCCGCCAGAAGCCCCGGCCCCAGCTCCAGGGGCACCCTGCGTGCGAGCTGCCCTCAAACTCTCATTGTGACTAACAGACACGTCTGCTTCCTCCTTCAACTTCACATTCCCTTCTCAATTTGGGGGAACTTGCTGGCCCCCAGCGGACAGGGCCGCGCGTCCCTTCCCCCCAAGGTCCGAGCGCCCCTCCAGGGCGCACCCGGGTCTCAGGCGCGCCCCAGGGGCTTCCCTGGGCGGAAGGAGTGACTGGGAGGGAAGGACCCGAGGCCCGGCGCGCGGGGCCTCAGCCCCTGGAGGGAAGTCGGGGCGGGCGCAGAGCGCCCCCCGCGGGTCCCCGGCCCAGCCCCCCGCCCCGCCCCGCGCACCTGAAGCGCTCCTGGCCCGCGGTGTCCCAGAGCTGCAGCTTGACCCGCGGCCCGGCGCGCAGCTGCAGCGGGCGGCTGTGGACCTCCACGTCCAGCGTGGGCGCCGGCGCCGGCTCCGCGGGGCGCTCGGGGGTGCCCGGGGCGCCCGCCACGTAGCGCCGCAGCAGCGACGTCTTGCCCACGGCCGCGTCCCCCAGCAGCGCGATCCGAAACTGGTGGCGGCAGCCCCCCGCGTCCATGGCTCGGCCTCCCGGGCGGCCGCCCTCGCCCGGCCCCCAGCGCCCCCAGCGCCCCGCCCCCCGAGACGTCCCGGGGCGCCTGACTGGAGGGCCGAGGGGACCGGGCTGTGCGCAGGGCCCGGCGGGCAGGCCCGGGGGAGGGTCGAGGCCGAGGAACGGGCCTGGCCGGCTGCACGGGGCCGTCGCTGCCTCTCGGCCTGTTTTCTCCTGCAAGTGGGCAGCGAGTGCTCCCGGCCCCACAGGACAAGGAGATTAAACCAGATCTGGTGGGAGCAGCGGCCTCTCCACGCCTTCCTCCCTGGGCCAGGCTCTCGCAGCACCCCCCCCCCGTCGCTCCCCAGGGGGGCCCCGGCCGTCACCTCACAAGGGCCCCTTCATAGGGCCCCGCTCCCGGCTCCTGCTCAGCGCGCAGGGTCAATGTTCAAGTCTCCACTCCTCCTGCGGCACCGTCCTGGGGCCCCGGGGCCCAGTGAAGGATTGGGGGGCAGTGGCACAGGCAGCTGCGGGTGCAGAGGGAAGGCGGCTGCCCGCGGACCCACAGCTGACATGCACGAGGCCAGACGGTCTGCTCCGTGCGCTTTGCCGGCAACGACCTTTGGGGCCTTCACGCGTCTGCTGTAAGTGGAGGTTCAGACGTGCGGATTGTCTCCGGCCCACAGAAGGGCAGGGACTCGCATGCAGGTTCCTGTGATTCTTCATTACCCCCTTGATGCCTAAAAGGGGACTGGAAAGCAAGTCCCCACAGGGGACGTGCGCCCTCAGGTCCCACTTGGGTTAGGGGCAAAGGGCAAGGCAGGCACTTCTGCTTCCAAGTCTAGTTCGCCCCACCCTGTCCATTCCCTCCCGGAGCCCAGGACCCTGAGGCTGGAGTTCTGCCTGGCTGCAGGCTGCCCATCGGCGCAATCCCATCGTCCTGCTGATGGTGTTACCTGCTGCGCTCGGGCCCGTGGTAGTCCTCACTGTTGCAGAGCATCCTGTCATCTCATCTCCTCCACAGCCGATGGGTGGGGGCCGTTATTCCATCCATTTTTACAGATAAGGAAACTGAGGCCCAGAGACCACTCACTGAGGAAGACCTCATGACTCGCCCTTCTCTCTGGGCTCTCTCTGGCGTTCTCTCGCCTCTTCCGTAGTCACTGGTCCTTTCGTAGCGGCCTTTTGATTGATGGTGCCGGTGCAGCCCCGCCCCTAGGCACAGGTGTGCTCACTCACGCACGCCCACGCTCATGCTCCAGGTGTCCACAATCAGGCACGCGTGCTCCGCGCCCACGCTCCCAAGCGCCTTCCACAGCAACACAGTCAGGGGCCCAGGTGATAACCATAGAGGACAGTGGCGTAAAAAGCCCAATGAGGGCCTCCCCGGTGGCGCAGCGGTTGAGCGCTGGGTTGCGAAGCTGCCTGCAGCCTCAGCAAAGCCGGTTCGATCCGGGGCCACCGGGTGAGGGTCTCACATGGCGCGCAGACCTCTCCTGCCGCCCGCTGCTCCCCTCAGCAGTGTACTTCGTCAGTCTGCCTGTTCTGCTCCCCGCTCTGGTTCTGGCAAACTCTCTCACCCTCTTGTGAATCTGACTGTACCCAGTGCTTGTATAAATAAATAAATCTTTTAAAAAAGAGAGAAAAAGGGCCTCCCCAGTGGCGCAGTGGTTGAGCGCTGGGTTGCGAAGCCGCCCGCGGCCTCTGCGGCGCTGGTTCGATCCCCGGCTGCTCCCCGGCCACCGGAGGAGGGTCCCACATGGCGCGCAGACCTCTCCTGCCGCCCGCTGCTCCCCTCTGCAGTGTACTTCGGTCCTTCTGCCTGCTCTGCTCCCCGCTCTGGCTCTGGTGGATTCTCTCACCCTCCCGCGCTTCTGACTGTACCCAGTGCATGTATAAACAAAACAAACAAACAAACAAACAAACAAACAAACAAACAAATAAATAAATAAATAAATAAAACATGCCTCTATTAAAAAAAAAAAGAGAGAAAAAAAAAAAAGAGAGAGAAAAAAAAAAAAGCCCAATGAATTCACTTACCCTTCAGGACCCATGAGGTGTGTGTTGGGGAAGGAATCCTTCCTGCCAGCTCTGCCCGAACCAAGAGAGTTGGCCCCATCCCTTTCTCCATCCAAATGTTCTCATCTTGCTCTTGTTCCACTGAAAAAATATGTTTTGTGTCAGGCTCCTGTGGATGTCCCCAGGCCCTTCTTTTCCCTCTATTTTCCTGGTCATGCTTGTTTAATGCCATGGTCATACTGTTATAGGACAGGGAGAGGGGCAGCCCAAACCCCCGCAAACCTGCCTATTCTAAATGGGTTCTGCCATCCGCCGCATCAACACAAAACATAGGAGACTTTAATGGGAAGGAACTTTAATAAAACTAGGAAACAATACAGGTAAGGCAAAGAGTCTAGTTTCTAAATGAAGCACCCAAAGTTACCCGTCCCCTCGTGGGTAAAATTCCATCCATATGGGATCGGCCCAGAACAAGGCCCCAAAGCCTGCTACAAGTCTAAAGCATCTTCCAGTGGGGACCCACAGAAAAGGGTCAGAAACAACCAGACAAGCCCGGAAGGAAAAGAGCAAAATCAACATCAAGATAAAAGCTGCCATTGTCACCTCCCCACGGGTCTCACCCACATCTGTGTCACCCAGTCCACGACCAAAAGACAAGCGCAGTTTCTTTACGTGTCTCTAGGCTCCATGCGCCTCCTCCAGGTCTCCTTCTGGCTCCATCCTGCTCCTTCTTCCTTCTCTTCTGCAGCTTCTCCTCTTCCTGCTCAGCTCCACCCTTCCTTGGGTGGGGCAGGGAACCTGGAACCTCCCCCTTTCCTGGGGACCACCCTGTTACAATACCAGCAGGCAATGAGCAGGTGGCACAGGATTAGGAAAACTGAGATAATAGAGTACAGTTTACTTAGTAAGCCCGTCCTCGAGTTATGTATTAGGGGAAGAGAGCAGCCTTGAAGAAAATGCATTCACGTAATGAGTTGCCAATGGTCTCTTCCTAAGCAGCCCTCGCGAGGTCCCCTCTCTGATTACCTGACCGAGCGCTCTCCCCAAATCCACTCAGTCACTGCTCCCCATCCACCCACCACAATTGGAATGCAGTCCTTTTCCGCCCACATGGTTAATTTCCCGACTTTGAAAGTCTCTCCAGGGCCTTCCTGGTGGCACAAGGGGTTAAGACACAGCCTCTCTAGCCTGAATTCGATTCCCCGCCAGGGAGCTACCCACATGGCGTCTTAGAACTCTTCTGGCTTGCCCGCTGCTCTCCTCAGCAGTGTATTTCAGTCAATCTGCCTGTTCTGCTCCCCACTCTGTCTCTGGTGAATCCTCTCACCCCCTGCACCTCTGGTCTGCACCCCAGCTCTTGTATGCATAAATAAATCTTTAATAAAAAGAAAGTCTTGGGGCCACCCCGGTGGCGCAGCTGTTGAGCGCTGGGTTGCAAAGCTGCCCTCAGCCTCTGCAGCGCCGGTTCGATCCCCGGCTGCTCCCCGGCCACTGGAGGAGGGTCCCACATGGTGCGCAGACCCTTCCTGCTGCCCGCTGCTCCCCTCAGCAGTGTACTTCGGTCCTTCTGCCTGTTCTGCTCCCCGCTCTGGCTCTGGTGAATTCTCTCACCCTCCCGCGCTTCTGACTGTACCCAGTGCTTGTATAAATAAATAAATAAATCTTTAAAAAAAAAAAAAAAAAAAAAGAAAGAAAGAAAGTCTTTCCAGGGCCTCCTTGGTGGTGCAAGGGGTTAATACGCATCCTGAGAAGCTGTCCGCAGCCTCTGCAGTACGAGTTCGATCCCCTGGCCAGCCAGGGAGTTACCCACACGGTGCAGCAGACCTCTCCTGACTCGTGTGCTGCTCCCCTCAGCAGTGTATTTCAGTCAGTCTGCCTGTTCTGTTCCCCGCTCTGTCTCTGGTGAATCCTCTCACCGCCCCCACACCTCTGGCTTGTACCCCAGCTCTTGTATGCAAAAATAAATAAATCTTTAAAAACAAAACAAACAAACAAAAAAAAAACCAAGAAAGTCTTTCCAGAGACTGATCTGCGGGGAGCAGGGCGCGTCTGATTAGCGAGCCCAGTGCCTTCAACAGGACAGGACGTTTGGCGAGTGCAGACTGAAGGCAGATGAGCCTTTTCAGATCCTGAAGAAATCAATCACGGGGTCCCCCCCACCCCCAGCGGCAAGGACGCAGCCCGCAGCGGCGCGGGGATGGGAGCGGGCGGAGCCAGGGCGCCAACCCGGGCGTGGACTACAACTCCCAGGAGCCTGCGCGGCGCGCGGCTCCCAATGTCCGGCGCCGCCGCAGGGCGGGGCCCATATAAGCGCCGTCCCGGCGCGTCGCGTCCTTTCTCCCGCGCCGCGTCCCCTCGGGAGGAGCTGGCGATGCTGCGGTCCGCGTGCCCTGTCCTCCAGGCCCTCCTTCCCCGGCCCCATGCTCGCCGCTGGCGGCCCGACACGCCGCGGCTGCCTGCGGGGCTGCCGGATGCCGAGCGCGGCGCAGAGGAGCCGGGCGACCGGCTCGCCGGGGCCGAGGGGCCGGCGCCCGCCCGGGCCGCGCCCTTCCCCCGCCTGGGCCGCGCCCTTCCCCCGCCCGGGCCGCGCGGCCCTGCGCTCGGGTGAGTAGCGCGGCCGGGGCCCGGCGCGTGGCTGTCCTGGGTCTGAAACGGCTTGACGAGGGGGAGGCCGCGTGGGGTGCACCGAATCCGCGCGTCACGACTGCCTGCGGTGTGGCCTTGGGCACACGACTGAATTAGATTTGGCTGCACGACACATGTTGAGAGGTTACCTTGGTGGATACGAGATTTTCCGGGGAACGGGTTTTTTTTGGGGGGGGGGGGAACGGGTTTTACAGTCATTCTGAAACCTAGTTCTCCCGCTGCCGATAGGCTGCCTTAAGCAACTAATTTAGTCTTAACCTTGTGTGTAAAATGAAGATAGAATGGCCCTGTGAAGATGCAGTGAGACAAACGCAAAGCATTGGCACATGATGAAATAGAAAAGCGGGACCTGTAGGATTTTATGCTCTTTGTGTTTCCGTGATGTTGGGGTACATTAGTTTCAGGGGACAGAAATGCACATAGATTGAGAGGCGTCTGCGGGGCTGTCCTGTGGTCCTGATAGCCTTGGGGCCCTTATCGAAGCTGCAGCTGCTTCCACGTAGCCGCTGTGGTCAAAAAGGAGCCCAGAGTGACAGTTTTCCTTGACGGTCGCCGTTCTGTTTGCTGTAACTGATCTGCAACATTTCGGGAAAAGACAGTTCTACCTGCAGTTTTTTTGCTTAGACCTTTCCAAAGGCCAGCAGTTATGTTCTGTTGCTGGAGTCTGAATTAACTTGAGAAGTAGTGTGGTGGGGCACTTGGGGTGGGATGGATTTCCGTAATGGATAGTCCAGTAGCAGGTGGCACAGATCTTGGTGTTTCGGGGCATTACCCTGAAAAGCCTCATGCATCAGTACCAGAACCAAAGGCCTGTCACACCTTTGATGCTGAAGACCAAATAAAGGGAACTGGAAGGTCACTCAACAGCTGTTTCATTTTAGCTACGCCAGGTGAAGATTTCGGCATGTCTGAAGTGAACTTTCTGATAAGTGAGGGACCACGAAGTCAAAATCCTGGAACTCAACAGCCTCAGACCTGGTAGGTGTTCGTGGTGTAACTTGAGAATTACGTGGTTTTGGCTACAGCATGTTTCCAAGGGCTGTGGCCGGTTGTGGCCATGGGATCTCCAACTGCATGCGAGAGCAACATGGAGAGACTTTGACAGCACAGGTCAGCATAATACCTGCAGCTGCCACTCACCTTCCTATAATATTCCCATGCTGGGGCTGGAAACCTTCCACCCGAGTCCTGGGCTTTCCATCAACTAAATGTAAATAGGAATATTGGATCTACTTTAGAGCTTTTATGTTTTTTTCTAGATTACCCCTGGGTTTTCTGGCAGTATCTGATACTGAAGAATTTGAAGCGGCCCCCTTGCTGGAGCGGCTTTATAAGGTAATGTTTGATGCTTAAGATAGTTTGCCCCTCCGGTTCCCTTTCCCATCGGATCTGAACACTGGTCTTGGTGGTCGTATACGGAGGAACAGTGATACTGAAGCTGGTTCACAGGGCTTTTCGTCAGCCGTGTAGTGTGTGGATTAGTTTCGAACAAGTTGAATTCTCCCTGAAATGGGATAGTCTTGTCTGCTCTGAGTTGCTGATTGCTAATTTTTGTATTTGGGAAGGAGTTAATGGCTTTCTTGCCTCAAGTCACTGTTTACCCCCTTCTTTTTTTAGATGTTACCAGTAAAGCTGTCTACATCTTGAGTTTGGTAAGTGGGGTGGCTGGAACTTATCACAGCTTCCTTGGGGCTAATGGTGGCTAGTGTTTCACTCTGCTTAAGCAGCACAGCAGAAAGGTACATCTGGCCTTTCTTGTGTGCTGTATTTGTTAGCTAGTCATAACTAGCAGACAAAAATGTTTGCATTGTGACTTGGTCTGTTAGATTTGCCCACCCTAAAGGCCAAGAGCAGAATGTAGCCCTGAGCATTTGAGAGTTCAGTAGTTTAAGTCCATTACCCTGCTCCCCATCATGTGTCATGGATTGGGTAAAAACAAATAGCTCCACCAGGCTCCTTGGTATTTTAGACTGGTCCAGGATGAAACCTATCTGATTAGACATGCATGGATGACAGATGCGGATATGGGACTGAGACCAGCTCTTAAGAGAATGCTTGGGAGGCCATTGATTGTGGCAAGTACTAACACACCGGCTTAAACTTCCTTTACAGAATACTGTGCGAAGAGGCAAGCTGGAAACAGACTTACACTTTTTGCTAGTGCTGGCACCTGGCATAAGAAGTCAACAGATTGGGTAGTGGTGGTCTAGGGGTTAGCAGCGGACCTCTCCTGTCTCCCCCACTGTTCCCCTCAGCAGTGTATTTCAGTAGGTTTACCTGTTCTGCTCCCCACGCTCTCTGTCTGTTGAATCCTCTTAACTCTGCACCTCTGGCCTACGCCCCAGTTCTACTCAAATAAATTTTTATTTTTTTTTTTAAAGATTTATTTATTTATTTATACAAGATTGGCTAGGGTCTCCCCAGTGGCGCAGCGGTTGAGCGCTGGGTTGCGAAGCTACCTGCAGCCTCTGCAGCTCCAGTTCGATCCCCGGCTGCTCCCCGGCCACCGGAGGAGGGTCCCACATGGCACGCAGACCTCTCCTGCTGCCCGCTGCTCCCCTCAGCAGTGTACTTCGGTCCTTCTGGCTGCTCTGCTCCCTGCTCTGGCTCTGGTGAATTCTCTCACCCTCCCGCGCTTCTGACTGTACCCAGTGCTTAAATAAATAAATAAGTAAATAAATAAATAAATCTTTAAAAAAAAAATAAGATTGGCTAAAGTTTGCTTGTGAGTTTTTTGTATCCCTTGAGTTGATTAGACCCAGAATGAATAAAAGGTTCACCTCTAGACACCATGACTAGCCACACAGTCTACTGTGCTGAGTGAGAATTCATGCTGAACTATTTCCTATATACTCCATTTAGATGACAGTCAAGAGGTGATGGGCACGGCCCCTACATGGCTTGGTAATGCCCTTTAATATGGACTTTTAAAAAAATCTAAGCTGGGCCTCAGCAGGCTACAAGCTTTGTGTCTTATGTAGAATTAGCTGCACTACCTCTTCTTTGCCACTCATTGGCCTGCTTTAGTGCCCAGTCTAGTCACAACTACAAATATTTACAAGCCTGTTACCTGAAAGCTGAGTCAAGTATATCCCACCCTAGCTGGGCTCTCCTGTCCAAAGGCAGATGGGAACCATGTCCAGTCTTGAATAGCTGGCTCCTTAGCTTTCAAATTCAAAGGGCAGAAACACTCAGAAAACGGTTGTCTTAATAGTAATATAAAACATTTTAAAAAAAAAGGTCTGGTTTTTGATTTCATTTCCTTCAGTCCATTCTGGCTTGTTTGTCTTGGCTACATCATGGCAGGGATCTCTGAAGACACTGTGTCCAGGGGTTGCCAGTGACAGTCCATCAATGCATCATACAGCTCCTCACTCTGTTCCATGAACTCCTTGTTGGCTTCTGTCACATCCAATTGAGGCGTGGGGTCTGGAAGAGAAGCAAAGGTGGGCTAAGGAGAAGCACTCAACAGCCCAAGAGACCTACATCCAGTGCCCTAGAGCCAGGATTTCTATTGGATTTGTTTCCTAGGGCTAGTCCCTGTCCCGTCGGTTCTCTGCACTTACAGGGGCTGACAGCAAGCACTGCCCTGGTTCCAGTGAGGATGAAAGTAAGCTACATGCCTCAAGAATGAAGCATATATACTGAATACAATCTAGCCATCACATGCCCTGGGTTTTCAAATTTGAGTTTAAAAAGTCACGGCAAATTACTGAAAAACAAAACACCAAAAAAACCTGTAATTTCTTACAAGAGAAATTTTGTGATTTTCCACATACATTTCACAGTAAAGTTTAAAAATTCTTTTTCACTGACTGATTATGTAATTTTCCTTTAGTCTTCTGTTGGTTTGACATGCATATAAATACACTCATGCATTTAAAAACAAAAACGTGTACTCCCCAAGTTGATCCAAAGTCAATGCATTCACTATCAAAATCACCTGACAATAAAACAGACATTCAAGGAACTTAGAATAGTCAAAGATGATCTTGAAAAAAAATGCAAAGACTCATGCTTCCCTGCTTTCAGTATTATGGCAGAGTATAGTAACGGTGGGAGTAGCCTAGTGACAGCCTCAGCAGGATTAAGGTACCCACCAAGCCTACATATTCAGTTAACCAATTTCTGACAAGGGTATCTGAACTCACTGTGTAGAGAACAGTCTTCGATGCATGGTGCTGGCACAACTGAATAAGCACATGAAAAACGATGCTAGACTCTTCTTTCACACTATACAAAATTCAATGAAAAATGGATCAAAGACCTAAATGTAAGAACTAAAGCAATAAAACCCTTGGAAGAAAACAGGTCGTGGTATCTTAGAATGAAACTATAAGCACTAACAAAAGAAAAAAATAAACTGAGCTTCATACAAATTAAAAACTTGTGTACTTCAAAGGAGATTACCAAGAAGTGAAAAGATAACTCACAAAATGAAATAACTTAGAAATAACTTAAATAACTTAAAAATAACTTAGAAATCAGGACTCGAGTTAGAAGCAAAGTAGCATACCACATAAGGAAAGCATGTCTTGAGTTGGCCAGGATTGTTTTTTCAGATCAATGTCATAATGAAAGGACATCTGTGTATTTTACAGATGCGTTAAGGACATGGATGCAATGAAAGGACATTGCTATTTGAGGACCTGTGGTATAATACCTCATTTGAAGAGATTTGTCTGAAAGTTAGCAATTTCTTCAATTTCAGTATTACTGCAGAGCTATAACATGCTTACTATGGTAACAGATGCTTACCAATAAATGCTTCTAATTTAAAAACTGATGATAGCTACTACTACAAAAGGTGATTTCCATAATACCTCAGTATATTTTCAATCATAACTACTAGAAAATGAAAAATACATGTAATTTAAAATACAGAAAAAATTAAAACACAGGGCAAAAAATTTCATAAACTGCCAAATACAAGGCAATAGCATTTTTGCTAGAGGCCTCCATCCTGGGGAGACCATCATTCCATAGAGGGGTGCCTCGCTCCCCATCAGGCTGCTTTCCCTGGGCTCGCTGAGACCAGCACTCGCAGCTCAGGTGACACCCCTTACTGTAGTTCTGTAGGTGATGGCTCTGTCACTAGAATGTAAGTTCCTCTAGAGTAGAATTCACCTCACATTCTTTCAGCATGTAGCTAACAAAGCACAGTGCCAGCAGCACAGCAGTCACTTAGTCACTGTCACACAAGTGAAGGAGTGAATGGACTCCTTTCTTACCTTCTAATGCGTCATCTCCAACTTCTTCGTATGTCTGTCAAGAGACCGGAGAGGAGAGTGAGAAGGATGGTGAACTCTGGACCCACGACAAGGACAGCTTATTTTTTTTTTTTAAAGATTTATTTATTTATGCATACAAGAGCTGGGGTATAGGCGAGTTGTGGAGGGGGGGTGAGAGGATTCACCAGAGACAGAGTGGGGAACAGACAGGCAGACTGACTGAAATACACTGCTGAGGGGAGCAGTGGGCGAGTCAGGAGAGGTCTGCTGTGCCATGTGGGTAGCCTCCTGGCCAAGCGTGGATTGAACTCATGCTGCAGTGGCTGTGAACAGCTTCATAGGTTGTGTCCTAACCTGTTGCGCCACCAGGGAGGCCCGGATGGCTTATTTTTAATAAGAGGAACTGGGATGCTTCATCCTTTGCCATTTTCTTTTGAAGCCCAAGCTCCCATCTTTAACCATCCCGTCCCGGAAACGACCCACATTTTCAGAGGCTGTCAAGAGAGCCAGACCTGTCAAATCACGGTTACCTGCATGGTGCTCTGGGTATAGCCATACTGGGGGTAGCTGTAACTGTAGCTGCCTGTGTTCTGGTCATAGCCCCACTGGGCATAATAGTTCTGGTACTGCTGATAATACTGGTTGTAGCTGTAACTGTACATCTGACTATATTCCATGGGCTTCACACGACTCCTTGATGAAGAAAATACCAAAAATAAATAAGCAAGTATAAGCAAACATTTCCACAGCATTTACTGGAGGTTAGTGACTGTTCTACGTGCTTTACATAGGTGAACTCTTTAATAGCAGCCCTATGCAATAAGTATAAGTTATCCCTACTTTATAGATGAAGAAACAGAGGGACAGAGGGGTTATGTAATGTGTCCAAGTCACAGCTCATAAGAGATTCAAACCCAGGCAAGCTGGTTCCAGAGCTCATACTTTAGAATTAGGAGCTTTTGCTTCCTTTTGGGGCCATCGCTGAAGCACTAGCTACTAAAAGGAAGTTCAATTCCTTTGTGACTTCTGACCAGAGCAAGAACCATAAAAGACACTTCAATGCACCCTCCCACATTCACAGGAAGATCCTCTTGTCCCCTCTTCCCAAAAAGCTAAAACAGAAGTACCATGTCCAATCCATGCCCACCCGGAACGATGATGGCAAAGTATCTGGGTTTACAGGAAGAAATGCGCCATCTACACTGAGAGCAAGAGACAAAGGCGAGTGGCACAGCTGCTCATGGGGGCCTTCACCCCAGCAAAGTGGGGATCACTAGACTAAAATTGGACAAAGGAAGAACCAGAGCAAAAACAAAGAAACAACTGAGAAGATGCAAGAATAAAGTAGTCTTATAAAACGACTTTCATTAAAAACTGTGAAGATGAAAACATAATAAAAATAAATTAGGAGCTTTTAATGGCTAGGTTTGCTTTTCTTATCAAACCTCAAGTACTGACATCTTCAAGAGGGCGGGGGGCGGGGACCTGCTTTTCAGATAGCCACAAAGGCTCAGGTAAAAATGGTCTGAAGAATCTGGATTTAGGGTGATCCAAGAAGCATTTCAAACTATCAAATACTTAATCATCTTAAAAAATTAAGAATATTCCGGGAGCTTTGCTGTCATCGCCATGATCCAGTTACAGTTTATGGAGCAGGTACTCATACCTGTGCCAATTATATTTCATATGTGGCCCCCTATTTTAAGTCTCAAGCCTATGATAGAGCTATTATTTTTATTCCAGTTATAAAGATGAGAATACTGACAGCCTCTAAACAATTAAATGTATTACCAAGGACCAGAGTCAGATCTACCTGCCAAGTTCATACTCCTAACCCTATGCCATTACATATGGCCTACAAAGGATCCACTGTTTTCAAAAACATGAAAAATCATGCATGAATAGTCTTATGAAACAGGCCTGGAGTCTGACCAGCAGTTCTGGCTGAGAGGATTCAAAATATAACCCAAGCACAGGCCATGATAATGCGTTTCGAGAATCACTGCCCTGCAAAGAGCCAGTCTCTCTTAGGTGCACACACCCCTACTCCCTGCCCACCCCCCCACCCCGCCTTCACATGCATGCACATGAGGCTGAGGCTGACACAGGCCAGCTATCTATAAGGAGTCATTACTGTCACACAGTGAGAAACACAGTATATCCTCTTGATGGGGGCAGGGAGCATTCCATCTCCACAATGAAGCCAGAGAGGAAACCAAATCATAAGCAGGAGTTGAATTACCACAGAAATCTCCATCACTGGAACCACAAAGTGGGTACTCAAAAGTCTGAATAAGCTAGTCCCATGTTCCTTCTAAGCTCCACATCTGCTTGGGGAGCAGAACTCAGCCAGAGCAGCTGGGCAGACTGCACGGCTGGGTGCTCAGCACCACCTGCTGCTGGAGTGGCTAGATGACGTCCAGCAGCAGCCTCCCTGTCCCTACCCAGTACCAGGCTGGAATCTGCCAATGTTCGATTCCTTTCTCCCCTTCCATGTTTCAAGGATGTCTACCATGTTCAATTACCTGATTATGTCAGGTACCGTCTTTCTGGCCTCAGGCTGCATATTTCAGTTGCTTCTCCACAATTGGCTTTAAGAGTCTAACTCTCAAAGGGGACCTTTATTTCCCTCAATTCCTAGTGCTTAAGAATACCTCCTCAAGATTTCTGGACCTACTAAACATCGAGCTTCCATATGATCCAGCAATTCCACTCCTAGGTCTTTACCCAAAGGACACAGAAACATCCATTCCAAAGAACACCTGCACCCCTATGTTTATAGCAGCACTGTTTACAATAGCTAAGCTTTGGAAACAGCCCAAATGCCCAAAAATAGATGACTGGATCAAGAAGATGTGGTACATATACACCATGGAATATTACTCAGCATTCAAAAAAGATAAACACATGCAATTTGCAGCAACATGGATGGCGCTGGAAGGGATCATGCTCAGCGAAATAAGCCAGAGAGAAAAAGAAAAATACCGGATGGTCTCACTCATAGCAGGAATCTAGAAAACTTAAATAAGGGACCAGGAAAATGAATAACTATAAGAAAGTGAAAATCAAAATCAACAAAAAACTATGAACCAGAGACACTTTTTGGGGGGTGAGGGGCGGGAGGGGAGGGATTGGGGTCAGAATGGGGGGGTTGCAATTGTATGGGGAATATATAAATAAAATTTATTATTTAAAAAAATAAAGAAAAAAAAAAAAAAAAAAAAAACTCCTCAGAGGCAGGCACCAAATACTGATGAAAATAACAAAACCACCAAAAACCCCAAATGCTGACAACAGTGTTCAATGAAGAGATAAAGCTGACAAACTATAACCTCCTTGCAGAAGGAACTTTGTTTCTCCCCTTTACAGCTACAGCTCTAAAGTCCAGGACAGGCCCACAGAGTTGTAGGGACTCAGTTACTGCTGACTGAATACTAGGTAACATGTCAAAAACAACCAAAATAATCAACAAAATAACTGCTACATGGAAAAGATACTCAAAAGAATATACTGCAGCTGTTCACTGATATAAATGAGGCTAAAATTGGGTTATATAATTTTTTTTTGAATTTTTTAAAGATTTATTTATTTATTTATACAAGCACTGGGGTACAGTCAGAGGCACGGGAGGGTGAGAGAATTCACCAGAGCCAGAGCAGAGAGCAGAAAGAGGCAGACTGACGAAGTACACTGCTGAGGGGAGCAGCGGGCGGCAGGAGAGGTCTGCGCGCCATGTGGGACCCTCGCCCAGCAGCCAGGGATCGAACCGACGCTGCAGAGGCTGCGGGCAGCTTCGCAACCCAGCACTCTACCGCTGCGCCACTGGGGAAGCCCTAATTTTCTTTTTTTTTAAAGATTTATTTATTTATACAAGCACTGGGGTACAGGTCAGAGGTGCAGGAGGGTGAGAGAATTCACCAGAGACAGAGCAGGGAGCAGAACAGGCAGAAGGACCGAAGTGCACTGCTGAGGGGAGCAGTGGGCAAGACAGGAGAGGTCTGCCATGACATGTGGAAATCTCCCTGGCAGGCTGGGAATCGAACCGTGCTGCAGAGTCTGCAGACAGCCTCACAGCACTGCTTTCAATTCGCTGCGCCACCGGGTAGGCCCGGGTTATATAATTTTCTCCCTCCTAGGTTGTTACTAATTACATGTGTAAATCTCTAGCAGTAGTACTACCCAGCACTGCTACCTGCAATGTCTGAGTCTGCCTCCCGCAATCTTAGCTCTCTCCCCAACTATAAGCTGCTGGAGGGTCAGGGTCACACTCATTCATCTCTAACGCTTGGCACACAACCTGGAAAATAAGAGGATTATCTGTGATTTGAATGGACTCTCCCTCCAGCCTCCCATCTAGCATGGGGATGCCCTGATTATCAAATGGGTAGGGGGGTGTCCTGGTGGGAGTCAGTCCAGAGCCAGTGCATGACTCACGCTTTAGGGATTGCCACGCTCAGTCGCACTGGTTTAGACCCCAATCCCACTGCTCCCTGGCACTCTGTCAGGGCTCGCTTCTGTTCTAGTTCATCTGTGAATTTCACAAAACCATAGCCCCTGTAGGAAAAAAAAAAGCACTATTTAGATAATAAATAGAGGAAAGTAAAGTCTAAGAATGAAAAAGGGCTGAGAAGGGAGACAGCCTATCAGACCATGGGAAGGGAGGAGAGCCCCATTAGTGGAGTTGTACACAGAGCAACTGGAGGGCCAAGCCCTGGAGATCCCAAGTTCTGTAGGGATTCCCACGTCTAGCTCACCATGCTCCACACTTTCACTGATGGGGCTCCTTCCCAAACAGTTGCTTCCCTTCCAATCTACTGGAAAGTATTTTTTTCTTTTGGAAAGCAGTATTATTAGCAATAGTAGTAACAGTGGTAGAAAGTTCATTCAGCAAGTATTTTCTGAGACTGCATGACAGCCATTACACAAGCAGGCTAGCAGACAGACACAACGCTCCTACTCCCCTGAACTCATATTCTGCTTGGGGGATAAAAAATTACATTTAATGAGCACTTACAATTTCTCAGGCTGAGCGTTTTCCCAGAGATAGCTCATCAGTCTATGCAACAATTTGATAAAGTATGCCATGTTTTACTGGAGAGGGCACCAAGTTCAGAGGGATTGATATCTTGTCCAAAGTCATACTAGAAGGACTCACATTCAGGTGTGCCAGATTCCCAAAGCCCGAGATTACAATTACTACTTTGATCAAGAATGGCCCCTGCCTGAGGTATTTCTACTTTTGTAGTAACAATAAACAGAACAGTAAAAATTACAAAGCATTTCCTACTGCTTTATTTATCATCATTTAATTCAAACACACCCCCAACAGTAGATTCCCCCTTAACTACGGGGTATACATTTCAAGACCCCCAGTAAGTACCTGAAACTGTGGGCAGTACCAACTCCTATAAAGCTGACCCTGAGCAACGTGGGCCAACCAAACCTGGGCAGCTGAAAATTTATGTGAGCTTATAGTTTGGAGCCCTGTATACCCGGATTTCAATTACTCAGATTCAACCAACCAACATTTATGCTTGGCTGAGTCTGTAAAACTGGAACCCAAAGACAGGAAAAAAAAAAAAAATCCATATATAAGTGGACCAGTACAGTTCAAACCTGTGCTCTTTAAAGGTTAATTGTAAATTGTTTTTTCCTATACAAACATATCTATGATAAATTTATAAATTAGACACTGTAAGAGAATACAACACTAATGATAAAATAGAACATACTGTAGTAAAACTTATGTTTTAATAACTCTCAAAATAACTTATTACAGAATATGTAATATTTTTGGACCTCAAATGACCACAGGCAACTGAAAGCACAGAAATTGTGGCTAAATGGGGATTACTTGTACTATTCACCAGTCTAGTTTTACAGATGAGAAAATAGGGTCAGCGGTTCAGTAACTTGTCTAGTGCATCTTCCCTGGTTGGTATAGGAGCTGGGATTCCAATTAGCCAGTTTGGCTCCAGAGCCTGTGTTCTTAACTAGCATGCTTACACGGCCTCTCTACTGGCTCCGTCTGTAAGAAATATGCTGAAACTGAGAGTGTGGGCATCAATAACAGGTAAGGCCTTACTTAGACACGCCTGTCTGGTCCAAAACCACCTTGCCTCCCCGACAGGAGGGATAGACTTTGACGAAGAATTCATACAGCATGCCATCATCCACATCTGGGGTCAGGTCCCCCACAAAGAGGGAGTACTCAGGGCTGAGAGGAGAAACCAAGATTCAGAGACAAAGACCAAAACTTCTGTTCTGACAAGCTCTTTTGGCCCATTCTTGGTAAACCCTTCCTGGACCTCCTTACAGAAAAACTCATCTGCTGGGTCCTTAAGCAGGTCGTGGTTTGTTTCCATGGGCAGTCCTGGCAGAGGGTACAGAAGTGGTCTCCCACTGCCAAGTCCTTCACCAACTGCACAGAGCCTGTCTGGCTTTGAGTATTACAAAGTGCAGATGGAGGAAGAGTCAGAGGTGCTCAAAAGAGAAAACCAGACATTCTCTATTCATTACATATTTTTAATTCAAATGGTGAATGACAGAGAGAACACGACTTAGATCTTACCTCCTAAAGACCTAACACCGAGCTAAAATGAACACCCCCAACTTTTGGAACAGGCACGCAAACTTTTCCTGTCATGGGCCAGATAGTGTTTTAGGTTTTGTGGGGCCCCTATGATCTGTTACTTTTTCAATCCAAAATGTAAAAACTGTTTCGTGTGTGTTCACAGGTGATTCAAATCAAGCCACAGATGGCCAATCTTTGTTCTAGATCAGTTATTTAAAAAAAGAAAAAAAACCACCACACACTTTCATTATTATTTCACATACTCCTTGTATGAAAAATAAAATTACCAATGACTCTGACATAAACTTATGTCATTTTCTATAGCTTTTCTTTTGAGTTTATAAAAATCACATAGGATCATTTGTTTCTAGCATTCCCCCCCCACTTTTACCAAATGGCCAACACCTTGACATGTGCTCTTCGGCTATATAACTTGCTAATGGATACACAGCATGCCAGCTAATGAACATATTGTAAATTAAACCAGTTTCCTATTACTCGATTATTTGGATATCCCCCATTATTGTAATGGGGGATATTTTCAATATTTCAATGAAGTCATCTTTGCACACATCCATGAATAAAGTCCAAGAAGCAGAGTAATAGGTCAATGGGTACAAATCCTTCTAAAACTTTTCATGTTTTCAAGCTTTCAAATAGCAACCCACAGTGCTCAATTTGTTTCGATAACAGATCAATCCCTACTGAATAAAACCTCAATGATACGGGGAATAATAGAGTAGAAGGTCATACAGAGAAAAAATGGGCTCCTACAGAAGATTCCAGGATCATCCACCAGGAGGGAAGAGGAATGGGGCTGTCCTTTAAGGAGGGGAAGCAAAGGGAGACAAACTGGCTCCCCTTCCTCCTCTTTGTTAGAGAGAAGATGCATCATCGCTGCTCACTATCTAGACATTTTCTGGGGGATGAAATCACCCAGGGACTGCTCAGCACTCACCTGTTATCTGGTTGTTTTCCATAAGTGGCATAGTTCAATTTAAAACGCTTTGCCTGGAAATTTAAAAATAAACAAACTAAAACAGAGAAAGGTGTTTCAAGAGTCAAACAATATTTGAAAAAAACTGAAATAAATTACCTTGGCCAAAACATCTCCCCCTCTCTAAGCCTCAGACTTTTCTCCTGTATAAAATGAGGGGGTTGCACGGATGACCGCTAAGGGCACTGCCAGCTCCATGGTTCTATGAGCCCAGGGGTGCCAGTTTGGTGCAGCTGTAAGCTAAGTAACTGTAGGAAGAGCAGAATGTAACTCTCTTGAAATGTGTCCTCACTGCTGCCAGCCTGTTCTAGTTTTTCAGTCAGGAAAGAGGCCTAAGTGTTTCAAGTCTTCCATTAAAGGAGGCAACAGTGCAGAGAGGAGAGGGCATGGATTTTAGAGGCAACCCATGTTCAGTTTGTATCCTGACTCTGCAACTTGCTACTTTGTTGCCTTGTTATAAGTGCAAGTTATTTCACTTTCCTGAGCTTTAGTTTCCTGGTTGGTCAAAGATAACAATGCCTACTGTTTTGGGTTGTTACAGGATTAATTAACATCAATATACAGTAGGGATTAAAGAAAAGATGGTTATCAATGATAAAGTGGCAACAACATGATTATCTAAGGGTCCTTACAGGTGTGGCTCCTGGAAGGGGTTTCCCATTAATTTTATGCAAACACTTCTCTGCTGTGGCCAAATCTGCAAATTCTACAAAGCAGTAGCCAGCTGGGATCCTGGAGAGAAAACAAACAGAAAGAGCATGGTTAAAGATGCCCTTTCCAGATGAGATCCTGAAGGGAGAAAAGAATTTTTCTTTTAATAGAAAGTCCATGCAGTTTTTTGTTTTTTGGTTTTTTTTTTTAAAGATTTATTTATTTATTTATACAAGCACTGGGTACAGTCAGAAGCGCGGGAGGGTGCGAGAATTCACCAGAGCCAGAGCAGGGAACAGAATAGGCAGACAGACGAAATACACTGCTGAGGGGAGCAGTGGGCGGCAGGAGAGGTCTGTGTGCCATGTGGCACCCGGGGATCAAACCAGTGCTGCAGAAGCTGCGGGCAGCTTCCCAGCCCAGCACTCAACCACTGTGCTACCAGGGGAGGTCCTCCATGCAGTTTTGTTCCTTGCCATATTCCATTTCAGACCTAACTTACAAAATTGGGCCAGCCCCAGAACCATTTAACATTTATTTATGTTCTATTACCACCTTTGAGGTGCTTGGTGCCAAAATGTTTAATACAATTCAAACTTTTAGCTCTTAATGCCCTGTTTACAGGAAATACTAGGGACAGAACAAGTAAAACACTACCACAAGGAAATAAACTCAAAATGTAGAAACAAAATCTAGACCATAAGATCTTATATATGACAATAGTGTTAACTCTTTAAAAAGTCTCTGGCCATGTGTTTTGCAACCATCCCAGATGGCAGGTTCACAATCAGTTTAGGCAGCTTTTAAAAGAGAACCTTGGAGGGTCTCCCTGGTGTCGCAAGGAGTTAAGCACAGCACTGTGAATATATCTGCAGCCTCTGCAGCACAAGTTCCATCCCTGGCTAGCCAGGGAGCTACCCACATGGCCCAGCAGACCTCTCCTGCCTCGCCCGCTGCTCCCCTCAGCAGTGTATTTCTGGTTTTTAAAAAAATTTATTTTCATTTTTTTAAAAAAGATTTATTTATTTATGCATACAAGAGCTGGGGTATAGGCCAGAGGTGGAGGGGAGGGTGAGAGGATTCACCAAAAACAGAGTGGGGAGCAGAACAGGCCGATCTCCTGAAATACACTGCTGAGTGGAGCAGCAGGCGAGACAGGAGAGGTTTGCTGCGCCATGTGGGTCAGATCGCTGGCCAGGGATAGAACTCAAGAACTTATGCCGCAGTGGCTGGTGATAGCTTGATAGCACTAAGCCTTTAACCCCTGTGCCACCAGGGAGGTCCCAAGAGGTGGGCTCTTCTACATTAAAGAGACTTTATAGAAGAACTATTGATAAATGCATTCAGGATCTGTTCTCTGACTGGATCCTAATTCATTAAAAACCGAAAAGATGCTATAGAAAATATTCTGGGGACAATTATAAAAATTTGAATGTAGACTTGTCATTATGTTTCTAGGGAATTAATGTCAATACCACCAGCATGATATGAGCACTTTGGTTATGAAAGAAGAATGTCCATTTTGGACATATATGCTTATAGATATTCAGCAGCAGTGTCCAAAACTGTAATTCATTTTCACATGAATTACAGTAAATTCATTTACAGTCCAGTAAATTCATTTACAGTCAGTCCATTTACAGAATTACAGTTCAGTAAAATGAAATTATCCATCCACCTAACTAAAGATATTTTTTCTTTAAAACTTAATTTTTCGGGGCCTCCCTGGTGATGCAAGGGGTTAAGCACAGAACTGTGAAGCTATCCACACCCTCTGCAGCATGAGTTTTGTCCCCGACCAGCAGGGAGCTATCCACATGGTGTAGCAGACCTCTCCTGTCTCGCCAGCTGCTCCTCTCAGAAGTGTATTTCAGTCAGTCGGTCTGCCTGTTCTGTTTCCCACTCTGTCTCTGGTGAATCTTCTCACTCCCCGCACCTCTGGCCGGGACCCTAGTTCTTGTATGCATAAATAAAAAATTAAAAAAAAAAAAAAAACAGGTAATTTTTCTTTGAAAATGTGTCACAACTTTTCCGACAACCCAATAATTGAACGAACTAATTGAGTAAACTCATGGATGAACCTTACCTAATTTGGGGGATGTCTGAGACACCCATTATTCTATTTATGAAAACATCACTAAGAGACAAAAGTAGGATGTTGTGGGAATACCCTCTGTTATCCCTACCCACTAAGAGACTGATACTGAAAACAGTTAATTATCCTTAAGAATCACCCTTAGGGCCTCCCTGATGGTGCAAAGGGTTAAGTTGCAACCTATGAAGCTATACAAAGCCTCTGCAGCACAAGTTCGATCCCCGGCCAGGGAGCAACACACATGGCGCAGCAGACCTCCCCTGACTCGCCAGCTGCTCCCCTCAGCAGTGTATTTCAGTCAATCTGCCTGTTCTGTTCCCCACTCTGTCTCTGGTGAATCCTCTCACCACCATCCCCCACCCATACCTCTGGCCTGTATCCCAGTTCTTGTATGCATAAATAAGTAAATAAATAAGTGGCGCAGCGGTTGATCTCTGGGTTGCGAAGCTGCCCGCAGCCTCTGCGGCGCCGGTTCGATCCCCGGCTGCTCCCCGGCCACCAGAAGAGGGTCCCACATGGCGCGCAGACCTCTCCTGCCGCCCGCTGCTCCCCTCAGCAGTGTACTTCGGTCCTTCTGCCTGCTCTGCTCCCTGCTCTGGCTCTGGTGAATTCTCTTACCCTCCCGCGCTTCTGACTGTATCCAGTGCTTGTATAAATAAATAAATAAATCTTTAAAAAAAAAAAAAGGATCACCCTTAAATAGGGCCTTCCTGGTAGCGCAGCAGGTTGAACACAGCACTGCGAAGCTGTCCACAACCTCTGCAGTGCGGGTTAAATTCCCAGCCTGCCAGGGAGACACTCACATGGTGCAGCAGACCTCTCCTGTCTCGCCTGCTGTGCCCCTCAGCAGTGTTTTACATCAGTCTGCCTTTTCTGCTCCCTGCTCTGTCTCTTGTAAATTCCCTCACCCTTCTGCGCCTCTGGCCTTATATAAATAAATAAAATCTTTTTAAATAAAAATCACCCTAAAAGCTATCACCAGTGAAACAATCCAATCTTTTCTGGAAATACTACTTTAGTTCGTCAGTTCAAATAACCTTATAGACACAAAGTCAAGAAAGAAGGAATGACAGGGATAATACCAGAGTCCAAGGATCACAGAGCAAAATCTTGAGCTAAGTCTGATTGGCCAACTCTGTGCCTTCTGTCTTGTGTATCCAGAATTTTTTTTTTAAGATTTACTTTTTAAAAATTTATTTATTTATGCATAAAAGAACTGAGGTACAGGCCAGAGGTGTGGGGGGTAAGAGGATTCACCAGAGACAGAGTGCGGAACAGAGAACAGGCAGAATGACCAAAATACACTGCTGAGGCGAGCAGAGGGCAAGACAGGAGAGGTCTGCAGTGCCATGTGGGTTGCTCTGCGGCTGGAGGCAGGGACTGAACCGGCACTGCAGAGGCTACAGACTGCTTCACAGCACTGTGTTCAACCACCTGCACCACCAGGGAGGCCCAAAGATTTATCTATTTATGCATACAAGAACTGGGGTACAGGCCAGAGGTGCGGGAGGTGAGAGGATTCACCAGAGACAGAGTGGGAAACAGAACCGACAGACTGACTGAAATACACTGCTGAAGGGAGCAGCTGGCGAGACAGGAGAGGTAGCTCCCTGCCGGCCGGGGATGGAACTCGTGCTGCAGAGGCTGTGGACAGCTTCATAGCACTGCGTTCACCCCTTTGTGCCACCAGGAAGGCCCAAAATTTATCATTTTAACAAATTTTTTTAGAAGATTTATTGATTTATGCATATAAGATCTGGGGTACAGGCTAGAGGTGTGGGGGGTGAGAGGATTTACCAGAGATAGAGTGGGGAGCAGAACACGCAGAATGACTTAAATATACTGCTGAGGGGAGCAGTGGGCAAGTCAGGAGAGGTCTACTGCGCCATGTGGGTAGCTCCCTGGCTGGGGATGGAACTCCTGCTGCAGTGGCTGTGGATAGTTCACAGGTTGTGTCTTAGCCCCTTGAGCCACCAGGGAGGCCCATTTTAACAATTTTTAAGTGTACAGTTCTGTAGGATTAAGTACGTTCACATGACTGTACAACTAACTGCATCCTTGAGCCCTATGCTTTACTGAATTATTAATTTTCCCTGGGTCTTAAACTTCCTTATTTTCTTCGGTCTTTGTTTTTTATTTTGCATTAGCTTTCTCTTCACAGTACTCTTACAAGCCACTTCAAAGTCTTTCTAAATGAGGACGAATGTAAATGTAGTGTTAAGACCACCATAAGAAACACCTTGAGTTTAGTAATCGTGGGTAGGCAGGTAAATACAGCCCAAATTTTATTTCAATGAAGATTAAAATGTGAGACTTCCCTGGTGGTGAAGGGGTTAAATCTCCGTGTTATCAATGGTAGTGACCTGAGTTAGATCCCTAGCCAGGGAGCTGACCCACATGGTGCAGCAGATCTCTCCTGTCTTGACCACTGCTCTCCTCAGCAGTGTATTTCAGTAAATCTACCTGTTCTGCTCCCCACTCTGGCTTTAGTGAATCCTCTCACACTCCCGCACCTCTGGCCTACATCCCAGTTCTTCCACGCAAAAATAAAATAAAAGCTGATTATCTGTAACTTTCTGTCTACAAAAGCAAGAAGAAAAATTTTTAGGTCAGGATGATCTAGCAGTCAGAAAATCCATCCCTGAGTACTGGGGTTCTAAATACACAAAGCAACTGTACACCCAACAGTCAGAGTTGGACGTACTTCCTCTCATATGTACTTTTACCCATTTGATATTTTAGCAAGCTAAATTAGTAGAGTACCTGGCAGAGTAGATACCCAACAAACACTGTCAGATAGATTAAAAAAAAAAAAAAATCCTGTCATTTGGGCCCAGGGACTATGTCTGGCTTGTTTCAGTCATGTATCCCAGCAATCTCGAACAGGAACACATAGCAGTGTCTTTAAATAAATCTTCACATGAATAGTCTACCAGGTAAGGGCAGTCATGAGCTCTGAAGAAAGATTTGAATTCGAGTTGGCTTGTCATTTAATAGCCATATAAACTTAAGACAGTTATTAAGCTTCTCGAATATTATTATTTAGCTCAGACATTTGTGAGATTGAAAAAGTGACTTTTAATGCTAACCTAGCAGATCATGACCTGTTTACATTTACTGAGCATATACACATGCCAGACACTAAACAAGGATGATGAATCAGCTCATTTAACCCTCACCATAATTCTATGAGGTAGGTGCTATTATTATCTCCTTCACTTTTACAGTGAAGGTGAAACGAGAGGGGGAAGTCGGGTCACCTGCCCAAAAGTCACACAGCAGATATATTCTGGTTCCATGGTGCAGTCCTTAAACATTACCTGTATCTCCTCTCAATAGCCCCCAAAAGTTAGCTTCTGTAATGTTATGGCAACAATTACCAGGGCTGAGGAGTCCTGGCCCTGCGATGTTTACTTCCCCTGAAGGGCAGGGTGATCTATTAAGGGAGAACTGAGGAGATGGAAGAAGAGAACTTACCCAGTGAGGCGGTTTCGGATAATTTTGACGCTCATCACGGTCTCCCCCATGGTGGCAAAGGCTCTGGAGATGAAGTTCTCATCCATGTAGGGCTCTAGCTGCGTAAATAAAAGGGCAGGGCGTCTCAGGCCAGCATCCTGGGTCCCTTTCCCGGTTCCAGAGCCCCTCGCTCTCAGGCCCGGGTTGGCCGCCCGGAGCCGGTAGGGATGGAAGCGGACAGGGACGGGGTCGAGGCGGGGAGGTTTTCATCTGCAGAGTGATCTGAACCCCAACTTCCGCGCCCCCCACCAATCCTTCGCGTCCCTTCCTTCACACTTGCTCTCTTTAGAAAGCCTCCCCCCACCCTGGTCTTTGGAACCCCACCCCGCCAGTCTTACCACCACAGCGCCCTCCACCCCTAAGAATGTCTCCATTCTGTCCCCTCTGAGAACCCCCCTTTCTCTTCAGCAACCCGGATGGGGCCCTCAGACCCCTCAGACTCAGCGCCTTCACCCCCACGCCGGGACTCCCGCTTCTGTGTCCCCCAAAAGAACACCCCTCCACATTCCTAGGGCTCCTCCCCCTCAGGCCCGTCCTCTCTCGCGACACTAAGATTCCACCTCAGACCCGGGCGTCGCCCCAACTCACGTCGCCCATCCACAGGCTGGCCGCCATGCCCGCAGCGGGGCCGGGACTGCGCGGCGGCGAGGGCCGGCGCGGACGCCAGCCACTGGGCCGCGGCCGCAGGGAGCATGCGCCGCCGCGCCTTCTGCGCACGCTCGGAAGCTCGGCGCCTGGCCCGCTCCCTCTCTTTCCACTCCGGGTTTTCCCGGGACCCGGCTAGAGCTTCCGGATCCCGGAGTGCGGAATCCGGACTGGAGTGGGAGAGGAAGGTGAGACCTCTGCGGGCCTAAGACCTCTGTGGGTGGGGGCGACTTGCTTCGGAACCGACTTTCTCGAGTTTTTCCTGACTTACATTTCTATCTAAACATTCATACAGATATACATGTAAATTCTCAAAAGTGATGAATGTAAAAAGGTGCAAATATAAATGCTTAAGAAAAAAGTGATTGGGCCCTCCGTGGTGGCGCAAGGGGTTAAGCACCTCACTAAGAGGCAATCCACAGCCTCTGCAGACCGAGTTCGAGCCCTGGCCGGCCAGGGAGCTACCCACATGGAGCAGCAGACCTCTCCTGAGTCACCCCCTCAGCAGCGTACTTCTGTCAGTCTGCCTGTTCTGTTCCCCACTCTGTCTCTGGTGAATCCTCTCACTCCCTGCATCTCTGGCCTGTATCCCAGCTCTTGTATGCATAAAGAAATAAACCTTTTATTTATTTATATATATATATATATTTTTTTTTTTAAAGGTTTATTTATTTATTTGTTTGTTAGGGACTTATTTATTTATACAAGCACTGAGTACAGTGAGAAGCGCGGGAGGGTGAGAGAATTCACCAGAGCCAGAGCGGGGAGCAGAGCAGGCAGAAGGACCAAGGTACACTGCTGAGGGGAGCAGCGGGCGGCAGGAGAGGTCTGCGCGCCATGTGGGACCCCTCCTCAGGTGATGCAGCCGGGGATCGAACCAGCGCTGCGAGGCTGCGGGCAGCTTCGCAACCCGGCGCTCAACTGCTGCGCCACCAGGGAGGCCCTATATATATATTTTTTGTGGGACCCTCACCGGTGGCCGGGGATCGAACTGGTGCTGCAGAGGCTGCGGGCAGCCTCCCAACCCAGGGCTCAACCGCTGCACCACCAGGGGAGGCCCAATAAATAAATCTTTTTAAAAAAGAAAGAAAAAAGTGAATAGCTCTCGGGCCTCCCCGGTGGCGCAGCGGTTGAGCGCTGGGTTGTGAAGCTGCCCGCGACCTCTGCGGCGCCGGTTCGATCCCCGGCTGCTACCCGGCCACAGGAGGAGGGTCCCACATGGCGCGCAGACCTCTCCTGCCGCCCGCTGCTCCCCTCAGCAGTGTACTTCGGTCCTTCTGCCTGTTCTGCTCCCTGCTCTGGCTCTGGTGAATTCTCTCACCCTCCCGTGCTTCTGACTATACCCAGTGCATGTATAAAAAAAAAAAAAAGTGAATAGCTCCCTGTGGGAGTCTAGACCAACATCGTGGCACAAACCCTACATGACCTTGGGCATGCCACTGACCCACCAGTCCCCCTCTCACTCCATGATTCCTAGTTTGCAAGACAAGAGGTTTCTGTGGAAGCTTAGAATAGGGTCCTCCCCTTTCCCACGAATAACCTAGGGGTGGGAGAAGGGAAAGGTTAAAGGGAGTGTAAGTTAGGACAAACCTGTCATCTCAACAACCACTCAACCCCAAATCTTGTTACTCATCTTTCCTGAGCTTCACACCCATTGATTGCCCTAATCCAAACCACCAGGAGTTCCATCAGATCCCACAATTTCACTCGCCTAGCTGGAGTGTAGGAGAGAAGAGATTTGCCACCCCAAAATAGGTCTTTAGCAAGAGGTTTATTTCAAGCAAGAGCTTCTAAAGGCTGAGTGGAGGTTACTTTTGACGTATTTTATATATAAACGTGTCTCTGAAAGGCCCTCTCCCTAGACCTAATCTCTTTCTTTTCTGTGGAGAACACAGAATTAATTTTGTATTTCTTTTTTTCTTGGTAAACATCTGTAGGGTAAGGTAAAAGGTATCAGGTTTTGGGGCCTCCCCGGTGGCGCAGCGGTTGAGCGCTGGGTTGCGAAGCTGCCCGCAGCCTCTGCAGCGCCGGTTCAATCCCCGGCTGCTCCCCGGCCACCGGAGGAGGGTCCCACATGGCGCGCAGACCTCTCCTGCCGCCCGCTGCTCCCCTCAGCAGTGTACTTCAGTCCTTCTGCCTGCTCTGCTCCCCGCTCTGGCTCTGGTGAATTCTCTCACCCTCCCACGCTTCTGACTGTACCCAGTGCATGTATAAACAAAACAAACAAACAAATAATAAATAAATAAAACATGCCTCTATAAAAAAAAAAAAAAATTAAAAAAAAAAAAAAAAAAAGGTATCAGGTTTTTCTGCCCTCCCACCATTAGGATAGACGGAACCCTGTGGTCCTGAATACATGCCTGATGGCAGGCACCTGGAATAGGGTGTGGGCATAGGTAGATGGGATTCACCTGGGCTGAGACTGGGCTTTTAAGGGTGGTGTCAGGGGGACGCCAGCAGAAGCCGAAAGAGAAGCAGAGAGAGAAGCAAGAGAAGCAGAAGCTGGGAGAAGGCCAGAGAGCCCAGGGTGAAGATCTGCTGGGGGCTGGGAGGCCTGCCAGCCCACTGGCCCCCCAGTGCCCCTGCCTGCCATGTACCTGGTAATCCCAATAAAGACCTGCAAAAAGCCACTGAGGACTCTGACTCCTCCTTTACCTGGTCTGCTGGATCAGAAAACCTGCACCGGCCTACTCCTGACCTTACAACATCCTGAACTGCCTTTCTTCTCCCAACCTGCTTCCATCTGGGGTCATTATCAGTCATGCTAGTTTTCTCCCAGGTACATGTTATTAAATTTCTGTGTGTTTTACTCTCTTCAATGCTTGTTTACTTGCCAGCCTAGAACCCGGAAATACACAGGATTTCCTTTGCACCCCAACAGTGATCTGGACCTCAGCCTCACTTTGGTACTCATTTCTTAGAATGAGAAGTTTCTGTAGGTGTTGTCGTCTCTAAAAGTGAACTCACACCAAGTGTGAGTCCCTTTCTAGCACTCCTGGAATGGGTGTCGCTTCCCTACCAGTTTATATATCCTAAGCTTGGGGTATTGTATCAAGCACTCAGCAGTCTGAAAACCTCAGGGTTGCCAACTTTCTAGCTTTAGATAACTCACCGCAATGTATTGTTTAGTTGCTTTGGCTAGATTTGAACAAATTCTAACTTCCCCTAATTATTCTGTAAGTTATTTAACTTGAGAGTAATGTGCATAATAGCAATGCTTACCTCCTAGGGTGTTGTGAGGAAACAAGTTGGGAAAGCACTTGGCCCAATGCCTGACATCCAATATGGCAGATAACTGATAGCTCAGTTGTTTACTTAGCACTCCTCAGTCCCAACGCTGTGCTATTGACTATCTTAAAATTTATTTTACATGTGGTATTTTTTTTTAAAGATTTATTTATTTATTTATACAAGCTCTGGGTAGTCAGAAGCGCGGGAGGGTGAGAGAATTCACCAGAGCTAGAGCAGGGAGCAGAGCAGGCAGAAGGACCGAAGTACACTGCCAAGGGGCGCAGTGGGCAGCAGGAGAGGTCTGCGCGCCATGTGGGACCCTCCTCTGGTGGCCGGGGAGCAGCCGGGGATCGAACTGGTGCTGCAGAGGCTGCGGGCAGCTTCGCAACCCAGTGCTCAACCGCTGTGCCACCGGGGAGGCCCTTAAATATTTACTTTTTAGAGTGTAAATTTCACGAAACAGATTTTGTCAGTCTCGTCATACTCATACAGTATCTAGGATATGGCAGGCACTGAAAAAAAATTAGTGAGTTTATGACATGATAAACAGCTTTCCCTTATGCCCTCTATATATCCCTACCTTCAATCCTCACTCCCTTGAGGCAGTCACTTCCTAATATTTTCCCTAAATTATCTGCATATTTCTAATGAACATTTCTCATTTGTAGTTTCAGATACTTTAGTGACCACCTTTCTTACACATTTCATCTTGTAATTATAATTTTTGTCAAAGTTAATATCAGGCATTTACATGATTACCTTGTAAATATTTATAGCTCAGTTATATGGGATACAAGAATTACTTTTTTTGTTGCAACCACTCCAGGTTGGAGAATGAAAGAAAAGTAAAAGTATTGGATGTGTCTGAACACACAAAAGATTTCTATGGGCTAGATATTCGCGTTGAACTGGTACTTACACCAAAAGGCTAAGCACATTAAAAACAAGGTAATTATTAACTACAGGGAATAATGTACAATATTCCTAATATCAAAAACTTAAAGAGCATTTATTATATGTTTGACACTGTTCTTCATAACTTATAACATGCAGTATAAGGAAAAGGAATTGAGTTTCTGGGCTCAGGTGGAGACTGATTTAGATTCCAGCCTTGACTGTGTATTTGGTAGTTTCTTGACTTCTAGCAAGTCACTTGACCTATCAGAAACTGTTTTCCTGAGGGACAGCAAACCCTAATTTGAGGGCTGATATGAGGATTGAAGAAGCTATTATTGCATGTAAAGTATTCAGAGCAATGACTGGCCCATTTTAAGTCCATAAGAGCTGTTATTAAGACTAGGATACTTTCAACGTGCAATTATAATCAAAAGGGAAAACTCCAGTAAATCTAATCCAAATTAATTTTTAATTTTTTTTGGTGGGGGGGAGGAGGAGCGCAGACACAAGTTTCTTTACAAAGAAAACATTAAAACCAAAAGCATGATTTTTCCAAGAAATCAATTTCTAATTGAAATAGTGACTGCATCAAAACTAAAAGTTCATATATATTAGGGAAATGCCAATTAAGAGTTATTTAAAAATAAGTTTACAATTACATGAATGGCTAAAATGAAAATGACAAGCAAACTCAAGTTTGGTGATTTTGTGGATCAACCAGAGATCTTGTACATTCATGGTTTATGTAGAAGTACTTTGGCACAGTATCTTGCAGTATCTAATAAAAACATGAGCATTCTCTGTGATCCAGCAATTTCATTTGTGCAAACACACCTAGAAGAAACGCACAACTCCAGTCACCATAAAATTATGTACGTGCACGGCAGATTTGTAATAGCTCCAAGCTGAAACCAACTCACATTAGTAGAATATGTAAATAATGGTATCTTCCTACAGCAGCAGTAAAGCAATGCTATATGCAACAATGCAGATTTTCACAAATACAACACCAAACAAAAGAAACTAGTGTATACCATATTATCCTAAAAAAAACAATGATCAGAGTGGTGATCCTTGGGACAGTAATGTCTGCTTAGGAGTAATGTTTTTATTTCTTGATTTGGGTGCTGGCTACATGGCATGTTCATTTGTTAAAAAAAAAAATCATTAAGATGAACACTTGTGTTACACCTTAATAAAACGTGTACTTTAAGGGGAAAAAGTCACAGAATACATTTTACGTTTTTACATTGTATTAATTTCTTCAAGAGTCACCAACACCTAAGAATCCTCCTGGTGCTAATAAAACTTTGTTATACATATACAGACAGTATTATCAGCATTGTATATTATAACTTTCTTCAGTTCTATATATTCCTATAATTGTATAGCCCTATATGAACTGAAGAAGTCAATCTCAAATTTTTACATTTTGATTTAATTGTAAAAGTCACATGTAGCGAATGAGCACCATATTGGTCAGCTCAATGGTTTCATCGCTCAAATGCCTGTGAGAAAATCTACATTAATATGCATAAGTGGTCTGAAAAGCTATTGTGCAATTAATCATGTTTAATCAATTACATCAGCTGTTGACAATGATACAACAGCAAGCTTAATAGAAGCATTTCTAGAGAGGTACTGTGCAAAATCTTGGTTTGAGTTTAGAATATTAAGATTCATTCCAAGTATCTCATATTATACAGCATAATTTAAAACCCAGTGATTTGTGATACATAAATAAGTAGGAAAAAAAATCAATCTAATCTCTTCTCTTTGATTTGTATGGAGCAGTCACTATCAACAGCTGATTGGCACACACCGACACATCTCGACATCACTTAGGTCCTAGCTTTGACTAGGTCCACAGGAAGGGTTTATTCTGTCCTTCCCAACATAGCAGATGCTCCCTTAAAAAAAGCAGGGAGCATGTAGAAAACAAGTGGCCTGTTTTATAAAACTCTAAATTTATTAAAAGTGTTAAAAGGTTCCATTCTCCCCATCCTTTTTCTTACATTAAAAAAGAAAATCAAAACTGTTTTCTATTTTCTCAGCCACTGTACAAGCTACCACTTCCTTTTCTGGGGACCAGCCTCTCCCAAACTCTAGTCTTCCCCCTTTCACTCTCAATATTGCTATAAATTTGTTTATAAAGCCCTCCACCCTCGCCCCCCCCCCCCACGTCCTGCCCTGCAGGCAAAGCTTCTTTTCCAGATCCGGGGTCCTTGAAGTTGAGCAGGTTGCAAGGGTGGAAGAACAGGCAATGCCTGAAAGGCAGAATGCTTTGTGCTTCTGGGAAAAAGGCAGATTGGCTTCTTTCTTGATTAAGTGGACTTTGTTTTGTTTTTGCCCCATGCACACCTGTTGAGGGTCAACTATTTGGCTTGGGGTGGCCACAGCTGAGTAGCCTTGCCCCTTCTCCAGTTCCTCCAGGCATCGGTCCATGACAGCTGGGTCTGACTGATGACTACCCTTTGCCTGTGGACTCTGAAGGACAGGAAGAGTGGCACATGACTACAGTACTGAGCTTGATGGAGCTCCAACTTCGCAGTGTGGGCACCTAACCCCCAGGGGAGGAAGTTTTGGTTTTTGGTAGGTAAAACCAGGGTCAGCCAGGACCATGGGTGATGGATAAGGGAGAAAGGGGTAATCACATAGCTCTGAGCTGAGCAATGTTCCTTCAGGCAAAGCCCCCTATCCTTATATTGTGTCAATGCCCCTGGCCCCCGCCCCACCTTCATCCTGCAGGTCCCAGGATGACTCCAGAAAGGAGGAAGAAAAAGAGGAAAAGGATTCTGTTCTGCTGATGGGAAAAAGGCAGGAGATGACAGAGTACTCAGGGTTTGGGGAAGCCTGCTGGAATCTGTAGTCCTCATGGCTTTCCTGTTTCGGGAGGGAGGATGGGCGGGCCAGGCCCTCAGAGGCTTCATCAGCTCAGTTCCTTGTCCTTGACTAACAAGACTGTATGCTGGCCCCCACTGGACACAGATAAGACCACGCGGTTCTCCAGTTGCTTGCCAGTCATCTCTACTGGGCTCCAGGCATCCTCTTCCTGCCCGGTGCCCAGCTGATAGTTGGTGCCCATTCCCCAGGCAAAAACACGACCTGCAAGGGAGAGAAACGGGTGCAACTGTCTCCAGGATCCCAAGCCCCACCTTCCAGACTATTAAGAAGCCTCTGGGGCCTCCCTGGTGGAGCCAGGGGTTAAGATGCAGCACTATGAAGCTATCCGCAGCCACTACAGCATGAGTTCCATCCTTCACCAGGGAGGTGACCCACATGGCACAGCAGACCTCTCCGTCTAGCCTGCTAGTCCCCTCAGCAGTGTATTTCAGTCAGTGTGCCTATTCTGCTCCCCACTCTGTCTCTGGTGAATCCTCTCACCTCCCCGCATCTCCGGCCTGCACCCCAGCTCTTGTATGCATAAATAAACCTTAAAAAAAAAAAAAAAAAAAAAGCCGGGGACACAGAGATTTGTAAATTTTCATCATGGCCTGTAGCAGCCTGGTAATGTCCCAGGTTCTGGGAGTTCAGGGAAGCTAATTCAAGGAGATGATGGGGAAAAAAGAGCTTCGTCAACCAGAAACCACAGTCCTTACACACTGCCAAACACCTCTCGCTGCTTGTAAGCAAGGCATTCAAAGCCCTATGTGACTACCATTCCCCAGGCCCCTACACCACCCTCCATTACTAAGACAAGTCGCCTTTGAGACAACTCTAGATGCTTCTATGCCTGGAAAGCTCTTTGCTTATAAAGGACCACCTTCAAGGTTTGTGCAAGCCCCACTATCTCAGGAGATCACCTGAGATCAAGCATATCCACCAGGTCCAGACTTCTCATGCTACTGAGTCTTTTTTTTTTTTCCCTAAAAATTCTAAGTACAGCTTCCTGGGAAGCTGGTACATAGCAGATTGTAAATAAAGAGGTCACCATGGTGGAAAGCAAAGAACTAGAGTCTGGAGATAAGACTTCAAGTTGTATTGCCTGACTGAACCTCAATAACATACCCTCCCCTTTCCACAGAACCACCTTTATTAAAATCATTTGTTTACTCATTTTATTTATTTATTTTTTTTTTATAGCTTAGGTTTTATTTATTTATTTATTTTATTAGAGGCATGTTTTTTTTTTTTTTTTATTTTATTTATTTATTTGTTTGTACATGCACTGGGTACAGTCAGAAGCGCGGGAGGGCGAGAGAATTCACCAGAGCCAGAGCGGGGAGCATAGCAGGCAGACGGACCTAAGTACACTGCTGAGGGGAGCAGCGGGCGGCAGGATAGGTCTGCGTGCCATGTGGGACCCTCCTCTGGTGGCCGGGGAGCAGCCGGGGATCGAACCAGCGCCGCAGAGGCTGTGGGCAGCTTCGCAACCCAGCGCTCAACGACTGCGCCACCGGGGAGGCCCTGTTTACTCATTTTAAGTCCATCAAAGTTAGAACCTCTGAGAGTCAGGAAAAGCAACGTCATCAGAATCACTGCTCTCTGCCTCTCAGCTCCATCTGATGACACCAGAGGCTGCTAGGGAGTTTGGTGAGAATCACGACCCCTGGGCCTCCCTGGTGGCGCAAGGGGTTAAGTCTCAGCACTATGAAGCTATCCATAGCCACTGCAGCATGAGTTCGATCCCTGGCCAGGGAGCTACCCATATAGTGTAGCAGACCTTTCCTGACTTGCCCGCTGCTCCCCTCAGCAGTGCATTTCAGTAGATCCACCTGACCTGCTCCCCACTCTGTCTCAGGTGAATTCTCTCACCGCCCCCCACCCCTGCACCTCTGGCCTACACCCCAGTTCTTGTATGCATAAATAAATCTTTAGAAAAAAAATTCACAGCTTCCCCAAGCCCCCCATTAGAAAGACTGGGCAGCCCCACTCACCATCCTTGGTCACTGCATACCCCACAGAGGCCCCGCAAGCCACTGAGGAGACGGCAGGTAGCCTGGAGATGAGGGTTGGTATGCTCTTCTCCTCAGCACCCTCCCCGAGGCCTAGCCGACCATACTCAGCCCGGCCCAGGCTGTATGCTTTTCCTGTGAGAAGAGGGAGAAAGATGGGGAGATGCAGAGTGTGCTCCAGGTAGGCCAGGTGAGTCCCCGTAACTCTGAGAGTTTGTTCCCATGTCCTGGTGGTAAGGAGGCCTGTAGTGTCTCTTCCCAGTTTGGGGGGAGGCCTGGGAAAACAGTTCCATAGAACTCATATTTGGAAAATGCCAGGACTGTGGAGTACTGGGTTGATTAAGGCCCATCCTTGGAGCAGGGCCAGATTCCAAGGACCATGGTCTCACTACTAGTCTGGCTAGGCTTGTGTGCAAGGAACATTCCATCCCCCATCCAGAGGAGGACCTAGAGGTCCTACCTTCTGAATCCATGCAGACGGTGTGGTGCTGGCCACCAGAGAAGCCCACCCAAGATTTGGTGGAGTTCTTGAAGGACGTCAGGTTCTGGGGTACAAAGCAAGGTTCTGTGCCTGAGGTTCCTGGAGGGAAGGGCAAGATAGAGCTGTCATGGGTACAGTTGTCCAAGGACCTGCCCTCCTTCATGCCCTCCCACAGTGAGGCCCAGCCAGGGTATTTATATTCTCACTTTACAGATGACAAACTGGCTCTGAGGGGTTAGGTGGTCCCACCAAGGGTGCAAAACAAGTGAAGGGTAAAGCCAGGCTTGGAACCCAGGTGTTACTGGGCTATGCCTGATGCTGGGCTCGGGACTCACCAAGCTGATGGTAGTTGGAGAGGCCAAAGCCATAGACGTGGCCTTCACGAGAGATGGCAAAGGTCAAGTAGGCACCACAGAAGGCATCCTGGAATCTCACGTGACCCCCACTTCCCCTGGATTTCAGAATCACACATTTGGGAACCAGGAGTCGTTCTGCAGGCAGAGAAGAGGTCAGGGTCAGCGGCAAACACACATGGCCTCTCTCTGCCCTGAATCTGGTTCTCCTTCACTATTAAAGGCCTCAAAGGAAGGCTAAGCAGGAACTCCTCTCCCTATTTTACATGAGAGGAAACTGACGCCAAGAAACAAGTGCCTCAAATTCCAAAGCCGTAAGAGGTAACATTTACCTGGAACTTACCAGGTGCCACACATTCTCCTATTATTAACACCTTCTATGTTAACTTCACAACAACCCAGTGAGGTAGGTTTGGAGACGAAGAAACTATGTCCACAGCTAGTAGGGGTAGAACCAAGATGCAAAACCAGAGTAGCGTGGCTCTAGAGTGAATTCTTAACCACCGCAGGTCCCTCTGACACAAGCCTGAACAGACAACTCCTCCTGCTTTTCTTTGACTTTTACATGGGGGGTGGCTTGCCAAGTTGCCTGCCGGAAGGACCTAAGCCACCTACCAAGGCCCTGCCGGCCACCACGATTGGCAAATAACGCAGGCACACGGCCCAGCTGGCCCTGCTCCCCGCAGCCCAAAGTGTAGAGGTCGCCATCAGCTGTCAGCATCACCAAGTGGTCGTTGCCTGAGGGTGAGAGGAAGGCAGGGGATGCAGGGCTTGTAGGTAAGGCCCAGGCTGGGTTGGCCCCAGAACAAGGTTCCCTTAATTCCTGCCCAGAGTACCCCCAGTCTCACCTGAGGCCACTTTCACCACAGGCATACCCAGCTGCACCTGGACGGGCACCATGCTCTTCTTCATGGGCTCCAAGAGCCCAATCACACCATTATTGTCCTGGAAGGGAGGGGTAGAGAACCTATCAGCCAAGTGCAGGCTTACAGACAACCACAGAGCTGGAAAAGGGCACTGGTGCCAGATGGAGATATGGCCAATAGCCAGGCCACATACTGAAATACTTATAAACACAGTCATACATGCCTTTTATTTGTTTTAAAATAACAGGAGGGGGAGTGGATGGTAGGTAGGAGAGTGCAAACAAGTTGGCTACAAGCTGATAATTGCTGGGTTGAATAAATGGGGGTTCATTACTTTTATGTATTTGAAATGCTCCGTAAAAATATTTTATGGCCTCCCTGTTGGCACAAGGGGTTAAATTTCAGCACTGTGAAGCTATCCACAGCCACTGCAGCAGTCAGGGAGGTGACCCACATGACACAGCAGACCTTCCTGTCTTGCCCACTGCTTCCCTTGGCAGTGTATTTCAATAGATCCTCCCCACTCTGTCTGTGGTGAATCCTTTCAACCCCACACCTCTGGTCTAGACCCCAGTTCTTGTATGAATAAATAAATATTAAAAAAAAAATTCGGGCTTCCCTGGTGGTGCAGGGGGTTAAGACGCAATCTATGAACCTAGGTGCATACTGCAGCACGAGTTCGATCCCCAGCCAGAGAGCTACCCACATGTCACGGCAGACCTCTCCTGACTCGCCCGCTGCTCCCCTCAGCAGTGTATTTCAGTCAATCTGCCTGTTCTGCTCCCCACTCTGTCTCTGGTGAATCCTCTTACCACCCCCACACCTCTGGCCTGTACCTCAGCTCTTGTATGAATAAATCTTTAAAAAAAAATTCATTTCCCTCATGGAATTTCTGATGTGACAGTTCCCCTTCCTGCCCTTTCCTGCCATCCCCCAAAAAAAGTACAGATGAAGGTGGGAAAGGGGGGGTATGTTGAAGGTAGGGAGATAGGGAGATGGGTAAGGACAGCAAGTGAGTCTCCTGCATCAGCCTCAACCCAAAAGCATATTGGCTTACCCCCTTGCCAAGACACACACTCCATAACATCAGATTTGAGGAAACAGATGGTGGTGTTGACAGGCTTGGAAGAAGCAGCCAGAGACCTAGATTTGGGCCTGATCTCTGCCTCTGGGCCTTGATTTCCACTGGAAATCAAGACCATGGGGGCTCAGAGATGGGTTATCTTTGGGGCCCCAGCAATTAATTCTGCCTGCTAAGTCTCATGCACTTTCCAAAGAGAGGAGCCCCAGTCTTACCCGAAAGGAACCCCAGAGGAAGACACGACCATCCTCAGTGAGGGCTGCTGTGTGACTGTCTCCTGCTGACACCTGTATCACCTTCTCTTGCAGTTCCACTTTTCCAGGGACCATCTCTGAGCCCTCCACTGATGTGTCCCTTCCCAGGGCACCATCATCATTGCAGCCGAAGGAGTAGACCTGTGCCCAGGATATCCCCATCAGTGCAAGGTCTCGCCTCACAGTCCATTCATATCTAGGCCACACCCTGCTTGGTTAGCCAGCTCCATCTCCACAGAGATATGTGTGTGGCTCAAAAGTCCCATCCCAACCCCCCCAGCCCAGGGCTTGTCCAATCCTATGCCACCCACCCAACCTACCTGGCCACTTTTGCTTAGACACACAGTGTGCATGCCCCCAGCCTCGGCCTGCACAACGTCCTCCGGAATGGGGACCAGGGCTGGCTTCTTCCTCTCCATCACATTCTCGCCCAGCCCCAGCTGGCCCACGTCGCCCTGGCCCAGTGTCAGCACCAAGCCTGGTTCTGTGCTGTGGGACCTATGTGAGACTGAGGGGTGAAGAAGACAGTCCCTGAGTGTGTAGGATGATGGGAGAGTGGAGAGTCACTGCATCGGCTCTGGGATCACATGACCCGGGTTCAAGTCCCGGCTCTGCCACAGACCATTAGTATAACCTTTTGGAGCCTAAGTTTCCTGATATGTGAAATGAGGATCATGAAAGATTTAAAAGTGAGCACGTGATTAATGTGAGAAAGGAAATGGGAACAAGGAGACACTCTACATTGTGAGGTGAATCTGGGTGGGAGGGGAATATAGTGAGGACACAAGATGGTTTCCTGATGAAGTTCTGTCAGGAGCTTGGTCAACGCTGTGGGCTCAGATAGTGTCTACCATTCCTGATTGCTCATTCTACTAAAGTTAAATTGCTTTGTAGTGCCCAAATTAGGCACTATTTGGATCTTGTTTTATAGGAAAGGGAGTCTCAGGGACATTAAGTAACCTTTCCAGGGCCACAGAGCAAATAAGCCGCAGAGTCTGCACTGAAACCAAAGAACTACATGAGTCAGAGCAGAGCCCCTGGCTCTTATCCTCAGACTGTGATTTAACTTCTGGACACGTTCATAGAGGAAAACGGCCCCTTCTGCTCCTGTCTGGGGACAGGCAACTGAAAAAGTGGCGGCAGAGCTGTAATTGGCATGGAGGTACTGGGTATGCGGCACAGGGGCATCTGCTGGCCAGTGGCAGCTGCCGGTGCTCTGGGACAGTCAGTGGCATCCAGCCCCTCCACTGGGGGTGGTGGCATGGCTGCCAGGGCCTCTGCAGCTGCACAGAGGGTACACTGGGCAGGGAGCCACCTGGTCAGGTTTTCTGGTGAGGAGGGCTAGGCCTGCAGGCACCTTGGCAGGAGCTGGCGCCTGGAACGTGGCGGGAGACAACGGCCCTTGCTGCCTGGTTACGAGGGTCTGCAAAAGACAGACACTGTCTGAGTGTGGATCCACACTCCATGCTCTCAAATTAAGGGTGGATCACTGTCTTCCTTATGCCCCTCCAGAGTCCCAGGAGAGAGGAAACCACAGCCACCTCCCTCAGATGCTGCCAGGACACTATCTCATTTAATCCTCATAATAGCTCAGGAAGGCTGGTGCTACTCTCAAATCCATTTTATGAATAGAGTAGTCCAAGCTCAGTGAGGTTAAGTGACTTGCCCAAAGCTACACAGCTAGAAAGTGGCAGAGCCAGGACTGGAACCCAAGCCTAGAAGTCAAAGGTCCTAATCATAATGCATTACTGCCTGGGGCAAAGCCCTAGGTCTAGTGCTGTCTGAGTGCCTTTAGACAAGTCTCTGTCCCTTTGAGATCCTCAGAGGGTGGGGTTAAATGAGCTATATGGGAGACCCTCCAGTTAGGATGGTTCCCTGGAATTCCAGGCTCCTCAGCTTAAATGCCAGGGAGGAAGAAACCCAGCCCCAGATTCTGGGGGCTCCTACAAACCACCCATACCCAGTATAAAGGCCAAGGCCAACTTACTCTTCACCTTCTTGCTTTTGGGGAGAGCATCTTCTGGGGGTGACCTTTTCTTAGCTATGCGCTTGGGTGGCATCTTTCTATCCTGAAAAACCCAGACAAAATATTCCAAGTCACAAGTGGCAATCATTTTCCTGTTCTAATTAGACAATATTTACCAAAAACTGTATTTTAAAAAAAGGTGAGAGGAATTTTTCAGAATTTATCCCAAGAACAGAGTGGATATATGCAAAGATTATATATTCTTTACTGTAATCTTCATAACATTAAAAAAAACAACCAAAAGTGAAGCAACCCGTGAGCTCAACAGGAGGAGATTGGTATAGGCATGACAGGAATATGAAGCCCTTAAAAATGATACTTTCAGGGCCTCCCTCGTGGCGCAGGTGATTGAGCGCAGCGCTGTGAAGCTGTCTGCAGCCTCTGGCCGGCCCTGGAGCAACCCACATGGTGAGCAGACCTCTCCTGTCTCGCCCGCTGCTCCCCTCAGCAGTGTATTTCAGTCAGTCTGCCTGTTCTGTTCCCCGCTCTGTCTCTGGTGAATCCTCTCACCCTCCCAAGCATCTGGACTATTTCCGGGCTCTTGTATAAATAAATTAGATCTTTAAAAAAAAAATTGATAGGGCCTCCCCGGTGGCTCAGCGGTTGAGCGCTGGGTTGCAAAGCTGCCGTTAAGCCTCCGCGGCGCTGGTTCGATCCCCAGCTGCTCCCCGGCCACCGGAGGAGGGTCCCGCATGGCGCCAGACCTCTCCTGCCGCCCGCTGCTCCCCTCAGCAGTGTACTTCGATCCTTCTGCCTGCTCTGCTCCCCGCTCTGGCTCTGGTAAATTCTCTCACCCTCCCGTGCTTCTGACTGTACCCAGTGCTTGTATAAATAAATAAATTTAAAAAAAAAAGAAAAAAAAAATTGATACTTTCAGAGATTTATTGAATGGGAAGATGTTCACCATTACCAAGTGAAAAACAGCTCACCTTCTTATTTCCAACACACACATACATGTAGAAAAATGTGTGGAAGAAGGCCTCCTTGGAGGCTCAAGGGGTTAAGTCTCAGCACTATCAAGCTATGGGTAGCCACTGCAGCCCTGGCCAGGGAGGTGACCCACACGTCACAGCAGATCTCTCCTGACTTGCCTGCTGCTCCCCTCAGCAGTGTATTTCCCACTGTCTCCTCAATCCTCTCACTGCCCTGCACCCCAGTTCTTCTATGCATCAACAAATCTTTAAAAAAAAAAAAAAAGGCTGTCAAAGCCTGGGGTGCCCAAACTCTGGAGTTTACACTAGAATGGATGACTGCGGTCAGGGCTCTGGAACTACTCGGATGCAGAATTAGTATAGCATGCAGCACAGCCTGGAAGCTAGAATCTGGGCTCAGCTACTTTTTAACTGTCTGACCCTGGGCACATTTCTTTAATCTCTTCAGGATTCATTTTCCTCCTCAGTAAAACAAGAGTAATAGAACCTAGACCTTTTGATGTGTAATATTAAGAGCTAATACTGTATAGTAGTTGCATAGTTAGTGATCAACAAATCAATACTGCACTGATGTTATAAAGGCTAGGCCCTGCCCCAGGTGATGTTCAGCACGGCCCTGCAATCTAATCTAACCATCTTTCCTTCAGTTTACAGATGAGGGAGACTTTACCCAACCTACAAACAACACAAGAACTCCAAGAGCCCTTTTTTGGCTCAGGTGTGTGCCTAACCAGCACTGCCTCCCCACATTCTGCTGACTATCCAGAGGGAGGAGAACAAAGCACTAAAGATGGGAAAGTGGCCAAGGGACAGCCATGTAGGCTGAGCCTCTGCTGTCTGAGATGCTATAGGTTGTGACTGACCAAGGTGATTCTGATGAGGGGACAGTTCTGGGCTAAACTTTTATCTTCCTAGGGTGGGACTCCTCCCTTCCAACCTGCCTCTTGGAGATCCCTCTTCCCACACTATAATACACTCTTTGGGGTTAAAGGGAATTGGATTCACCTGCCAGAGCAGTGGCTTATTAGCCCCTGCTGCTGCTGCTGCTTCTTTTTTTTTAAGATTTATTTATTTGTAGAACTGCAGTGTAGGCCAGAGGTACAGGGGTGGGGTGAGAGGATTCACCAGAGACAGAGTAGGGAGCAGAACATGCAGTTCGACTGAAATACACTGCTGAGAGGAGCAGTGGGCAAGACAGGAGAGGTCTGCTGTGCCATGCAGCGGTGATAGCTCTGAGACTAAATCTCTAGGCCACTAGAGAGGCCCTATCTCCTGCTTTGTGACCACGGGTGGCCAGCAGCCCTCACTTCCCTGAGCGGTATCCACATCTGTCAGGGGGGATGCCAAGACTACTTCTCAGGGTTGCCACAGAGACTGAAGGAAATGTCTGTAAAGCACTTTGTAGTGCCAAACACACTCTAAGTACTCAACACAGGGCAGACTATTCATTCATTCCACAAATATATTTGTGTACTGAGTGCCTGTTACCTTCGTTTGGCTTTGGACCAGGTATAGCAACAGATACTGTTCTCACGGGGCTTACAATCTAGTGGGAAAGAAAAAAAAAAAGAGGCAGAAATATTACAGATGGTGCTGTGAGAGGGTTAAGGCAGTGTCGTGGTAAGAGAACAACTTTGGTTGCATGACAATTAGAATGTTTTAACACAATTAAGGTTAAAATGTTAACACTTATGTTATGACTATTTTACCACCATCACCACCACCACAACCAAAAGAAAACAATTGGGATGGGGAAGAGACTGGTCATAGAGGTGACAGTTCAGCTAAGACCTTAAGTGTGAGCAGGGGATGACCAGGATAAAAGCACTCCAGCAAACAGTGGGAAGTGTTTGGGGAGGAACCTGGAGAGGCCAGCATGCTGCAGCTGGAGAGCAAAGGGCCTAACGGGCTAGATCAGACGAGGCCCTGTAGAAAAAAGGCAGAAAAGTCTTAAGAAGAATGTCTCTACCATTTGCACTTTTTTTTTTTTTTTAAACAAATCTGTTTATTGAAAGAATCTGAATACCATTTGCACTTTTAAGTGCTTGTTCTGCCTACTGATAGAAAATGGAGTGGATTAGAAGGATGCTACAGCAGGCATCCAAATGAGATGATACTGACTTGCCTTGGCCTGAAGTAACAGAGAAAAGTAGACAAAATAGATCAATTTAATTTGCCAGTGGAGTAGATGTGGGGAGTAAGGGAGAGGGAGGACTCCAGAATGACTTTTGCATCCTAAAAAATCCAGGAGATTCTGGGGAGGCTTGGCCAAACACAAGAACTCCTAGGCTTTGGCTTAAGTGACTAGATGAATGAAATAGTTCTGTTAGTAAGATGGAGAACACCATGGGACAGATAGGACAGGCCTCAAGCTCCATTTTACCAGGTGTATTCATTAAGTCTGAGGTGCTTGGGCCTCATCAGGGAAGGGATGTTTCAGAGGAAGACCTGGATGGGCTAAGGGGTGTGGGATATAACATGTGTCCCTGGTAGACAGCTAGCATGCCTGACCAGGCTGGCAATCATTTCACTGTGTTCAGGGCCCTATCCTGCTAAAGACTAATCTCCCTACAGACCATCAGAGTGATCTGCAGTAGTCTGCTGTGCTGTGGAGGGAAAACATAGAAAAGAACTCACAAAAAGTTAAATGAAAAACAATTACATAGGCACATGAGGGCTGATGCAGGGTTGGCCCTGGGGAAGGCCTGGGGTGGACACAAAAATAAATATGAGGTGACTGGTATCATGGGGCACTAAAAACAATGAAAGTGTGTTGTTATAGACTGGAACCAGTGCCTCAACCACCTGCATTTTGGATGACATCTTGGGGTTTCTCACTGCAAGCTAGCCACACTGATCCCACTACGAGGAGAGAAACAGGCTAGAAAGGTGACCTATCTTACCCAGGACCAGAACAGGAAATCAAGACAAGTGGTCAGACACCAGAGCTGGTACCACACCCTTTAGGTACCTTTACCAAAAGGTAACGGTACTTTTGGCCTCACCCCTCCCCTCATCTGTCATACCCTGCCATGTCTTATACAGCCCTTGACTGCTTACAGTTTTCTCTACACCACTGTGCATTTCTATACTTTCCCACCCCTACCCACACCTCTACTCACATTTCAGAGCCACCCCCACTCATACATTTTCTTTGATCTCTTCCCCCATCCTAAATGAACCGTTCTCTTCCAGAGGAACTAGCACAGAGTTTTGGATGGTAATGAATTTACATGTCAATCCGCCACACCAATCTACTCTGTAAAATATGAACCTTTTTGGGGCACTGGTCACTCCTTGTGACTTTTTCTTCTAACAAGCTGAAGGTGGCACTGTCACTCCTATTTCCCAGCGGAGGGAACTGAGGTATAAGAAGTCAAAGTACTCGTCCAGGTTGACACAGGCAGTAGAGTCAGGAAAAGAATCCAGGTATAGCTGATTGATTAAAAAAAGAGAAAAAGGCCAGGTTGCTTACTGGGAGTCACGGCAGCCTTGGCAGGACTCCCCAAGGGGCTTGGGCAAACACAAGAGGCAGAGGGCAGCAGCCAGCTGAGGGAAAAGATGGTGAGACCCAGAGAGGGAAGACTAAGGTAACAGGGCCTGAGGGCCAGGAGGTAGAGCCACTGAAAGATAACGGGAAGGATGATGCTTACACACAACACAGGGCCATGGTGGAGAAAGCTCTGCCTTCAGAGGCCCGAGTTCTCTCTGAGTCTTAGAACCTTTCTCAAATGGAAGACTCTGGCGTTACAACATGCTGTCTGAGCAATCCTGGAGGTGGGGCAGTGAATGGATGACAGGGCACCTTTGCAAAGGTGGAGCCCTGCACCCTCTATTCACCTGTATGTCCTCTAGTGTACAAACCAGTCTTCTGTAGCTGCTCTGGGTGTGACTGCTCAACCACACAGTGCATGTCCAGGCTATTGTTCCTGCCCCCTCACCCTCAGACAGATAAACACAGCTCCCACCTCAAAGAACTGAGGTGAGACAAAGGGACACAGTCACAAATAATTCAGTTGGATAGTTAACTTTCACTGACAGGCACCAATGGTGCCCCAGCCTCTCCTAAAATGCTCATGCCTGCCCACTGAGGTGTCATCATCCTATTTTACAGAAAAGAAAGTTGAGGCTCAGAGGAAGTCCCCTCAGGTCACACAAGGTGACATGAAATCCTGTTTCCTAACCACTCCCCACCAGGGTCAGAGTTTCTCCCTTCTCCTTCAGCCTGGGCCTCAGTTTCCTGAAGGCAGACCAGACAGCCAGCCAGGGGCCATGTGTTCCTGCTGTGACCTCACCAGTCTCATTTCTGCAAAGGGAGATAGAGCCTCTCTGACTACAGCAGCTGTCTCAGCAACAACCCCCCCCCTCCAGCCTCCACCATGTCAGGAGGCAGAAGCTTGTCTGCCAGACTCATAGGTTGAATGATCTCTTTGTGAAAAGGGCTCCCAAGAGGGAAGGGAGAGGGGACCCTCTGTCAACAAACCTCTGCTAAACTCCTGTGCTGTGCCTGGCGGGGCTGGTATACTTCCTCCCAGGGCCCCTGGCTGGGTGTCCCCCTGGGGTACAGGGTTGTGCCTGGGCCTATGTGTATTTACTCTCTCTGTGGGGTAGGGAGGGGCGGGAGCTTCCAGCAGATTTCAGAACCACTGAGTCATGGAAATCACGGGATATTGGTACTTCTCACCTCTTGCCTCTTACCTTCATTTTACAGGTAAGGAAACTAAGGCTCAAAGAGATTTGGTGGCAGGCCCAAGGGTACCCAACTAGGAAAGTGCAAAACTGAACAGGATCTCCGCTCTTGAGATGTCAACTAATGCATCTTTCCAAATTCCACTCTGGAGGCCCTTTTTGGGTGAAGCCTCCCCGCCACCTCCATCCCACGCAGTGTTCTCACTGCAAGATCCAGCCCCGGCTCTACCACGTCGCCTTTTGTATCACAACACCTGTGCCCCCCTGCCTGGATCAGCCAAGCCCCCAACCCCTCCCCAGTCGGCCTCAGTAACTCTAGTCTTTCTTCAGAAAGCGCTTGTTCAAGAGTCACCTCACCTGCAAAGCCATTCCTGACCCTCCCGGGCAGGACTGGGTGGCCTCCCCAGAGTCACAGTAAAGCTCCACGCACTCAACTGAAGTGACTACACACTTGGTTCCAACACCTCAACTATGTGACGCCCGACGCGGGGGGCATCCCCGGGCTCCCTGGGCGCCTGGGCGCACTCAGTGGCCTTCCGCTGTGGCGCGCCCGGGTCTGCCCGAGGCGATCGGGAGCCACGCGGGCCCCTCTCCTCACAGGGCCCTGGAGGCGCAGCTCGGAGCCGCCGGCCCGGGAATCAGCCGTTGACAGATGCGTCTGCGGAGTTCGCGGGGCGCCTCTGCCGGGGGTCGGCAGCCCGGGCGCCTGCTGCCGCGGCGACTTCCTCCCCCGCGGTCGACCCCCAGCCGCTGCCCCGGAGCCGCGGAAGGCAGCCTCCGCCGGCCCGGGCTCTCCCCGGCCTGGCCAACCTTTCCCCAGACGCCTGCTGGACAAAACCACCTTCCCCGCTCCGGAAGCGCAGCCCCGCCTGGGCGGCCGGCCCCTGCCGGCGGGGCGCGCGGTGGCGCCCCCCGGGCCGGCGAGGTCGCTGCGGCCGCGCCCCCCGGCCGGCCGCGCTCAGGCCGTTTGAATCTCCCGCCCGCCGGCGCCGCGGGCCCGGCGTGAGCGGCGCGGCGGCGGCGGAGGGGCCGCGCGGCCCTCGCTCCGGCGAGGCGGGGCCGGGCCGGCGCCGGGCGCCCCGCGGGGCCCGGGACACGCGCGCCCGCACGCGCGCCTCAGGCGCCGGCTTCACGTGGGGCCGCGCCGCGCGGGGCGCGCGCAGTTAACCGCCCCCGCTCGCCACGGCCCGGCCCCGCGCCCGCCGCGGCCGCCCCGCGCGCCTCCCTCCGCCGGGACCCGCCGCCGGGAACCGCCGCGACCTACCTCCGTGCGGGTCGGCGACGAGGAACTCCTCCTCCCGCCCGCCGGCCGCGAACTGGCCCAGAGCATGCGCTCTGCGGGCCTCCGGCCTCGACCCCGGCCCGAAAGGAAAACAAAGAGCCCGGCGACCCCTGGCGACGTCCCCGGGAAGTGCAAGTGACGCTTCAGACCCGGGAGCTCCGGGCGCGCTCTCCACCCTGAGCGAGGTCCGCCAGGTGTGTGTGTCAGAGACCCCCAGATCCGGACAAGCGGGTTGACAACCAGGAAGACCACCTGAAGCCAGGGTCTGTTGGGGGAAAATCTGTTGTGGGAGGGGCTGTACGATGAAAATATACTTATCTTCCCTGCCCTCAAGAAAGCTTCCGACAGGGAAAGATGAGAAAACAGACTATGGAAAACACACAGGGCTGTGGTAAGGTTAGCCACAGAGGCATCTGGCTCAGCCTGGAACTTGAGAAAGGCTCTCCAAATTAAATCTAAGAGTGCAGGGCATGCTAGGAGATGCAGTCCTTGAGCGATGTGAGTCGGCCAAGGTCTGGCGGGAGCAGAGGCTGGAGGGGAGAGTCAGACCATAGACGCAGGGTCTTGTGTGTCTGTCCTGAGGCCACAGGATACTATGAAGGGTTGTGAACAGGGGGAATGAAAGGATCAGATTTTGTTTCTAGAGCAAACTGGAAGATGGACTTGAGGGGAAGGGAAGCCAGAGTAGGAGGGAGCAAGAAGGTGTGACAGAGGGTTGGAAGCTGGAGATTGGAAGAAGGTACCAGCAGACTACCCTCTGTCGTTCACACACTCATTTTTCAGGATGGATCCAAACAGATGTTTAGGATTCCAGGGGTTTCCTCAGGTGACCTCTCAGGCCATTTGATTGTGTCTGGGGGGTTCCCCAATCAGGTCTGTGACCTCTGCGGAAGGGTATTTTCTCCATTTCATATTGATTCTGAGACTTTGTTATACCTGAACTGTAGATGGACACTTTTAAGGATTATTTGCCAAATCATTTTCTTCTACTAGCAGGACTCACTCCAAACACTCCCCATTTTCAGGATTTCTTACCTGTCCAAATTTACCTCCGCCTCCATCACTGACTCCTTTTTTGGATGATATTCTGTGACATTTCTCCAAGTTTTAATTCTGGTATCTCTGATCTCTCTCTGCTGTCTTCCTCCAAGATCTTAGTCATTCACATGGCTTGATATAATTATAAAAATGATTATTATCACCGATTTTGTAAAAACCCTTGCTTAGTTAAGTATAGAAACATGTCCATCCATGTCAACTAATTCTATTCCTCACAGAAACCTCATGACAATTGAAAAAAAGAGAAAAATTGGATTCAAAGAGATTAAGCCAGTTTTTTAGGGTCAGCATACAGATGGTGGAAGGGGACTAGACCTTTGCTTGTTCAGGCTGAGCCATCATCCTTTAACTGAGAGGGCAGCCCATAGGGTCTGGGTCTGCCCTCTGACCAAAGTTCTAGCTTCTCTCTAAATCAAAGTGAAGCCCTGACATAGAAAATAAAACTCATTTCCCGTGGACCTAGACTCTCCCCCAGCTTTATTCTTCCAGCCAGGGTTAAAATTCTCAGATAAGTACAGGTTCAAACCCTAACTTCTTTTGATTGTTTCTTCTCTCCTCTTCATGTTGCTATTTCTTCCCTCGGGACTAAAGCACCACTCTCCTGGCTTCTGTTCTTGTTCCTTAACCCTTCACCTGCATTTCACTCCACTTACCCCAGCTAGTTTCCCTCAATCATGGCTGTGAGACTTTGCTTAGAAATTTTTTAAGATTCAGATATTTCGTTAGTGCTATGCTTGGACTTGAGACTGCAAGCCCCAAGCCGTTGATTTCCCATTTCCCTCTCAGTCTCTGCACTGTTGTCTGAAGGTACCTATGTTCATTCCTACCTTCTCACTTTCATTTGGACTGTTCTTCCTACCAGGTGCCTTCTATCCTAACTGCACTGAATTTGTTTTTTAAAGATTTATTTATGCATACAAGAACTGGGGTACAGGCCAGAGGTGCGAGTGGTGAGAGGATTCACCAGAGACAAAATGGGGAACAGAACAGGCAGACTGACCGAAGTACTCTGCTGAGGGGAGCAGCAGGCAAGGCAGGAGAGGTCTGCTGCATCACATGGGTAGCTCCCTGGCTGGCCAGGATTGAACTCATGCTGCAGAGGCTTTGGATAGCTTCACAGTGCTGTGCTTAACCCCTGGTGCCACCAGGGAAGCCCTGCACTGAAATCTTGATATATTTAAAGCCCAATTCAGGGGCCTCCCTGGTGGCGCAAGGGGCTAAGACACAGCACTATGAAGCAATCCGCAGCCACTGCAGCACAAGTTTGATCCCGGCCAGGGAGGTGACCCAAATGGCACAGCAGACCTCTCCTGTCTTGGCCGCTGCTCCCTTCAGCAGTGTATTTCCATCAGTCTGCATGTTCTGTTCCCTACTCTGTCTCTGGTAAACCCTCTTACCCCCTCATCTCTGGCTGTACCCCAGCTCTTACATGCATGAATAAATAAAATCTTTAAAAACAAATAAAGCCCAATTCAGTCACCAAAACTATGACACCTCCCTTGGTCCCACTTAATCTTTTTCTTCTCAGAATCCAATTATTGATTTTAATTTTTTCACTCTATCATTATTTTATCTTATTTATTGGACATGAGCCATAGTAAGTAGAGCAATCAGTTAAATCTGATCCAGAATGTACAGATGATAAAAGTGAAGGACATTAAAAATTATGCATGTAGGGCCTCCCCGGTGGCGCAGCGGTTGAGCGCTGGGTTGCGAAGCTGCCCGCGGCCTCTGCGGCGCCGGTTCGATCCCCGGCTGCTCCCCGGCCGCCGGAGGAGGGTCCCACATGGCGAGCAGACATCTCCTGCCGCCCGCTGCTCCCCTCAGCAGTATACTTCGGTCCTTCTGCCTGCTCTGCTCCCCGCTCTGGCTCTGGTGAATTCTCTCACCCTCCCGTGCTTCTGACTGTACCCAGTGCATGTATAAACAAAAACAAACAAACAAATAAATAATAAATAAATAAAAACATGCCTCTATAAAAAAAATTTAAAAAAAAAGTTAAAAAAAAAAAAGTTATGCATGGGGCCTCCCCGGTGGCGCAGCGGTTGAGCGCTGGCTTGCGAAGCTGCCCGCAGCCTCTGTGGCGCCGGTTCGATCCCCGGCTGCTCCCAGGCCACCGGAGGAGGGTCCCACATGGCGCGCAGACCTCTCCTGCCGCCCGCTGCTCCCCTCAGCAGTGTACTTCGGTCCTTCTGCCTGCTCTGCTCCCCGCTCTGGCTCTGGTGAATTCTCTCACCCTCCCGCGCTTCTGACTGTACCCAGTGCATGTATAAACGAAAACAAAGAAAGAAAGAAAGAAAGAAAGAAAGAAAAACATGCCTCTATAAAAAAAAAAAAAAAAAAAGTTATGCATGTAGTACATAAAATCAAAAGTTTAAGTAGACAGGAAAAATGTAAAATGACTCACTGAACTTCTCAACAATATCTAAGATGACAAATACACTGGCTGTGATTAACAGTAGATTGGATATTGCAGAAGAAATGGTGAAATTGATGGCAACACTTGAACTTGATAGCAATAGAATCTATCAAAATGACAGAAAAAGAAATTTAAAAAAAATGTAAAGAGCATAATTGAGCTATGAAATAACTGTAAGTGGCCTAATGCATTGGTAATTGGAGATCCTGAAAAAGAGGAGGAGGTGGGGACAGAAAATATATGTAGAAATAATGGTTAAAAAGTGTCCAAACTATAAACCTACACGCCTGCAATGGTTAATTTTATGTGTCAACATGACTAGGCTATGGAACCAGTTATTTGGCCTAACACCAGTCTACATGTTGCTGGAAAGCTGTTTTGTTTTGTTTTGCTTTTTAAAGATATTATAACCTTTTAATCTGTACACTGTGAGAAAACAGATTACCCTCTAGGATGGATGGGCTTTATCCAATCAGTTGAAGTCCTCAAGAGAAGGATTTGGGCTTCAAGACTGCAATGTCAATTTCTGCTAGAATTACCAGCCTGCTTACCTGCCCTACAGATTTCATACTCACCAGCTCTTCAACTACCTGAATCAGCAGTTTCTTAAACTATCTATCTCTTTCTGTCCTTCCATCTACCTTCCATCCTTCCATCCAGCCATCTATCCACATTTATCCTATTGGGTTTGTTTTCCCGGAGAAACCTAATACAAACTCCATTAAGCTCAAGCACAAGAAATGCAGCACATTAAAATCAAATCACTTAAAACCAATGACAGGCAATCTTAAAAAGCAGGGCCTCCCAGGTAGCGCAGCGGTTGAGCGCTGGGTTGCGAAGCTGCCCGCGGCCTCTGCGGCGCCAGTTCGGTCCCCGGCTGCTCCCCGGCCACCGAAGGAGGGTCCCACATGGCGCGCAGACCTCTCCTGCCGCCCGCTGCTCCCCTCAGCAGTGTACTTCGGTCCTTCTGCCTGCTCTACTCCCGGCTCTGGCTCTGGTGAATTCTCTCGCCCTCCCGGCTTCTGACTGTACCCAGTGCATGTATAAACCAAACAAACAAACAAACAAATAGATAAATAAGACATGCCTCTAGAAAATTAAAAAAAAAAAAAAAAAAAAACCAATGACAGGCAATCTTAAAAAGCAGTCATAAAAAGTCATTTTCATGTAGACAAGAATAAGACGAAGATACAATGCAACATGTTATCCACAGTGGAACAAAACAAGGATACAGTGCAAACAAGAAGAGAATGAAGTAATAATATCTCTAAAGGACTCCAATGAAATTATAACCAGTAAAGGGACTCCCTGGTGGCACAGAGCTGTCTGCAGGGCAGGTTCGATTCCCACCCATCCAGGGAGAAACCCACTTGGCGTGGCTGACCTCTCCTGCCTCACCTGCTGCTCCCCTCAGCAGTGTCTTTGTTCCGTCTGCCTGTTCTGCTCTCTGCTCTGTCTCTGGTGAATTCTCTCACCCTCCTGCACCTCTGACCTATACCACAGTTCTTGTATAAATAAATAAATCTTAAAAAAAAAATGTAACTAGTAAGGTATAGCCAGCAAAAGTATCCTTCAAAAAATGTTGGAAAAAAAAATGGTGAAACTAAGATTCTTTCTGAACACACACAAGCTGAAAGAATTCATTACCAGTAGGCCTACAATAAAAGAAATTTTTTTAAAAAGATTTATTTTTATTTCTACAAGAGCTGGGGTACAGTCCAGTGTCGCGGGAGGGTGAGAGGATTCGGCGCGCAGACCTCTCCTGCTGCCCGCTGCTCCCCTCAGCAGTGTACTTCGGTCCTTCTGCCTGCTCTGCTCCCCGCTCTGACTCTGGTGAATTCTCTCACCCTCCTGCGCTTCTGACTGTACCCAGTGCTTGTATAAATAAATAAATAAATAAATAAATAAATAAATAAATAAATAAATATTTAAAAAAAAAAAAAAAAAGAACAGGCAGACTGATGGAATACACTGCTGAGGAGAGCAGTGGGCGAGACAGGAGAGGTCTGCTGCGCCATGTGGGACTCTCCCTGGCCGGCCAGGAATCGAACCTGCACCGCAGAGGCTGCGGACGCATCCCAGTGCTGCGCTCAACCCTCTGCGCCACCATGGAGGCCCAATAAAGGTAATGTTAAAGGAAGACCTTTGGGCAGAATGAAAATGGTACCAGATAAAAATATGGTTCTACATAAAGGGATGAAGAGGTCTGGAAATGTAACTATATGAGTAAATATCTATGTTTTTTTTCTTTTTAAACCCTTCAAAAATGACAACTGCCTATTTAAGCAAAAATAATGTATTGTGGATGTTATAATGTATATAGATATTGTATGACAACTATAACAAAGAATATGGGGTTCTCATAAGTGAGATGACAAAATATCAGTTAAATATAGACTCTGATAAGGTATAAATTCTAAAGCAATCACAAAATAGTTATGGCTAGTAAGCCAACAAGGAAAATAGATTGAATAAAAAAGACTAAATTTTTAAAAAGCACAGAAAAGAGAGGGCAAAAGGAACAAAGAACAGATGAAACAAAACCCAAGAAGATGCAAAGCTAAGCACATTAATTAAAAATAAATATGGTCTAAACATTCTAAAAGGCAGATGTTGTCATAATAAAAAAAAAGCAAAACCAACTACACACTGCCTACAAGAAACACACAAATAGGTTAAAAGTAAAAAGGTAGAAAAAGACATTCTGTGTTAGGGCCTCCCTGGTGGTGCAAGGGGTTAAGCACCGCACTATGAAGCAATCCACAGCCTCTGCAGCTGGCCAGGGAGAAACCACATGGTGAGACAGACCTCTCCTGGCTCGCCCACTGCTCCCCTCAGCAGTGTATTTCAGTCAGTCTGCGTGTTCCACTCCCCACTCTGTCTCTGGTGAATCCTCTCACCTCCCCCCACCCCCGCCCCCGCATCTCTAGCCTGTACCCCAGCTCTTATATGCGTAAATAAATAAATCTTAAAAAAAAAAAAAAGACATTCTGTGTTAACAGTCAAAAGAAAGTTGCACTGGCTAATTTAATAGCAAAGTAGATTTTATTTTATTTATTTTTTTTTTTTAAAGATTTATTTATTTATTTATTTATACAAGCACTGGGTACAGTCAGAAGCGCGGGAGGGCGAGAGAATTCACCAGAGCCAGAGCAGGGAGCAGAGCAGGCAGAAGGACCGAAGTACACTGCTGAGGGGAGCAGCGGGCGGCAGGAGAGGTCTATGCGCCATGCGGGACCCTCGCCCTGTGGCCGGGGATCGAACCGGCGCTGCATAGGCCGCAGGCAGCTTCGCAACCCAGCGCTCAACCGCTGCGCCACCGGGGAGGCCCCAAAGTAGATTTTAGAGTGTCATTGAAATGATGGTAATTTTATGACAAAGGAATCATCAAAATGCACTATCCTAAACATATATGCTATGAACAGAGCTTCAAAATACATAGCAAAAACTGACAGAACTTTTAATAGACAAATGGAAGATATCAATATCCTACTTTTTTTTTTTTAAAGATTTATTTATTTATACAAGCACTGGGTAAAGTCAGAAGCGCGGGAGGGTGAGAGAATTCACCAGAGCCAGAGCTGGGAGCAGAGCAGGCAGAAGGACCAAAGTACACTGCTGAGGGGGAGCAGCGGGCGCAGGAGAGGTCTGTGCACCATGTGGGACCCTCCTCTGGTGGCTGGGGAGCGGCTGGGGATCCAACCCGCGCTAAAGAGGCTGCAGGCAGCTTCGCAACCCAGCGCTCAACTGCCGTGCCACCGGGGAGGCCCTCAATATCCTACTCTTAATCGTTGATGGAACAAGCAGGCAGAAACCAGCAAGTAGATAGTATAACACATTCAACTAATTTGTTGATTGACATTTATGGAATACCCTTCTTCACATTCACCTTGCTTTCTTTAAAATACACGTCCTTTCCAAGTGCACATGAAACATGTACCAAGATAGACCATATTCTGGGATATAGAAAAATCTCAACAAATTTAAAAGCTCTAGCCAGCTCAGCTTTCTCTCAGCCTGGGCCCTTGGGCAGCTCACAGTGGGGAGGCTGAATGGAAGGGTACCCTAAGGGAGGGGACGGAAGGTGCTGTGACTGGGGAAAGTGACAAGCTGCTTTTCATTGCCAATCAGGGACAAGGACACGGCCACCCTCCCACTTGCTGCCCACGAACTGTCATTTGTGAAGATGTCAACTGCTGGTGGCTCCCGAGGCCTGAGGGCCACCTACCACCAAGTCCTGGATAAAGTGGAGCTCTTGCTACCAGAGAAATTGAGACCATTTTACAACCACCCAGCAGGTCCCAGAACCGTTTTTTTCTGGGCTCCAGTTATGAAATGGGGATTAGTGTGCGCTGGATTGGCTGACTTGGCCAGACCTGCAGAAAAACTTAGCACGGCTCAATCTGCTGTTTTGATGGCTACAGGGTTTATTTGGTCAAGATACTCTCTTGTAATTACTCCAAAAAATTGGAATCTGTTTGCTGTTAATTTCTTTGTTGGGTCAGCAGGAGCCTCTCAGCTCTTTCGTATTTGGAGATATAAACAAGAACTAAAAACTAAAGCACACAAAAAATAAAAGTTCCTGACCACTCAAGCAATGAAGATGTGAATTTAGTCACTGGGACCCAATTTGATTAACTAGTTATTTGATGAAGTTATGCTAACTGTGCCAACACTTGTAAGGTATTGAAAAAACATGTAACTGTAATTGGTAGCTACTACTTGATTAAGTAAATAGAAAAATAAAGCAAACTTTTCAGACTCTATAGAGATGCAGATCTTCAAAATCCACCCTGTGACCCTGGATAGGTAAGAGAATCTTTGTCTTCCTTTTCTAGAATGGATTTAATCAAAGACCCTACACTGTATTGGGCTGTTGTAAGGATTAAAGAATGCATAATGCATGGTAAATTCTTATCAAATGTCAAGTACTATCATAAAGATGTGGGTTCCATCCACTGGAAAGGGGTGAGAGGAAATCAATGCCAGGGGCTCTTGCACCCCAGGAAACTACTCATCCCTGCTTCAGTATTTCCCAATCAAATAAAGCCACACGTTTATAATTCATTACAACTGTTTTATGGAGTAGTGGTTACATTAGCTTCATAAAAAAGTTCTGTAGCTTAAACCTGGCAGAAATGGTATTGCTATCACCTCAATTTGAGGTGACAGGAAGTAGGTGAAGCAGAGATTCTGTAGTCCATTGTCTTGCTCAGACCCATGCTCAACCACTTTTATGTAACTTGGACACATTGAACTCCAACTTGTTTACTCATGTGCAAACTGGGCAGAGAATCTCCTTCACAGAGGGGTGTGGAATAATGAAATACGCATCTAGTAATCTTACCACTTTCTAATTCAATTAGTATTTCACATGATTTTGGAATAAAGTTCAAATCCTAGTTCTGCTATTTAAGAGTCATTTTGGACAAGTTACTAATCCTTCAAAATCCCTTTTTTCCCCCCAGAGAGTTAGGGTGGTTGAATGAGAAAACCCTGCTTTAGTAGTAGAGATAGCTTCAAACTATTCATCCGACAAAAAAATTTATTGGAAACCAATCCCGTTTGAAAAGCCAGATAAACTCAATATACTTATGAGACTATAACTTTCCACAAATATTCTCATTACAACCCCACCATAGCTAATTTTTTCTAACTCATTTCTCTGGCTGAGGAATTTAAATACAAAGTGGCTTGCCAAGATCACATCAACAGCAAGTTAGTACTATCAAGATTCAAACCCAGGGCCTCTCTGGTGGCACAGCCGTTGAGTGCTGGGCTGCGGCCCGCTGCTCCCCTCAGCAATGTACTTCATCTTGTCTGCCTGTTCTGCTCTCTGCTCAGGTGAATTCCCTCACCCTCCCGCGCTTCTGACTGTACCCAGTGCTTGTATAAATAAATCTTTAAAAAAAAATTCAAACCCAGTCAGTCTCACTCCAAGTTTGGCAATGGGTATGTTGGCACACATAGGGTTAAAAAAAAAAAAGGATCCTGGGCCTCCCCGGTGGCACAGAGGTTGAGCGCTGGGTTGCAAAGCTGCCAGCGACCTCTGCGGCGCCGGTTCGATCCGGCAAAACAAACAAAACAAAATAAATAAAAAAAAAATGCCAAAAAAAAAAAAAAAAAAGGATCCTAAGAGCCTGTTCAGAAAAATGTCTATAGGCAAGTTCCTTGCAAGCTTATTTAGCAAAGGGGTCATGACAGAGCACCTGCTGAGAGCTTTGTTTCAGCTAATTTAGATAATTGGGAAGACAAATGCATGTTCCTTTCTGCCCAGCTTTAGATAACCAGCTCAATCCTTAAGATTTCCTTGGAAATTATAAACTTTCTGATCATAGGGAAAAAGCCAACACTACTCATTTTACTTGAGCTCCTCTCCAAAGACATGTGGAAATGACACCAAGAGAAAGAAAACACTGATCATAGGAATAGAAAGGTCAACAGGACCTGGCAGCAGTTTCCATTCTTTGGAGATAGCTTTGGGCCATTTGCCTTTTCTGTTCTTGGGTTTTCCCAAAGTAGGCTAGACCAACAACCTGAAGTGTGATTAACATGCCAAATGCATATAGTATTAATAATTTCAACACTACTCCTTGGAACCCAATCCTCTCCCAGGTGCTGCTTCACATTTGTGGCTAGAGTAGAACTAGCCCATTCTCATACTGTGGCCCCAATATACATCACCCCAAAACCCACGCCCAGACAGAAATTTGTCCCTGATGGCTTAATTGGACTGCTCCACCTCCCCCTCGTCCATTTAGTCCCACTAGGGATATAAGAGTACCTTCTAGATGGTTTCCCGCTAACTCCCATCCTTCAGGGTCTTAAGACCTCCTTTTAATGTTAGCACCCTGCACAGGGGGGAATGACAACACTTCCATTGTGACTCTATCTCACATCACTTGTAGGTTGGTCCGGCTTTTTACCAGGCTAAAGCACCACTTGGACACAGAAATAGATCTAACATTTATAATGGAAATCTACCTGTTCCCAATTTAATGAACTAGGAATCAACATACTGTTTATCCAGGAAATAGAAACCAATCAGAATCTTGAAAAGCAGTTCAACACTTTGACTTATGCCATACATCTCCACACACAAAGAAACCACAAAACTGTACACAGTAATCTTTATTGTAATTCATATACATAAGAAACTGGCAGATGTTCTTAATACAAGGCAGCTAAGAATTTCATGGACACATTTTCTATTAATGCAGCTTAAAAAAACCACTGAGAAAGGCAAAAACTAACATATGTCGTCATGCACAACTTTTTACCCCATCAGTACTCTGAAAGTGTCTCTGGGCCTCTCAGGTGGAAGTACTATAAATAGACTCTACTTACCAAGGGTCTTCTTGAAGTCCTTAAACATTTCAAGGGGCACAGGAGGAATAGAACGTTCTACTAATCTAGAGGGAAAGGTGTGGTTCTGTGGCTAATGCAGTTCTAACCCATTCCACTCTGATATAGTCTTAGGAGTCTAATGTTGCTGATCTTTTAATCTCCCAAGTCAATTCTACCTGCCAAATAAAGCAGCATCCACAAGCATTAAGAGCAAACTGAAACGTGAGGTTCCTCTTCTCTCCTAAATGGAAACAAAAACCAAAAAAACCCCAGGAAGATTAGGATTCTATTTACAATCTTTCTTAAACGTAAAAATTTTAGTACATTAGATGTTTCCTGCATGGTTTGTCTCCTCAGTCATAGTCCAGCGGACTCTGAGAAGCTGTAGGAATATGCAGGCGCAGACTAGAGCCCAGCTTTATCTCCAACGTCGTGGAAAGGGACTATACATCATGGGGCAGTGCCCTGTGCTCCCGTTCGCCACCTGGACAGAGCCCCGGAGAGCGACCTCCCGGGGTATCCACGTTGGAACACCCAGCTAAAGTGCATTAACAAACATCAAACATCCCTGATCACCATCACATTTGCCATCCCCCACCACGGGCAATTAAGATTTATATAACCCATATCACTGCAGCCAGGCAATTAGCAAAGAGTTATTGTTATGGTACTTAACAGACTATTTAAGAATAATTTCTCCCCATATGGTCATACTAGTAAAAGCTCTATTTTAGCAGTGTTACTCTATAAAACCCAGCCTCCTCAAACTCGAGCATAAATCTAACTACAGACATGCCCACAGAATAGCAGCCAAATCCATATCTGGGTGTATTTAACAATATAAGTGTTTTCATAAGACTGAACTCACAATGAAATCTTATTCAAAATACCGACAAACAATCCTAAAGCATTTACTTACCTCCAAGTCAGGGTATTTGGTATCTTGCACAGCCCTGCAAAAACAAGATAAGGACTTAAACCCAGCTATCCAAAACCGATGAATCCCAAATTTTGTTTGCATCAACCTAAATCCAGACTGTGCTGAAGTTGTTTCCTGCATGGTTTGTCTCCTCAGTCATGGTCCAGAGGACTCTGAGAAGCTGTAGGAATATGCAGGCGCGGACTCAGGGCCCAGCTTTATCTCCAACGTCGTGGAAAGGGACTATACATCATGGGGCAGTGCCCTGTGCTCCCGTTCGCCACCTGGACAGAGCCCGGGAGAGCGACCTCCCGGGGTATCCACGTTGGTTACAGTACACGGTACATTGCACGAGAAAGCAGTTTAATTCAGCTGGTAGCTGAATGACACCCTATGTAGGAAATTATTCTGGATTCCCATTAATTATCAGCGAAGTTACAGGTCCAAGATCTATCAGCAATCAGGTGCCAGTGAAGAACGCAGGTAACCGGAACTTATCCAGAAACCTCCCCAGGTGAGAAACACACTGCCCAAGACACGTTAAGTCGACACGGACAGTAAGCTTTATCTGCAGTCCTAAGGCAAGTGGCAGCGTAATAGAGCAGCCATTTTCAGAAAAAATCGAATCCTGCATGAATAAAACGTCCTGCACCCAGCTGCGGCCGACGAGTCACCTTGAAGGCAGAGAACACGGGCTTCAGGGGCAGCAGCGGAGGGTGGGCAGGGGCCGGCGCACTCGGCGTCCAGGCGCGCGCGGCAGCAGCCCCCGGGTCTCGGCACGCGCCGGCCGGTTATGGTCCAGGCCCGGGGCGCGCTCGGCCTCCGGGGCCACGTCCCGCCAACCGCACGTGCAAGTGCAGCCAGCACGAACGCTGCTGCTGAAAACGGCTTTTTCAAACAGTAACGATCCCCAAAATCAGGACTGTTATAAGACCCGGTTCGCTAAACCCAAACCCAGAGAACTACAGAGGTGCCTAACACTCACCGCACAGCAGCCCAGCCCAGCGCAGTGCTCTCCGCAAAAGACTGAGCTGCGCCCGAGCATCCGTATTTATACCTTCCGAAGCGCCAGGAAGTCAAGGAATGTCTATTGCGCCTGCGCTGCCCCGTGCACGGAGGCATGCGCAGTAACGAAACCAGGAATTCGCTAAGGGTGCTGGGAAGCTACTATAGGTTAAGCCCCACCCCTACGTGGGCTCAGAGAAATCTCGCGACACTAGATCCTTCCCGCGAGACCTTGCAAAGGCAGTAAATGACAGAGGCTTTTTGAAGTGTGCGGTGTGACAGGCACCCGGCGCCTTGCACGTTTACTTTTCTTTGGTTCCTTCTCCCTGTGTGGGGGATATGCTGTTAAATAAACTCGCCATAAAAGAGCTTTGCAAAATAGAAAAAGACCTCTAATAGATTTTCTTTGCCTTTTTCACTGTGTTGACTGCACTGATGTTGTAAGATGAAATGATGGTGGCGCCTCCCTGGTGGTACAAGGGGTTAAGCACCGCACTATGAAGCAATCCACAGCCTCTGCAGCACGAGTTCGAGCCCTGGCCGGCCAGGGAGCTACCCACATGGCGCGGCAGACCTCTTCTGACTCGCTCGCTGCTCCTGTTCTGTTCCCCACTCTGTCCCTGGTGAATCCTCTCACCAACTCGCGTCTCTGGCCTGTACCCAGCTTTTGTATGCATAAATAAATCAATCTTTTTTTTTTTTTTTTTTTTTTTTTTGCGAGTCAGGGTCTCGCTATGTTGCCCAGGCTGGAGTGCAGTGGCTATTCACAGGCGCGATCCCACTACTGATCAGCACGGGAGTTTTGACCTGCTCCGTTTCCGACCTGGGCCGGTTCACCCCTCCTTAGGCAACCTGGTGGTCCCCCGCTCCCGGGAGGTCACCATATTGATGCCGAACTTAGTGCGGACACCCGATCGGCATAGCGCACTGCAGCCCAGAACTCCTGGACTCAAGCGATCCTCCTGCCTCTGCCTCCCGAGTAGCTGGGACTACAGGCGCGCGCCACCACGCCCGGCATAAATAAATCAATCTTTAGAGGAAAAAAAAAAGATGAAATGGTGGATAACGCTGCTTTAGAGTGATTCAAGGCCCTGTCTCCAGGCACTATTGGTGGTCATCGTATTCTTCATTGTCACATATTTAGTAAAAAAACAAAACAAACCAGTTGCCCCTAAAGGGCAACCGGCTATAGGGTTGGATTCCAACGAGGAATCTGAGTTGTAGATCAAGGTTTAGAAGTTGTTAGAATAAGTGGTGACTCAAGTTACCTTGGGAGAGCAGGGTGAGTGAGGAGGACATGAAAATCTACATTTTGATGGTCAGAGAAGTAGCCAGCAGAAACGGGAAAGCTTGGTCAGAGAAACAGCCCACCGTGTCTGAGCAGCCAAGGAAGTCTTGAGGACTAGAATTTGACCCAAAAGCATCAACAGCTGCGTAGTGGTCAAATATACTAAGAGCTGAAAACAGAATATAGATATGAGTCTGAGAAGTCATTGTTGACCTCAGGGAAAGCCATTTTAGTTTGGAATCAGTTCAGATTTTAATGAATTGAGTGAATATGAGTTTAGAAATGGAAATAGGAGTGCAAGTGCAGACCAAAGATCATAAACCAAACTTAAGGCATGTGTTGGGTTGATAGCTCCCTCACCTCTTCCTCTGTTTATCACTCACGTAGCTCAACTGCTTGTACTATACAGGAATTTAAGTTGTTAGAATAGATTGTGTAGTGTTGGAAAAGCAGGAGGTAAGGCAATTAATAGGTTGGAGAGAAAAATGGGGTCCAGAGGATTTCTTTTGGGGGTGGGGAATGAAATCAACATTAAGACAATGGGTAGTTGTAGGGTCAGGAATGGACACAGTGCAGGTTTTCTGATCCCATGCAGACCAGGTAAAGGAGGAGTCAGAGTCCTCAGTGGTTTTTTGCAGGTCTTTTATTTGGGTTCACCAGGCATATGGCTGGCAGGCCTGCCAGCCTCCCAGCCCCCAGAAAGTCTTTTTTTTTTTTTTTTTTAAAGAGGCAAGTATTTTATTCATTTATTTGTTTGTTTGTTTATACATGCACTGGGTACAGTCAGAAGCGCAGGAGGGTGAGAGAATTCACCAGAGCCAGGGGTGGGAGGGATGGGGGGTGGGGCAGAGCAGGCAGAAGGACCGAAGTACACTGCTGAGGGGAGCAGTGGCAGGAGAGGTCTGCGCACCATGCGGGACCCTCCTCCGGTGGCCGGGGATCAGCCGGGGATCGAACAGGCGCCGCAGAGGCTGCGGGCAGCTTCGCAACCCAGCGCTCAACCACTGCGCCACCAGGGAGGCCCCCCCAGAAAGTCTTTACTCTATCTGGGCTCTCTGGCGTTCGTTCTGCTGCTTCCCGGCTTCTCTTTCGGCTTCTGCTGCTGCTCCTGGCGTCCCCGTGACGCCGCCCTTAAAAACCCAGTCTCAGCCCAGGTGAATCACATCTACCTATGCCCACACCCTATACCAGGTGCCCGCCATCGGGCATGCATTCGGGACCTCAAGGATCCATCATCTACCCTGATGGCGGGAGGGCAGAAAGGCCTGACATTTTTCCTCACCCTACAGTAGTTTTTGTCTCTTTAGTACCAGATAGAAGGAAATTGAGGTTATTTATTCCTGTCAGGTAACCTTTTTGCTTTATGAAGGAGGTGAAATTCTTGGGGGAAGAAATTCATAATAGTCACACGAAAGACAGATGGAGCAGGTGGCCCAGATTACTGGTGGTTCCTGGTTTTCCCTTCATGCTTCCTAGAGCTGGAATTTAAACTGGTTTACACTGTTTGATTTCAGAACTTGGCTTTTGTTTGCTCATTCTCATCTTTTATGAGCATACTTCCTATCGCATCTCATCCCAGTCAATATCCACTGAACTTGGCCTTTCTGATAGTGGTTTTCCAAACCACTCACTCTCCAATTGCAGTCCTCCCTTTCCTGGGTATTTGAAATCTAAATCCTGAAGAACCATAAACCCATCCGCTGTTTCAGTAAACAGTGGGCAATGTGTACCTTCAAATACCCTTCTGCAGACAATGCTTAACCTTGAAAGTGTAGTGGTAATTTGAGGCCTAGTTGGAGAACTAGTAAAAGGAAATCCCGAGCAGGTGGAAGCCTATGACACTAGTGGTTCTGATTCAAGTTTTCTTTTTAATCTTTGGTAAAAGGTGATGCATTAATCAAGGTCAGTTTCTGAAGTGACAAGTAGAAAGTGAGTCACTGGTGAGGCTGCCACAATTAAAACCAGGTTGCTGGCTAGAGAACAGTACATGAGTAAGAACTGTCCTACAGTAACGTCAGCCTGAGGTCTAATTATATGAGGCTTACAGTAAATCCTTGTTCGGACAATTGATTAAGATTCAATTGCTTGTTCTCTCTCTCTTTTTAAAAGATTTATTTATTTATACCAGCACTGGGTACAGTCAGAAGCATGGGAGTGTGAGAGAATTCACCAAAGCCAGAGCGGGGAGCAGAACAGCCAGAAGGATTGAGGTACACTGCTGAGGGGAGCAGCGGGCACGGCAGGAGAGTTCTGTGTACCATGTGGGACTCTTGCCGGTGGCCAGGGATCAAACCAGCGCTGTAGAGGCTGAGGGCAGCTTCGCAGCCCAGCGCTCAACTGCTGCGCCACCAGGGAGGCCCTCTTTTTTTTTCTTTTTTCTTTTTTTTTTAAAGATTTATTCATTCATGCATACAAGACCCAGGGCACAGGCAAGATGTGTGGGAGGGTGAGAGGATCCACCAGAGACAGTGGGGAACAGAACAGGCAGAGTGACTGAAACACTGCTGAGGGGAGCAGAGGGTGAGACAGGAGGTCTGCTGTGCCATGTGGGTAGCTCCCTGGCAGACCAGGATCGAACCCATGCTATGGAGGCTGTGGAGAGCCTCACAGCGCTGCACTCAACTGCCTGTGCCACTATAAGGCCCCAATTGCTTTTTTTTTTTTTTTAAGATTTATTTATTTATGCATACAAGAGCTGGGGTACAGGCCAGAAGTGTGTGAGGTGAGAGGATTTACCAGAGACAGAGTGGGGAACAGAACAGTCAGATCGACCAAAGTACACTGCTGAGGGGAGCAGCAGGTGAGTCAGGAGAGGTCTGCTGTACCATGTGGGTTGCTCCCCGGCCGGCCAGGAATCGAACTCTTGTTTTGCTGTAGAGGCTGCGGACAGCTTCATAGGTTGTCTTAACCTTTGTGCCACCAGGGAGGCCCCAAATTGCTTGTTCTTAAACATACACAAAAGTGATTACATAATTTGCTTTGACCTTGGGGAAGCAACTTCACCTCTCAGATTCTTCATTGGTAAGTAAGTGTGTTTCTGTTTACCTTCCAGGCAACGGGTAGAATAAATAGGATAATAGGTCTAGTATGGTAGATGGACTATAACATGAGATTTGCAGTTGTTTTTCTCTCTGCAGTCCATTCTTTTCTTATACTTGGGCACAAATAGACACAAACTTGGGCCTCCCCGGTGGCGCAGCGGTTGAGCGCTGGGTTGCGAAGCTGCCCGCAGCCTCTGCAGTGCCGGTTCGATCCCCGGCTGCTTCCCGGCCACCAGAGGAGGGTCCCACATGGCGTGCAGACCTCTCCTGCCGCCCGCTGCTCCCCTCAGCAGTGTACTTCGGTCCTTCTGCCTGCTCTGCTCCCCACCCTCTCTCTGGTGAATTCTCTCACCCTCCCGCGCTTCTGACTGTACCCAGTGCTTGTATAAATAAATAAATAAATCTTAAAAAAAAAAATAGACACAAACTTGACTGACCTTCATTGCTGCCTATATTTAAGGTTCTTACTATTATTTCCCCTCCTCCCTAGATAAATATACTTGTTTATCTAGCAATATTCTAGTTATTATTTTTATGCGGATTGAAAATTTTTTGGAATCTGGTAAAACAAACACTTCACCCAGGATAGTTTTAATTCTAAAATACTTTAATAATTAATATTGATAGGAAGACTGATATACAATGCAATTATTTATTTTACAGGAAGATTCTGTACATCAGGGAAAAACATCTTGAAGTACAATACATCAGGGTTTTATTTCTTCTTTACATTATGATGGTGAATTGTTACGTACATGGAAAAGGAACACAAAATCCATTATATATATATATATATATATATGTTAAAAAAAAGACAAAATCCACCTGAAAAGACCTGACTCCCAAAGCATCTCATTTCAAAAGAATAGGAATGAGATGAAGGATGAACCAGATTCCTTGGTGGCACATAGAAAGCAGACAAGTAGCTCAGGAAATTAAATCCTGTTTCACTCTTGGCACATTAAGGGAAAAGACAGACAGTGGAAGAAAGGCCTGAAAATGTCATCTCAAGCTACAGAGGGTGCTTGTTTAAACCAAGCAGTCTCCAAACCAACAAGACTGGAAAGGTTAGAAGTTAGCAGTGAATGTGCGGCCACCTTACCTACAGACCTCTAATAACTTTTAGAATCACTTACTTTCCCCTCAGTTGCCCAAATGTTAAGGAGCTTCAAGGAGATGTGAACCCGGTATATCTCAAGAACCATAACGAATCAATGGTACTGAGAAATTTGAATACTCCCCGACTCCCCATACAGAGAGATGAAACTACTTTTTTTTTTTTTAAAAAAAAAAAAAAGATCCATTCATCCATGCATAAAAGAACTGGGGTATAGGCCAGAGGCATGGGGGGTAAGAGGATTCACCAGAGACAGAGTGGGGAACAGAATAAGAGGACTGACCGAAATACACTGCTGAGGGGAGCAGTGGGTGAGACAGAAGAGGTCTGCTGTGCCATATGGGTCACTTCCCTGGCTGGGGATGGGACCCGTGCTGCAGCGGCTGCAGACAGCTTCACAGTGCTGTGTCTTAACTCCTTGTGCTATCAGGGAGGCCCAAAAAGTTTTAAGGTCATTTTAGCTTTTTTGTTTTGACCTGATATTCTTGATTCTTCAGCAAATCTTACATGAACATGATAGGAAAAATTGAGAAATACCTACTGAACAATCACATATAGAACAGGGATTGCAGAAGCAGTTTATACTACAGCCACAATTTTCTGAACAATTAAAGAGAAAGCCATTCACCAGTTAAATAGAAACGTTCTTCTACTTAATGTGGATAGGAATTAAAAGAGTGAGGCTGTATGGTTTTTCAATAAAAATTCAAGGAAAGCAACTGTATCTCCCATTTTAGGAAATCACATTTATATTACAAATATAAAAGAGTCAGGATTGAGCCAAAGCCCCCAGGCACCAAGTACACCGGCTACTTGGAAGAGAAGGGGTGAGTGAGGTGGCAGCTGTCAGGGAGGGGCAGCAGGAGTTCAGACAAGAGCACAGCAGGAGAGAGCTAACAGCACTGAGAAGGGAGGTGCAGTGGGTCAGGAGCACACCCTTCTGTTTCTTCAAAAACCTTTTCCAATGTAGTGCTCCACGTTCCTAGGACCTTGCTGTGATTCTGTCTTGAAGTTTGGGGACTGGGAGGTGGAAGTGCTCAAACAGAGTTGCTATAACTTACAAAGAATATGTCTATTGGTCAGAATGATTTTAAGTATCATTGTACAAAAGAGAGACAACAGCCTATAATCTATGAATCAGTTTTTCCCCAAGTTGTTATTAATATAAAGGCATTTCTGGCTTTTCTTTTGTATAAAGAAAACATATTACTTTCTTATTTTACCAACTTAGAATCTGGATGTAGCTCAGACTGTTTAATAGAGAGGATTGCCATTGTTTCTTCAAGATCATTCTTCTTTGGGGGAAAAAAAATCAGTAAGACCTGTGCCACAGGTCACGGCAGATCCTGAGCTTCTCTCAGACTGGAATGCCCAAGGAGGGTTACTGCTGTGACAAGATGTACAGTGCAGTACTTTCAGCCAACAGGCCAACGTGGTGTGAAGGCAAAGGGCCTGATTCCTCTGCAGGCCCTTTGTCAGAAGGCCAGGGCATCCAGGTTTTCCCCATCACCATTGGATATGAGGGCAGCAATTCAGTGCCTATGTGGTGGGTCCCACAAGCAGGACAGGGCAGGTAAGGCTCATGGTGGAAGTGTGCCTGAGAGCAGGCAATCATCTTGTGGCGGGGATGTGGTGCAGCCAATCAAACTTGGAACCTGCAAGTGATACAGAAATATGGTGGCTGGTGAGGAAAGACCCCTCAAATACGCTGCAACGTGATAAGGTTCAAAAGCACTGACGAAGTGTGTTTGGTTTTGCCCAAGGCAGCACGTGAAAATTTGTTCCAGTGAAAAAAGATACATTCATAGAAGTGCTGTTCACTCCAGAACTCTATCCCAGAGAACTCAATCTGGCTGTGCTCAGAAGTACAGATATTCCATCATGACACTCTGGAGACTGGAGCAGCCAAAGCAGCGCAGTTTTGGGGGTTGTTGAGTTCCTTTCTGACTTCAGCCTCATGGACGATGGTAGCTGAAATAGACAATCAAAAATAGCCAAGTTACAAGATATTGTAGATTGTTTTGCTATTCTTAAAGTAATAGAAATGTCATGTACTAATAAAAAAAAAAAATTAGTGGCAATGGATACTCCTAACCTCCTTTCTTCTTGAAGTTCCCTTCTCTTGGCTTCTTTTTTTTTTTGTGTGTGTGTGACCCTCGCCAGCGGCCGGGGAACAAACCGGCGCCGCAGAGGCTGCGGGCAGCCTCGCAGCCCAGTGCTCAACCGCTGTGCCACCAGAGGCCCTCTTAGCTTCTTTAATACTATCTTTTCCCTAGTTTTCTTTCTTCCCCAATTGCTTTCCTCAACATGCCTTCCTGTTTCATTTTCCTCTGTCCACCCTTCAAATGCAAATCAATTTTCCCCTTAAGAAACACTACTTTTCTCCTGTCTCTTTAGACCCTGCTTTCTCCCTGGACTCCAGGCTGAAATCCAACTATTTTTCAGTCATCTCCACCTCAATGTGTCCTATGCTCGTCAACTCAACATAAATACTTTCAGTGTGTTTACTGTCTGCTTTCCTCTCAGAGTAAAAGCTACTGAGGGCAGGGACTTTATCCTGTTTGTTGCTGTATCCAAAGCACTTAACCCCCTATTATGGTGTCTGATTTTTTTTGGTCTTACCGTGTAAAATGCTTGCTCTCTTCATGAACCTCCATCTCTGAGCTTTTAAATTCATTTAATTCTTTTCTTATGGCAGCCTGCGGATTAGAAACAAAAGTGCTTCAGTCTACTACAGTATAGCAGTGTGATTTGCCATGTATTCTCTACAGTGCTTAACTCTGGGAGTGGATGCAATCTGTGCTGGGCACCGGAAGGGAAGAAGCCAGTCAACACACTGAGCCGAGCTCTGAGCTCAACGCAGAGCCCCTTCCCTGACATCAGTCACCTCATGGTAAAATTTCCAGTTAAATCAAAAACAGCTGAGGAGCTGAAGAGATGCACTGTAGCTTTTATAGTCAGATACGAGTAATTACTAAAATATACCAACCAAACTCTGCCCAACCAAACATAACCACTGTTAAGAATGTATTTTAGGACCTCCCTGATGGCACAAGGGGTTAAGATGCCACCTATGAAGCAGTTTGCAGCCTCTGCAGCATGAGTTCGATCGCCGGCTGGCCAGGGAGCAACCCACATGGCGTAGCAGACCTCTCCTGCCTCGCCTACTGCAGTGTACTTTGGTTGATCTGCCTGTTCTGTTTCCCACTCTGTCTCTGGTGAATCCTCTTACCCTCCTGTACCCCAGCTCTTGTATGCATAAATAAATCTTTAAAAAAAATTGTGTTTTATTTACTTGTGTGACGAGAAGCAGGGAATTTCCTTTTTTTTTTTGGCTTTGTGGTGGTGGAGTCATTTGTATATAGTTTTGGTTTTTATTTTACTTATTTTTTAAAAGATTTTTTATTTATACAAGCACTGGGATACAGGCCAGAGGCACAGGAGGGTGAGAGAATTCACCAGAGACGGAGCAGAACAGGCAGAAGGACCGAAATACACTGCTGAGGGGAGCAGCGGATGAGGCAGGAGAGGTCTGCCCCGCCATGTGGGGATCTCCCTGGCCAGCCGGGAATTGAACTGGCACTGCAGAGGCTGTGGACAGCTTCACAGTGCTGCGCCCAACCCGCTGCGCCACCAGGGAGCACCAGTTTTGGTTTTTAATCTTAGCATTTTGTGTCTTGATTGAAAATTAAATATATCCAAAGTAAAAAATTTATTTATGGTTTCTGCTTTTGGTGTCTTCTTAAAAATAGAGAAAGAGAGAGAGAATTGAGAAAGTGAGAGATACCTTGTCAGCAGGGGTCAGTTTGGTCCAGGGTTTGTCAGCTCGCCGATCATAATCTTGAGCATCTGTTACCTCCACATATTCATTAAACCTCAGAATCTTCCTAGCAAGTAGTTCAGCCACAGTCGGCCTTTGACTGAGCTGAAAGACAGGAGCCTCTCAGTTCACTCTTCCACAATTTAGGCATGAATCACATTCAAATTGCTTCTAGCTGTGCCTCAACCATTGCTGCCCATCACAGTCACCTGGGGGCCTTTCATACACTACTGATTGCTGGTTTCATCCCCCAGTTAAACTTCTCAAAGCTTAACTATGCATACAAGTCATCTGGGGATCTGGCTAAAATGTGGATTCTGATTAAACAGGTCGGGGGTGGGGCTGAAGCTCTTACAAACTCCCAAGTGATGCCAATGCTGCTGGCGAATGGGCCACATTTTGGGTAGTGAAAGGACTAGGGTTATAAATGCATATATAAAAATACATCAGAAAGTGAATGTATTTAATATGAAGGCAGTATCTATTAGTGGGTAATATTAAGGGGGAACTTTATTTGAACATTGTAGGGTAAGGTAAAAGTATCAGGCTTTTCTGCCCTCCCATCATTAGGATAGATGACGGAACCCTGTGGTCCCGAATGCATGCCTGATGGCGGGCACCTGGAGTAGGGTGTGGGCATATGTAGATGGGATTCACCTGGGCTAAGACTGGGCTTTTAAGGGCGGCGTCACCGGGACGCCAGTAGAAGCCGAGAGAACGCCAGAGAACGCTAGAGAGCTCAGAAAGAGTGAAGACATGCTGGGGGCTGGGAGGCCTCCCCACCCCCCAGCACCCCTGCCTGCTGTGTACCTGGTAAATTCCAATAAAAGCCTGCAAAACCCACTGAGGGTTTCAGGATTCCTCCTTTACCCGGTCTGCTGGATCAGAAAACCTGCACTGTGTCCATTTCTGCCCTTACAAACATGAATAATGTCCAGAACACCAGATTCTGTAGCAAATTATGATTTAAGGTGACACAATTGGTAACCTGCTCAATCTGAGGGTAATCAAATCCAGCCATGACCTCTAGATACCCTCACTCTATCAAGGATACTTCCTTTGCTCCTGGGGAAGGAGAGAAGTAGAAGATATCAGGAAGAAAATGTCTATATCCTTTGCTCTGGGAATACTTGTAAATCTTAAGAAATATCTAGAGAACTCAGGCTAAATTAGCATTTACGTGGGGTAATTATTATTATGGTGGGAAGGAAAGGGAAAAGGGATGAATACAAAGTTTAACTGTTAACACAGGTTTGGTACAGAAGATTCTATGCTGACTGACCCTGTCACCCAGAAGCCTCGTTACTCGTTCATACTTTTCAAGTATTTCTTAGGGTCCATTCAATTCACTCACTGATTAGAAAACAACCTGTCTGCACCACAAAATTGAATGCTACATCCTCTTCCTGTTACCATCCTTATTTTTTAACAGGTTTTATTACGTACATCAAAATCCCAAGTCTACCAAAGAAAAGGTCAAAATCTATCCGGTTGAATATTTATTGAGCACCTACTTGTGCCAGGTTTTTAAAATAGTAAATATGAAAAAGAAACCAACACCCTTGTTATGCTGTACTATTTTCCATAAGGTACTATATTTTCATAGCAATCAAAGGCAACTCAAATTCATTTTTTTCCAATCAAAATAGGTCAAACACAAGACACACAGTCAGTCTGAAACCAAACACTGGGCAGCGTACCTTTCTAGTGAGCCGGCGTTTAATCTCTCGTTTTTCTGCCTGACGATCAGCTTCGTTTTTAGCTATAGTTGACAAAAACAAGAATGTTACTTCAAAACAGCAATTTACATATCCAACTTTTCATAAAGTACAACACCTCTACTTTTTTAGAGGCTCTAAGCGAGGATAAAATACAGACTTGGGGCCTGTATCAGGTGATGGCTCATCAAGACAATTTTCTTGTCAACTGGCGAAATCAAATACTTAAGAGCAAGGATCAGCAAGTCATGGTACTAAATCTAGTCAGCCACTTGTATTTTTACTGCACATGAGCTATGAGTGTTCTTTACATTTTTAAATGTAAATGTTATTTACATTTTAAATTCAAAAACCATTATGAATGGTTTCATAAGTTTTCTCTAAGAATAACCTAGCAGGATCCTTGCTCTAGAGTAACCACTAAGAATAGAGAATGGAGAGCACACTAAACTTTTGTGTGATACTCTATGGAGGCTCCCACAGTAAAATTCACTAAGAGACTGTCAAAGTTTATATAATGATCCCTTAGTATCCACAAGGGATTGGTCCCAACTGCACCTCATACAAAATTCAAGAATGCTCAAGTTCCCTATATAAAATGGTACATTTGCATATGATCCACATATATCCTCTTGTATAACTTTAAATAATCTCTGGATTAATTATGCTATCTATACAGTATAAATGTTACATAAATAGTTGTTATACTACGTTTTTTAGGGAATGACATAAAAAAAATATGTACATGTTCAGTACAGATGCAACTACTGTGGGTCTACCTATATAAGTACTTGTCTTTGATCTGTGTTGGTTGAACTGGTGAATGCAAAACTTGTGGGGGGCTTTCTCTACTCCAAATGGTAATGAAGGAATAGGGGAGGACTGTTCAAACTTAGCATGTTCACAAGTAACCCAATAAAGCCTAATCTGCTTCAATGTGGAGGTTTTAAGGCCAAATTTCACCCTATAATCTAGCAAAGTAAATCAAATCTGTACTAGATTAGAATGTGATTTCGGGAAGTTAGTTACAAAAACAGAGAGCAAATTAAACACAGGGTCTTATTTTGTGATTGTACTGAGATGAAAGTTTTAAGAGATCAAACAGGCAGGAAGACACTGCACCGGGACTTGCATTTGTTCCACCAGGAACAGGAAGGTCCTCTCCAAATACAGGCACCATCTTATTTCCCTGAAGACAGAGAAAAGTTGGGCAGCAACTTTTATAGCACTGTCAAATCTCCCCAAATGCCCAAGGTGGCCTCAAGATACTATGAGAACCTTAAAACACAAATTTCTGGAGTATCCCAGCACACTAAATAATACCATAGGGACAGTTTGAACACGAAGCTGGAGGAACACTGTTCCCTCTGGGGTAGAAATATGCAAATTGTTTCCTCACTAGAACACCCTTTCCTCAACCCCTGTAGAAAATGCATCTCTTCTCTGTTGTGTACATTAAAGCCAAAAATACATAAAGAAAATCTGTACAACTTTATCAGTGGCTATGAGCATTCACATTTTTGGTGACTTCTGCAAGTTTGCTTTAAAAAAAGCAAACTTTTTGCCATAGAGGGACTTACGTTGCAGTATGTTTCTTTGTTCTAGTTCCTCTGGGGTTGGTCTTTGACTTAGTCGTCTAGAAAGGAAATAAACAAGGTATTGCTTACATTAAACCTCCAATTCTAAACTGTTTATGAAGATTTTTTTGGACTATATGTTAATCCCCACACTAGCAAGAAATCAATAAATTTTCAAGCTATTTTGATATCTCATTATTTTATCTGATTGTTTATGAAACAATTTTCAGGTTTTAAGCATTAATACAGCTATTACAGCATAAGAAGGAATTGTACAAGCAAGTAGGAGGCCAGTATTCTAGTTCTAGCTCTGAAGCCAATAAGCGCTATTACCACAAACAGAGAATGTACTCATCTTTAAAGTGAAGATCTGAACTGAACCGGTAGCTCCCAAACAAATTTGCTCCTTCAGCAAATCTGATAAAAACAGATCCTTAAGGCATATTAACAGAAATTCTGATTTAGGAAACCAAGATGAGGACTGAGATTTTACATATACATGTTTTTTTCCATTTTCTAAAGTTTCATTTTGTGATGCTTCCCATGTGACTCTAGTGTCCCTCTTTAGTTTATAAATTGATAGTTTAGGAACCATGGGAATTTAAAGTCTCTTTTTAGAGTGATGTTCTGTAACTGTGATTTTTTTTAAAGATTTATTTATTTATACAAGAACCGGGGTACAGTCAGAGGTGCGGGAGGGTGAGAGAACTCGCCAGAGACAGAGTGGGGAGCAGGACAGGCAGACAGACTGAAGACACTGCTGAGGGGAGCAGCGGGCGTGACAGGAGAGGTCTGCCGCACCATGTGGGATTCTCACTGGCCGGCCAGGAGCGAACCCACTCTGCAGAGGCTGCGGACAGCTTCATAGCGCAGCGCTCAATCTGCTGCGCCACCGGGGAGGCCCTGTAACTGTGATCTTAATTTCAGTCCTCTCTGAAATATCTGATGAAGCTTCTCGTTTCATCAACAGTTCTGATGTCACTAACCAATGACAACTTGCCACTTCTGAAATCAGCAAGTTACTCGTTTCGTATTTTTAATTTATACTTCTTAGATAGTATCTGAACTGTATAGCTAGTATCTTAACAAATCCATCACACTTGTATTTGTTTCCTAGGGCTGCTGTAACAAATTACCACAAACTGGGTGGCTTGAAATAACAGAAATTTATTCTCTCACTGTTCTAGAGATCACGAGTCCAAAATCAAGGTAATGGCAAGGTTGGTTCCTTCTAGAGGGCCTGAGGGAGAATCTGTTCCAGGCCACTGTCCTAGCTTCAAGTGGTTGTGAAGCAATCATTGGTGTTTCTTTGGCTTTTAGCTGCATTACTCCACTCTCTACCTCCACAGACACATAGCATTCTCTCTGTCAGTGTTTCGTATCTGTGTCCAATTTTCCATCATTTTATAAGAACACCTGTCATTGTATCAGAGTCTAGCCTAATCCAGTAGGATTTTATCTTAACTTGATTTTATCTTCATACACTCTCCTTCAAAATAGGGTCAGATTTCATAGATACCAGAGGTTAGAATTTTTTTTTTTAAGATTTATTTTCACTTATTTATGCATCCAAGAACTGGGGACTAAGCCAGAGGTGCGGGGGGTGAGAGGATTTATCAGAGACAGAGTGGGGAACAGGTGGATCTACTGAAATACACAACTGAGGGGAGCAGCAGGAGAGACAGCAGAGTCTGCTGTGCCATGTGGGTCAGTTCCCTGACTGGGGATAGAACTTGTGCTGCAGTGGCTGCCGATGGCTTCATAGTGCTGAGACTTAACCACCTGTGCCCCCAGGGAGGCCATAAATAAAATAAATCTTAAAAAAAAAAATTTAATACTGAGACTTCTGATCTATGAATATGGTATTTTTCTGTTTAGTTAATGTCTTTCTTTTCTTTTTCTTTTTTTAAAAAGATTTATTTATTTATGCATACAGGAACTGGGGTATAGGCCAGAGGTGTGGGGGGTGAGAGGACTCACCAGAGATAGAGTGGGGAACAGAACAGGCAGACTGACTGAAACACACTGCTGAGGGGAGCAGCAGGGGAGAGAGAAGAGGTCTGCTGCGCCATGTGGGTAGCTCCCTGACCAGGGATCGAACTTGTGCTGCAGTGGCTGCGGACAGCCCCACAGGTTGCATCCCAACCCCCTGCACCACCAAGGAGGCCCTGTCTTTATTTTCTTAAGCAGTTATTTTATAGTTTTTAGTGTACAGGCCTTACACAGTATTTTGTCAGATTTATCCATGTATATTTAAAGATTTATATTGCTACTGTAATTTTTTTTTAAATTTTTTAATAATTTTTCTTGATGTTTCTTTCTTTCTTTAAAGATTTGTTTTTATTTATTTATACAAGCACTGGGTACCATCAAGAAGCACGGGAGGGTGAGAGAATTCCCCAGAGCCAGAGCGGGGAGCAGTGCAGGCAGAAGGGCTGAAACACACTGCTGAGGGGAGCAGCGGGCAGCAGGAAAGGTCTGCGTGCCGTGTGGGACCCTCCTCCGGTGGCCGGGGAGCAGCCGGGGATCGAACTGGTGCTGCAGAGGCTGCGGGCAGCTTCGCAACCCAGTGCTAAACCGCTTTGCCACCGGGGAGGCCCTGCTACTGTAAATTGTTATTGAAAATTAGTCTCGGGCCTCCCCTGGTGGCACAGTGGTTGAGCACTGGGCTGCAAAGCTGCCCGCAGCCTCTGCAGCGCTGGTTCAATTCCTGGCCCCTGGAGAGGGTCCCACATGGCGCGACAGACCTCTCCTGCCACACCCGCTGCTCCCTTCAGCAGTGTATTTTGTCAGTCTGCCTGTTCTGTTCCCCACTCTGGCTCTGGTGAATTCTCTCACCCTCCTATGCTTCTGACTGTACCCAGTGCTTGTATAAATAAAGAAATCTTAAAAAAAAAAAGAGAGAGAAATGCTTTAGAAAAAAAAGAAAAGAAAAAAAAAAGAACAAAGAAAAAAAATTAGTCTCTTATATTTTTAGATTTCAATTTCAGATTGTTCACTGCTTATGTCCAATGAGCTTGTCAAAGAATACTATGACATATGAAACACTCAAAAGGTAAATAACTAGTTCTGCCACAAAAGAAAAAAGAATCTTTTCCAAGGTTCCTATTCTGAACTAATTCCTAATCCTGATGGTCTAATCATGTTGCTGAGAGATGCCCACAGTTGTGCACTAAAGCTGCCATCCTGACCAACAGGAAAGCCAGATGTGTGAGTAGGGGAAAATACGTCTTTTTTTTTTTTTTAAGATTTATTTATTTATACAATCACTGGGTACAGTCAGAAGCGCGGGAGGGTGAGAGAATTCACCAGAGCCAGAGCAGGGAGCAGAGCAGGCAGAAGGACCGAAGTACACTGCTGAGGGGAGCAGCGGGCGGCAGGAGAGGTCTGCGCGCCATTTGGGACCCTCCTCCGGTGGCCGGGGAGCAGCCGGGGATCGAACCGGCGCTGCAGAGGCCGCGGGCAGCTTCGCAACCCAGCGCTCAACCGCTGCGCCACCAGGGAGGCCCGGAAAATACGTCTTAATTAATGGACACTCTCAGTTATTAAGAGAAACATCTGAGTTGGGCATACACTTGTCTACATCCCTGGACTTCAGGAGTATTACCTGTCTGTAGGAAGCTGGCCTGAATTTAGTTTCTCTATGGTTGGACTCCAGCTGACTTGACTAACACTGAAAAGTAGTGGTTACATGGGACAGGTGAAAAAGATATAATGAAAAATAGGGGTGAGATGTTTAACTGGGTTGGCACCTCATCGTTGAGGGGTCTTGCTCCTGGGAACCACCTAACTTTTCTAGAAACTTAAAAAAATTCCTGTCTACTTAATGGTTTATAGATGTGAAATATACCTATATCCTAGTTTAAAGGTATGAAAGCAATCTAGTTCTTTAATATAAAAATTTCTTAGTGAATACCCACTTGTGTATTATCCTATGCACTTAAAAAAATTTTAATGTTTTTAGTGGAGTTAAATCTAGGTGGTTTGTTGCCTTTTCCCTTTAATCCTGGGCATTTTGTTTCTCTTTCTGAGAATATAAATTGAAAAAACAGAAAGCCAATAATCATTTAAAGTATACCCATAAATGTAGTTTTAAACATGTTCACAACGTATTTTTGCTGCCTTCTAGGTATTTATTTTGGAACATTTAAAAAATAAAAGTTACGCTATCCCTTAAAAAAAGAGAGAATGTTCCACGATGCAGTAGGTCTCCTATCCATACTGGCATAATCAAATCCAATCAATAGATTCTAAGCAAAATCCTACCTGATCAGTGTGTTCCCAATCTGGTGCCGTATTTCATTCCACTCTTCTTTGCTTTTTCGTGGCCAAGAATTCATGTCCGGCTCTGGTTCACTGGGTGGTCTGTGGTTCAACTTCATTGCAAGTGTATCCTTCCTCTTGACTTTGTTGGCAAGAGCACCTTTGCAGCAAGAAAAGGAAAAAACGTAGAGGCTTAAGGCTTGAAGTCAAAGGCTCAACCTCAACTGGAGCGAGACAAGAATCTGAACAAATAAGTCCCAGCTTCCTACTTTGCTTCCAATGACCCACCTAACACAGAGGTGGAGGTAAAGCTGAAGACTTCTGAAATCTTTTTAGCCAGATGGGCTCAGATGGCTGAAAGATATTTCTCCCTTCTATCAGTCCTCTACATTTTCCTCCTTAGTAAGAATAGACAGAGGGTGGGAAAAAGGCATTCACACCAACACACTTCCCAAGATACTCATTATTTTATATACAAGAACATGTTTCTATTCCTTATTAGTCCGGAGGACATTATCATTTTTATCTTTTCAACAGCTCAAATACCAACTTTCTTCTACTCTTGTCTTTTTTAATATCAAGATAAATAATATTTTAGCCAAGAATAAACTCAATCGACAGGGTCCCTTTTCACTGGTTTGTTAGAACAGTAAGAAGAGCAGGGACAAGAGTTCTTCACAGTGGCTCCCACCATCAGTTTGTTAGATAGAAGACTTGATGGGGAGATGGTTCCTTTATCCATTCATACTTGCTAAGACCAGCAAGTAGCTTTATTTATTTATTTTTAAAGATTAATTTTATTTATTTATGCATACAAGAGCTGGGGTGTAGGCCGGAGGTGCAGGGGGTGGGAGGGTGAGAGGATTCACCAGAGACAGAGTAGGGAACAGAAAAGACAGACTAATTGAAATACACTGCTGAGGGGAGCAGTGGGCGAGACAGGAGAGGTCTGCAGTGCCATGTGGGTAGCTCCCTAGCCGAGGATCGAACTCACACTGCAGTAGCTGCTGATAGCTTCATAGTGCTGAGACTTAACCCCTTGCACCTGTAGGGAGGCCCCCGGAAAGTAGCTTTATCTGCAAAAGATTTTTCTCTTTTGTCTTTCACTCCCTTTCTTACTATTATGGCTATCATCTTCCTCCTCTTCATCTCGGTATTGAATCGGACCTTCTGAATCAGAATCACTCTCCTTCTCCCCCTCTTCTTCCTGTAGACACCGTGGTAGTTTAGGAACAGCTGAGGTAGATGTCACAACTTCATCGAATGCAAATATCTGAGTTTGCTCCTCTTCTTCATCGTCTGGACTAACAAATTAAAATAACTTTATTTCCCTTTCAGAAACATAAAGGATAACTGACTTGCAAAGTAAAATACTGAATAACTATAGAAAACTATATGAAAAAAATTGATAATTCCTTCCCTCAACTTTAAACAATCTTGCTAAGAAATTTATTAGTACCTATTAATCTAAATGGCACCGTGTTCAAATCCCAGCTCTACTTTTATTCACAAGCTTGTAGTAGTGTCACTTAACTTTTGTGTAAATGGGAATGATACCTACCCTGCAGGCTTGTTGTAAGAATGAAACAGACAAGTTCTAGAAAGCACTAGTATCTGACACTTAGGTCCTTGACGATCTACATGTGAAATGCAAGTTTGCTTTAGTTTAGTTAAATGAGAGGACCACACAGCATCTAACTTTGTACCTGGATCACTGAAGATACACAATACAAATATTTAATCCAGTTCCCTTTGGTTTATCAATGGAGTAGTTAAAAAATGATAATCTAATCTAAGGGAGCAGAGAGAAGTAAAAAAAACTAAGTTCCCCCACCCATCTCCATTCTGGAGGCATAGTACTATGACTTAGTCTACTTCAAACTCCGAAACTGTCTCTCTAGCTTATAAAATAAATAATATCAGCAAGTACAAAGATTGAGGCAAAACAAGTAACAATTAGGATGATGATATAACAGTTCTATGATAATACATTCAGTTGGAAAGACAAACCTTCAACTTGCCAAAAAGCGTTAATGTTCTGTCCCAATTTGTCTGAATTTTAAAAAGTCAAAAAAAGGTATACATAGAAAGACTGCTGTGAATTTTTAGGGACAGATGAAGAACAAGATAAGCAGCTTTAGTTTATGGAATATTGAGCTATCTTTTAGCTCCGTTCTTTTTCTTCTAGACTGCTCTCTGTTCTTTTCTACCAAGTATATGTGCCAGGTACTGATGCTTTCAGATTTGTCTAATTTCATTCTTACAGAAAGCCTATGAGTCAGGCATTATAGCAGTTCACACATTACACAATTAAGGAGCAGAAAGGTTAAATAATGTATATTGCTGTGAGCTAATAAGAGGTAAAGCTGATTTGAACTGAGAGCTATATTTCTCCAAGGTTAATGCTCTTAAGCAGCCTGTTATACTGTCTTTCTTGTATCATCTAAAACCAGTGGCTTCAATTTTCACATACAAAAGTTCGTAAAGTTTTTGTATTATCATAAAAATTTCTTCCATGGAAAAAATGCTACAAAAATCAGCAGAGTAAATAAATTCTACAAATTTTGCTATTAAGTATTCTTTCTTTAAATTTACTCACATTTTCTTTTTAAGTAACTTTTTCAAAGTAGGGTCACATAAGTCAAGAAGAGGAAACAAGAGGCAAGCTTTAAAAGCACTCACACTTTCAGCATTTCAATAGTGATGGGAAGTGATCTGGTCCTTTCCAGGGTACTGCTCTCCTCAGAGAAGTGTTCACTGTTCTCGAAGAGCAACGAATGAGCTCTGTGAGAGCCTTCCAAGGGAGGAGTCACGGGAAGTGGGCTGGTCAGGGCCTGTTGGATTCGGATATGCAGTGGGAGAGGGGGCAGCCTAGAGGGTGTGTGGGGCTCTCCAGAGCTCTGGTCCGGTATCCTCCTGGGTACTTCCTTTTTCTGATCTTCTTGTTGGGGAACCTCTGGGGGTAAATCTAAGGAAGGTGGAAACTCACTTCCTGGCACAACCTGAAAAGTCTTAGCAGGGAATGGAGGGGACCGTGGTGGTTCTGGAGGTATATGAGTAGGTAGTGGGGGGGACGGAGAGGGAGGTGGGATCATCAGCAGTGACTCAGAGCCCACACAGCATGTGTTCTTTTCTCTTTGATCACTTGGTGCTTTTGTGGTGACAGCAGTAGACTCTGAGGCGGGTGCCGAGGTTGATGGAATGCCTCTTTTAGGTGGTAAGGGTGGGGATGGTTTTGATAACAACGTACCACTGCTGATTGCTTGGGACAGTTCAGCTGGAAAAGAGAGAACACTTCTGTTCAAGGTCACTTTACAATGCTTTGAGGAGCCAGCCCACGGTCTAGAATTAGAACTGAGCTCAGTCATTCTTTCACGCAAATTATACTATCTTGAGGCTTTGCCATTCTCTAGATATCTCATCCTGAAGCAAAATTTATATTTAAATAACTAGAAGGTCTAACAAATGTATAAAGATGAAGGAAGACCGCTGCCTTAGTATCTGATAAGAAATTTCTCACTTTTCTGCTATAATAATAACAGCAGTTTTTATGACTGATTCTTGGTGTAGATCGTTAACATGAATACAGAAAAAATGCAGATATAAAGTTCTTTTAGTTTTAACTGCTTACCATTTTAAAAATGAAATGTGTAGAAAGCAATAAAACACACACACACACACACAACTGCCTATTGTTACCATATCCTCAGAATATCTAGATAATTCTGTATCATAAAACTATCAATAATAATATCCTGGATTTTTATAGCAAATGGAAAGGCCCCTGAAAACACTGAAGTATTTTTCTATTTGACTTCATGTTTCTCTTATAAAAGAAATAATTTTTACCATTTTACAGCAGGAAAACCAAAGGCTACAGAGGTTGACTTGCCCACTATCATCCAAATGTTTGGATTTTATAGGCCAACACAATTAACAAAAAATTCTTGACCAACTTCAGGTTGTTAGTTTTTGTTTCCAAGTAAGGTTTGATATTCAGTAACCACTTATAAACATAATCCTTTCATGAAAGAGATGGCATTTTAAAGACCAAAGATTTAGGAAGGACATAGTTTCAGAATAAACAATAATCCTTTTAGTTAAATCTAATTAACCTTAATAAAAACTGTGTGAACTGTGCTATTTTTCTCCTTCTGGTAACAACCACTCACGGACTGGCACTGATTTCTCAGTTGTGGGCCTACTGCTTTGGGCTACTCACTGTAGTCAAGAGTGGCCTCTGTGGCTTGGCCCAGGTTACAGTACCACTGACTTAGCAATTTATCCCAATGCATCAGCGTTACCTGGGAACTTAGAAATACAAATTCTTAAGCTTTACTCCAGACTTACTTAATCAGAAATTGTAAAGTCATGGTTCAACAATCTGTGTGTGTGTGTGTGTGTGTGTGTGTGTGGTGGTGGTGGTGGTGTTTATTTTTAAAACATTTTATTGAAGTAAATACTGGTTTGCAACTATATACATGTTTTAGATGTAAAGCATATAGTTTGACAACTATACGTGCTACGGTAAAATCTCCACCAGCTCTCGAGTTTCTATCTCCCACGATATAACTGACCCCCTTTATCTGATTTGTCCTCCCAGCAATCTGTGTTTTAACAAGCTCTCCTGATCGGGATGCAAACATGTGTCTTCTAGATAACAGTTTGAGACCACAGGTGAATAGGACGGAGGTCTAGACTTGAGAGGGGAAAAGCCTTTGCTTGGGCTCTCTCTAACAGCAACCCTGAATGAGTCACAACTTCTTCATGTTGCAACTGCTCTAATTATATAATAGATAAAATAATTTTCCTACTTCACAAGGAGGTTTTGAAAATAAGTATATGAAAGTTCCTCAAGTTCCTCAGAGATAAAGCAACACACTATCCATCCAAGATAGTGATAATAGTAATAATGATCTTCATCCTGTTTTTATCAAGCTGAGTATGCCTCCAACCTGTCAAGCAATAAATTCTGAGCCTGTTTTTCAAGGTTCTAGTCACCCCACACAAAGGGGTGGTATTAGCCATTGAATAAGCACATTTTTTAATTCCTCCAATCATTAACAAGAACTCTAAGCAGTATATTAAGTTTAGTAGTTTTCCTGATAAACACCTTCTCCCATCCTCCCTAACTTGAAAAGTCCTTTAAGAAAATATACATTTATGTGAAGAAGGCAGACCTAAATGGGTTCAGGTAAAACTAACAAATTTACCAAGACTATAAAAACCTCACTGGTTATCTTTTTTGCTTTCTCTCTTCCACCACTCATTTCAGTAAGAGTAGAATTCTTGACTCTCCCAAGAGAAAACATGATTTTATCAGGACAATTTAAATAATATCTTTTGCAGTTCCCCAGGAAGGTATTATGTCATAGCCTGAATCACAAGGTGCACTGGCATCTATACAATCATTTTATCTACTCAGCTTATGATGAAGGAAGGCACTGGCAATTTAAAGTGGGTTTAAAAAAAAACTTTTCTCAATGCAGGTCAAACCTGTTGTGGTCTTCACATACCCAGTCCCTTAACTATAAACAGTATTTCAGAAACACTGTTTAGGAAAATAGGTATCAATGTCTCTAAACTTGAACCTAATTTTAGTGCTACTTTGATTTCAGCTTGTTCCCATGCATAGCTATCTGCCTCATTTTCCTCATTTTCCAGACTTTTCTCTTTATCAAGGGCATTCAAAGGGACATTATATGGAGAACTCTCTCACAAATCAAATATTGTACCAGTTATTCAATAAAACAATCATTCCAAACCAAACTAAACTGAAAACAAGGGAAACCTAAAAATTTACTTACCAATGACAGGGTTGCTATTTCTGTGAGCTGGTTTAGGGGGAGGGACAGGGGGCTGCTTGGCAGGGATGGTATGAGTGATGCTTGGGGCAGCAGTAGTGTTAGTGCTGGTGGGAGCAGTGAGCAGAGTCCTGGGTGCTGGGGAGGGGGGCACGGAGGAATTAACAGTTTTTGCTAGGCTGGTGGCAGCAGGTGTTGTGGTGGTGGCAGCAGTGGAGATGGAGGAGATGGACCTTGCTGAGCTGCCAGAGGAAGTGGCATCCTTTGCTTGTCCTTCATTTGCTTCGTGAGAAGAGGATAGAGGTCTTTTAGGGGGAAGTAAAGGCTGTCTGGGTGCATTCTCAGGAACAGACTCTGATTCAGAAGTAGGCTGGCTTCCAGTTGAGCCTGTGTAAATAACAATATGATTTAAAAGGGAAGACAGAGTACCAAGACAGACTAAAAATGTTAACATATCTATGGACTTATGGTCAACTTCATCAATTACTTAATTTATGGGTTAGTTTATAGAAAAAATTTCCTAAGCTCAATATTCTTAACATATGTGACACCTCATTCAGTAAGAGGGTCATTATGGTAAATATTCTTCATACAAAAGCCAGGCAACTGGAGGAGACACGTCAGCAGCCTTCCAGTGAAGGAGGAGGAAAGTGCAGCTTAAAAAGATCTGCAGTTATCTGATATTTAACATCCTCGTCCATCTCTGAGAATCACAAAATCAGGTATTTTATGAATGAAAGAAGGACGGGGGAAAACTCCACTTATAGCTAAAGTTAGTTGAGAAATTTCTAGAGGAGAACATAATTCTCTCTGGATTCCATTTTCCCTCCTGCTCTCTTGCAAACCCTTCAGGTAAGTAAGATGCCTGATCTATGGCTCTTAAACAAAAATACCCAGTTTCTCACCAAGTCGCTTCTTTGGGTCCTCTTCTGGAACAGGTTTCCTAAGACTTGGTAGTCTTCCTGGCTCGTCTTCTACTTGGATTGGACTAGAAGATCTGGCACTCCCTATAGGAGTGGTGTGACCATTTTTTAACATGGTGTGGCCCAATTTCCCTGGATCCTCACCACCTGCCAGGTTCAAAAAAGAAGAACAAACTGATGGAACTGGCATGGCCAGACAGGGAGAAGAGCTGGTGATTTCTCACCATTCAGCCCCCTGTTCCCCTCCTTCCTGATTTAGATTATTATTTATATCTACAGTATCTTGAGTTTTACAGAGGTAATGGAAATAAGTAATTCCTTTTTCCAATAAACATGTGATTGCCTATTATGTGCCAAGTGGCTTCTCCATGAAATCAGATTTATTATACGTAAGTAATTATAATGCTCAATGTTAAAAGTTAAAATGAAAGAAATGCTGTGGTAGCAATGAGGAAGAAACTAATCTCTTGGGGTATGAATGGAGTTGGGAAGACTTCACAGGAAGTGGAAGATAAACTGGGTCAGAAAGGAGGAGCAGAAGCCTCCACACTGGCGACAAGATGAAGACAGACAGTGTATTTAGGAAGCAGGAAAAACATGTACAAAGGTGTGTGACTGTTCAACATGTTTGAGAACTGGCACTAGTTTGGTTTGGCAGAGGATAGATATCTGCACACAAGAAACAGTTATGGACAGGGCTAAAAAGACAAGTTTAAGAGCCAGGCTACGAAGGATACCAGATAGCACATAAAGGAGCCTGGACTGAATACTGTAAGCAATAGGAAGTCAAAGAATTAAAGGAAGAGAGAGATTTGATCTCATCTTTTAGAAGGTTAACTCTAAGAGCTGTGAGGAAGATTATATAGATGGGCAGAGATTGGAAAAGGAAAATTAACATTAAGACCTACTTTCAAATATAAGAGAGAAATAAAAGAGGAAGTCTGGAGAGTACGGGAAGAACCAATTGGTAGATTAAGAGTAAAATTGCTATAAATTGCAGGAATGATTACTAGGTTAGAGGCTCTGGGATGACCACTCACTGCTATGAAAAATGTAGGAAAGATGCCTTCATGGAATAATTAAGACAAACTTTCCCAATTATTGCTGACTCTCTTTTGGAGGAAAGCTGAAAAAATTGAGCTTAGAGACTCAAAATGGTCTCACCTGCATAGTGTCAGGGGGACAGGAAGACTAGAATTAGTTGCTGTCCTTTTTTGTTTTACACAGTGAGAGACTTTGGAAAGTATCATTTTAGTTATACTTCTATTGATAATCAAGTTATTTTCTTTAGCTTCCATAGAGCAAACCACAACCTTTATGGTTTGCTTATCCCAAACCACAACCTCTGATTAGGGAATTAGGCACTATCAGCCTTCATGCAGTATGCAGTCTCAGTAAGCTTGGGCTAAAAGTAGTGAAGAGTTTAAGGCAAATAAGCACTAAGTAAAAATGTATTTCTAAAGCTAAAGCATTCTGATGCTAAGATGCTGGACATGTACAGAAGAAGGGGCAAGAAGATAATATTGATACAAACATAGTAAGTTATTGCTTTTAAGGTAATATAGCTCGACTTTAACAAAAACAGGACTTTATTGAATATAAAGCAATTAATCATTTCAAAACCAACAAAGACTGCTACTTTGGAAAAACATATAGTGAAAGGTTAAGACACGTTATCATTAATTGGTTTCTACTCAGTACACACTAAAAAAATACATGCAAAAATGATCAGTTTTCTCTACTTGAGGAATTATTTCTTATACTTAATGTAAAGGTTTTTGCGAAGCTAGCAGAATGGAGCAGAAGTGGCCTCTGGCTTTAACATCTATGAATGCCCCACTGCCCCTCAGGTCCAGGAAATCTATTAAATATCTTGCAATACAGTCAAGTTAGAAACATAATTAAGCCAAGAGCCATCTTCAAGTAGGAAAAGAACTTTAAAAAGCTCAAGCATCGCTTTTGGCCTAAATAGATAATATAAGCCAGGTTGAGAGAAACTCTTGAGTTTCTTCTTACACAATAAAGCTTACGTCAGTTCTCTGGTTGGCAGAGTGGCATCCTGACCAATAACTGCATGTCATCATCAATTGGCCGTTGGAGCTTGCAGTTTAGCTTGGATCAAGAACCAATATGAACATAGGGCAAAAGAGAATGAGCAAAGGTGAAAAGAAGTAATGTAGTAATGTATGGAGTTTGTGCTGAGTGAGCAAGAAAGATGAATGGCAGGAGAGGGTATGGGGTGAGGAACAGCCATATCAAAAAAGCAAGGGCTAAAGGTGCCACAATGGAGACATTCTAACTGAAGTTATGTCACCGTTGTAACTACAAAGGTACCTAGAAGAGTTTCCCCATACTGCTGAGAAAAAACAGACTCATGAAAAAACAAAAGTTATACCTGCTCATAACTTAATTGTGTAGAAAATCCAGAATACACCCTTCCCATCCAATTCCCATCTCAACATTCAGAGGTAAGCATTGTTAATAACATTTTACTATTTTTCTTTCAAGCTTATTTTCTCTGCCAAGTTTTTACATATTCCAGATATCAAGTCTTCAATATATATACAAATCAAATTTTGATTTATCTATGATGAAAGGTGATGGATTTGCATGGTTATATTTTTCAGATTTTGTCTCATGCAGAGTAACTCTAATGAAAAGCAACCAATGTCCTATAGTCCTACTGTTCCCCAAAGCTGCTTCATACCAGCCATGTGTTGGAGAAAGTCCTGACATTATTAAACCATTAATGAGTGTTGAAATATCAAAATAGGATTTTTATGACAAAACTGTGTTTGTGTGAGGATTAAAAAATAAAATGTCTCCAAAACCATGAAGGCTCATCTCCTCCCACAAAAGCACACCTTTTCCTCTCATAAAACAATCACTCTCCTTCCTAACTCTTGTGGTAAAATCCCCCTTTTTAAAATAAATTATAGTCTAACCATTTAAGTATGCATCTCCAAACACTAGTTTAACATTACCTGTTTGTTCCTTAAATTCATAGAAATGATATAATACATACTCTTTCACAACTGAATTCAATTGTTCAATAGTACTTATTTTCTTTATATTACTGTAACATGTAGATGTAGTTTGCTTTCAATGTCATATACTATTTTCATTTATTTATTTCTATTATTAATAAATACCTACTATGAGCATTTTGTACATGTCTCTTGATTCAGATGTATTCGTCTTTTTGTTGGGTATCTATCCAGGACTGGATATACTAGCACACAAGTTTTACACATCTCCAGCTTCATAAATTCTGCTCAACTATTTTCCAAGGTGGTTATTTCACCGTAATACTTTCATCAACAGCTGTTTATGAATTGCATCTATTTCATACTCTTGTTTTTGGTAGATTTATTTTGGGTTTTTTAGTACATATTTAATTTTGGTTTTAATTTGAATTCCTTAATTACCAATGCAGTAAAAAAACCCACAAAACCTTTTTATTTATTTGTTGGGCATTTTCATGTATTCTGAGTGAAGTGTTTGTTTAAAGCTTTTGTAGATTTTTCTACTGAGTTGTATTTTTCTCTTTTATACATAAAAGTATAAAAAATATATGTAAAAAATAAAAAAATATATATTTATATATAGAAGTTGGTTTTAAAATATATTCTAGATGTGTGAACAGTGTTGCTGTTTTTTTTCCCTTAAAGTTCCAACAGAAGCAATAACAAAGGAAAGGGAAAAAATTCAAACATTTAGTCAGAAACAAAGACCAAGTACACAGAGATAGGCAACAGCAGTAATTTGAAAACTCACCCTGCTCAGAGTCTTCCAACAGAACCCCTCTCTTAACCAGCTCTTCTCTCGGTTTTCGCATAGATATTTTTCTCTCTAAAACTAGTATTAAATTAGAAAACAGAACTCAGAAATGTGGCAGTTAAAGTTCAACTTTAAGTACTATAACCCTACAAGTAAGAGAATAAAGTGGCTCAATTCTCTATTAAGAACAGGAAAACTGGGCCTCCCCGGTGGCACAGCGGTTGAGCGCTGGGTTGCGAAGCTGCCCGCAGTCTCTGCAGCGCCGGTTCGATCCCCGGCTGCTCCCCGGCCACCACAGGAGGGTCCCACATGGCGCGCAGACCTCTCCTGCCACCCGCTGCTCCCCTCAGCAGTGTCCTTCGGTCCTTCTGCCTGCTCTGCTCCCCGCTCTGGTGAATTCTCTCACCCTCCCGTGGCTCTGGTGAATTCTCTCACCCTCCTGCGCTTCTGACTGTACCCAGTGCTTGTATAAATACATAAACAAATAAATCTTTAAAAAAAAAAAAAACAGGAAAACTTTCAAATAAAAAAACTTAATTTCCTTCATATCCTATGCTATTGGAAAAGTATTTCCAAAAGGAATTATCCTTAATTTTAGCTTTTCCTTTTTTTTTAAAGATTTATTTATTTATTTATACAAGCACTGGGTACAGTCAGAAGTGCGGGAGGGTAAGAGAAGTCACCAGAGCCAGAGCAGGGAGCAGAACAGACAGACTGACGAAATACACTGCTGCGGGGAGCAGCAGGCGGCAGGAGAGGTCTGTGCACCATGTGGGACCCTCGCCTGGTGGCTGGGGATTGAGGCGGCGCTGCAGAGGCTGCGGGCAGCTTTGCAGCCCAGCGTTCAACTGCTGCGCCACCGGGGAGGCCCCATTAGCTTTTTCTTTTTCAGTTAAAATTTCAATAACAAGGTATTTAGATTTATCACAGTTCAGGAACTACATTTACCACTCAATAGATAAACTTTAATCCGATCAAAATACCAACCTGGTAATGAGGCTATAGTAAATAAGATTTAGAGGGTGATCATTTGGTTTTTTAATTCTAAAAGATTCAACTCCCTCTTCAAATAAGGGGTTATAGAAGCTTGGGAAGAGAAAGGAAAAGCTGGGTACTTCTAAATGGGAACTCTAACTCAGAACTCTTTTTTTTAAAATTTATTTATTTATTGAAAAAAGGAGATTAATTTATTTATGCATACAAGAGCGGGTATACAGACCAGAGGCATGGGGGGTGAGAGGATTCACCAGAGACAGAGTGGGGAACAGAACTGGCAGGTTGACTGAAGTACATTGCTAAGGGGAGCACCAGGCGAGTCAGGAGAGGTCTGCTGCACCATGTGGGTTGCTCCCTGGCTGGCTGGGGATCAAATTTGTGCTGCAGAGGCTGTGGACAGCTTCACAGGTTGCATCTTAACCCCCTGCACTACCAGGGAGGGCTCCCTAACTCAGAACTCTTTTTTTTAAGGGCCCCCCAAAAGCTTTTTTTTAAAATAAATTTTATTTTTATATTCCCCATATAATTGCAACCCCCTTATTTTGACCCCAATCCCTCCCCTCCCCGCCCCCCACCCCCCATAGAGTGTCTCTGGTTCATAGTTTTTTGTTGATTTTGATTTTCACTTTCTTATAGTTATTCATTTTCCTGGTCCCTTGTTTAAGTTTTCTAGATTCCTGCTATGAGTGAGACCATTCGGTATTTTTCTTTTTTTTTTCTGGCTTATTTCGCTGAGCATGATCCCTTCCAGCGCCATCCATGTTGCTGCAAACTGCATGTGTTTATCTTTTTTGAATGCTGAGTAATCTTCCATGGTGTATATGTACCACATCTTCTTGATCCAGTCATCTGTTTTTGGGCATTTGGGTTGTTTCCAAAGCTTAGCTATTGTAAACAGTGCTGCTATAAACATAGGGGTGCAGGTGCTCTTTGGAATTGATGTTTCTGTGTCCTTTGGGTAAATACCTAGGAGTGGAATTGCTGGATCATATGGAAGCTCTATCTAACTCAGAACTCTTAATCAAATCTTAAATCTTACCTTCCGATGTCTCTTTGAATTTATCGCTACTTTTTTTCTTCCGCCACTTCCACGGCTTGAAGATCTTGCCAAAGCCTGAGAACTTGCTCTTCCTTTTGATGGGAGGCGTTGTCTCTCCTGCTTCCACACTGTCCATGACCATGCCTGGGTCTGCAATGGGCTGGCCTGCTTCTTCTGTTGCATGGTGAGAGGGAGAGGAAAGAGAACAGCCAATTTATTATTTCAGCATAATCTTGAAAATGTCCCTTCCCTTCTCTTCCTGTAGCAGTTGGAAAGGATCAGGGCAATAATAAACAATCATGCAGACAGTCAGACTCCTTGACATCACAGAGACACCAAACATCAAAATCCATGACAGATAAATTAATTACTAAGGAGGAAAAGAAATCAAATCAAGCTGACATCATTTTAGTACAAAAATACAATGAGATGATCATAACCAGTTCAAAATTTCTTAAAGGTGCACACACAAATGTGGATGTCTTCCCTATACGCATGAGTTCTTGCTCCAGTGTAGCCCATTGCTGTTGGCCACTCTCATCCTGTTGGTATGAGGGGAGGTCTTTCCCATCTAACACTACAATCTCCTGTACCACTGAAGCAGGGAATCCCATCAGCAGTGAACAAACCATTCTTCTCTGTTAAACACTGCCCTCTCCCTGCTCTCCTCTTAAGGGCATAAATAGTTCAGGGAGGAGATAACACATTAAGTATTCACACATTACTAATATCTGCTTGTCATATTATTTTCCACATTCACACATAAAAGCCTAGGTAGTTCTTGAGAACTGGGAGGGAACTAGGATGGGCAGAAGCATTACAGAGTGCTTTAAAATGGAGGTAAAATTTTTTGGAAAGTAGAGGTAAGATTCTACTTTGCCTATCATAATATTGCTTTAGGGACAGTCCTGATTTTAAGGATTTAAAAGAAACATAACTGACATGATAAATGTGCAGGGATTGAAGTGAAAGGTCATGAGTCCCTCATAATGACCACACATGCAGATCTAGTTAGTTAGCTTTAGTAGTAGAGAAAGGTGCAGCCAAAACTGGGCCAAGAATAACAAAAAAAAAAAAAGCAGGAAGGCAACAACAACAAAAAAAAAGCAGGAAGGCAACACAATACAGTTTTGCACTCCACCTACTGTCCCAGGGTTCGCTGAAGAAGTCTAGAGGAGAAGAAAAAAAGAGTCATGTGGAACCACCCTGGCATTAAAGTGGAACCTTTATAGAAATACATCAAGGACCACATACTGTTTTATCTCATGTAATAAGTTAGCCTGTTTATTACAAACAATTTCGTGTCAAAGGTTAACACTTTGGGTAGGGATACAAGGGTAATTAATACATCCACGAAAAGTTTTTTAAAACAGATATTTTTAAATAAGAAAACACACAACAAAGCATTATTATTTTTTTTAGTTGATAGATGTGAATCAAAGGAAGTCAATGATAAAGGTCATATTCACATAATTGTAATTATTGGAGCAACCAAAGCAATGACTGTGGATGCATTCTTTTTTCTTTTTAAAAGATTTTTTAAAAATTTATTTATGCATACAAGAACTGGGGTGTAGGCCAGAAGTGTGGAGAGGTGAGAGGTTTTACCAGAGACAGAGTGGGGAGCAGAACAGGCAGATCTACTGAAATATGCTGCTAAGGGAAACAGCAGGCGAGACAGGAGAGGTCTGCTGCACCATGTGGGTTAGCTGCCTTGCCAGGGATGGCTGCCATTAGCTTTATAGTGCTGAGACTTAACCTCTTGTGCCACGAGGGAGGCCGCCCCTCCTCTTTCTTTATGTAAAGAATGTTACTGAATACAGTCTCTAGACACAAAAAGCAAGGAAAACAGCAGTTTTTTTTTTCCTCTGATGACATTTTACTATTTATTTTCTATTTGTCTCATTTGTTCTATGTATCTTTATTATAGCCCATGTAAGCTAGTACTTTTACTACTTCCTGAAAATACAAGAATCTTACAATGTTTTAATTTCAGTTACTCTTTGATTTACTATCATTTTTACTTCTACATATATAACAATAAACCACAGAAAATATTGTTATTTAATAAACAATATTCTTTTATATTTCCTACATATTTGCTTTTGCAAGTACTCTTCATTTCTTTCCACAATGTTGTACTTCCATCCAGATAATTTCATTTCATCATTTTTTTTATATCCAAAAGGGCAGGTTTATTATAAAAGAAGGAAAGAAAAGGACGCTTGCATAGACACAGGCAGGGAGGAGAGCTACCTTCATCACTTTGAAGATTTTCACTAGGGTTAGCATTTCAGTTGGGAGTTAAACAGTTTTATTTAATTTCAGCACTTTATAAATGTCATTTCATTGACTTTTCCTTCTCCCATATTGAATTGCTTTTCTTTGTATGTTTTATTCTTTTTTTAAAGATTTATTTATTTATGCATATAAGAACTGGGGCACAGGCCAGAGGTGTGGTAGGTAAGAGATAGAGTGGGGAGATATCTCTATAGAGTGGGGAGATATCTCTATCTCTGCTCACCAGAGATAGAGTGGGGAGCAGAACAGACAGATCTAGTGAAATACACTGCTGAGGGGAGCAGCGGGTGAGTCAGGAGAGGTCTGCTGAGCCATGTGGGTAGCTCCCTGGCTGGGGATCGAACTTGTGCTACAGTGGCTGAGGATAGTTTCACAGGTTGTGTCTTAACCCCTTATGCCACCAGGGAGGCCCCTGTATGTTTTATTCTTTGAGAATTTGTCAATAGCATAAGTGATATAGTTGGGATTCAAAAGTAAGTCTTGACATCAAAATCTGTGATCCTCTTGACAATGCTGCCTTCAAAATAAAGATTAAGTTTAAATCTTACAAGCTCTTCTAACATCTGGCTTCATTCACTAGCAAAGGCTTCTAGAATATAATTTAAAAAACTGGCACATTATATGATTTAATTCTTACCACCACCTAGATGATTGACATTAGCCTCTGACTTTATATAATTTGCTTTAACAGTTTGGTATTCATCTCAAATAAGGCTCAATACCAAAAATCTATAAAGGGTACAAATTCTAAAGTTCAATGTCTTATTAGGGCCTCCTAAAAATCTAATTTGCCACTCAGTTATAATTACTTCTAATTTCAATATTGTTTTATTAATCCTTTGTTCACTTCTATTAGAAGTTATTACTTTGTACTTAAATTGGATATAACAATCAAATTTTAAATTTAGTTCATTATATTATTTTTACATCAGATTACTGGTCTCTTTTATTCATAAATCACATCCTTTACTTGGAAGTTTTTTTTCATTGACTGATTTGCACTATTACTTCTTCAGATCTTGCTTCAAGTCCAGACAGATTCTTCACGTTGTTGATAAGATATAAAGACAGAGATAGGATTCCAAAGTCAAACTTTTAAGTATGTCTGGTGGGAGTAGTCTAGGAGTGCTCTGGAAACTCACCTTTTAGTTATTATTCAAGTACAACACCCACTATTAATTATTAAAGTGCTGATAAAATTCTTCCCACAAACTAAGGTGCCAACTGAAAGAAACAAATTCTGAATCAAGGAAGTGTTCTCATGGATGGAAAACAGCAGAAAAAGAAGAAAGAGAAAGCAGGTTAATTATTTCTAATGAAAAGGGATAAAAGATAAATCATCTCCCTTTCCCCCAAAATCTATTATGTTGACAATGCCAGAGGGAAATCACAAAAGTCAAACTGATACTCATTAAAGTTTCTTGTTAAGAATTTTTGTCTGGGCCTCCCCTGGTGGCGCAGCGGTTGAGCGCTGGGCTGCAAAGCTGCCCGCAGCCTCTGCAGCACCAGTTCAACCCCTGGCCGCTGGGCGAGGGTCCCACATGGCGCGCAGACCTCTCCTGCTGCGCCCTCTGCTCCCCTCAGCAGTGTACTTCAGTCTGCCTGCTCTGCTCCCTGCTCTGGCTCTGGTGAATCCTCTCACCCTCCCACACTTCTGACTGTACCCAGTGCTTGTATAAATAAATAAATCTTTAAAAAAAAAAAAAATTTTTGTCTGACAGAAAGAAAATTCAAATGCATCTTTTAGAAGACCAATAAAAAGTGAAACTGAGAGATGAATAAATTATATTGAAAAAGTGTATCTAGGTATCAATGATATAATTACATCCCAAATTCGTTCTACATTCAAACATAAAGAGCAGAGAGGGTTGAGATTGAAAATGTTCATTAAAAATTTGCACATCTTTCAAGTCATTCTCAATAACTGATTCTATCATTATTTTGGTCCCATTTCCAATTTGACAAGAAATACAGGCTAAGAGTCACATTTGGGTATCTTATTCTGTTTAAACAACTGATGGAATCTAAGCTGGCCTTAAATTAAGTGCCATTCTATCTTCCATTAGTGCCCAAACAAGGCACCTTCCCAGAATACAGAGTGCAGCATGCAGACTACAGTTTCATGATTGTGTGTTGTGAAGAAAACACTCTTTTGAGTCACGCCACTCCTGGCAACTAGGAAAGCATGTCAGAGTTGGAGGTCTTGGTGGTTTTGGAAGAGGTGGAGGTTGGGAGAGGAAGATAACTAACCAAATTATAGTTTGGAGTACCTGGTTTAAGTAGTACCCTAAAGCCTTGCCCCCATATTTAAACACTTACTCCCTCATTCAGGCCATAGCCCCTCACATTTCAGTGGCCTGTTGTTCTATATGTATTATGCAGCGCTCTAGTGCTTTCTTTCTTCAACCCCCAGATTTTTCCTGGTCAACTTTTCATTCATGTTTTTAAATTCAAGCTTAATTGTTCCAAATGAATTTCTGGGGTGATTTTAAAATAAACGTTATGTACTATTTAAAAAATCATTTAGCAGGCCTCCCCAGTGGTGCAGCAGTTGAGCGCTGGGCTGTGAAGCTGCCCGCAGCCAGTGCAGCGCCGGTTCTATCCCAGGCCACCAGGTGAGGGTCCCACATGGCGTGCAGACCTCTCCTGCCGCCTGCTGTTCCCCTCAGCAGTGTACTTCCTCAGTCTGCCTGCTCTGCTCCCCGCTCTGACTCTGGTGAATTCTCTCGCCCTCCCGCGCTTCTGTCTGTACCCAGTGCTTGTATAAATAAATAAATAAATAAATAAATAAATAAATAAATCTTAAAAAAAAAAAAAAAAAAAACCTAAAAAATCATTTAGCACTTTTGATCTTTAAACAGTGTATCCACTGT